AATTATGTACAGGATGTTCCAAAATTAGAAGTAAATATTTTAAATGTCTTCATGTTCCCGGAAGATGGTTTTTTAACCATAATTTCGAAACCGTAACAGATAAATTCTTCAAATTTTAGATTTCTCTTAAAATGTGATAACTTTAACCTTCTTCTTGAAACGCTACAACTAGGGTAGAGTGGTGTAAAAAAATTCTAAATTTTTTATCCTCTGCATTTTATTCTTTTTGAGACAATGCAAGAACTCGAGTTAACTGAAGATGAGGAGTTTGTGTAATTATTAGAATTGGAGGTGTTTCCTTGGAATTTTAGGATGAGGACACTATTGAATTATTTGGTAACTTCCAACCAAGCTTCTGTTTTTATTCGTCCATTAAACTATAATATTTTTTAATTAGTACCTTTAACATATTTAAAAAAATACGGCACATTTCTGAATTATTTTCACTTATATAATACGATTTTAAAATATTTACCTCTAATTTTGAAACGCCTTGTATATTGAAAGTCAATAACTTTATAGTTAAGACATAATAGATTTACGTTTATCTCCTAATTCGACTCTAATTTTAAAATAATTAAATATATTTTTTTCTTAAACAGACGTTTTTCGTTAAATTTAAGTAAAAATGTGATAATACGGCAAAATAACTATTTATTTAATTGAATACACTTAATAAAATATAAGAAACATATAAATTACTAGCTTCGCACGCGTGGTGTCGTTTATAATTTAAAAAAATGAATGATTATTAATTTTTATTATTTTTAGTAATTTTTATTAATTTTTATAAATTTTTAATAATTTTTATTAATTATTAATTTTTATCAATTTTTAATAATTTTTATTAATTTTTATTTGTGATGAGTAGCTATATTTCCAATTTTCAAGTTCCTACCTATAACAAAATCGATGCTTCCATCGATGTTTCCCTCCTTAAAATGTGAAAAACCAAAAATCCTGAAACAAGTCATTATTTACTTATGCTCAGTAGCAGTATTTTAAATTTTCATGTTTCACTACCACTATTCAAAAATTATGTTCGATTCCTTTCTCTGTAAAAACAAAATTCAAATCGATCCCATGTGAACTGTTCATTTTTCGGGATATAAAGTAGCCTATGTCCTATTCCAGGCTATAATCTATTATAAAAGAGATTCTCCATTATTATTTAATTAAAAAGTTGTACATTATTTTTCATTTCATTTTACCAGTTGATATTTCCCCAAAGAACAGGTCAAACTTTCGGGTACTTACCTGGAAATACTCATAAAATTTTTAATCCGAAACCCGCGTAAGTATAGCGAACAGACTGTACATCCATCCATCTATCCAAACTTTCGGATTTATATGATAATCTACACTTGAGATTATGAATAGAAATCGATTGTTTTTTCTTTTAGGTTAATAGTTTTTATTGGTATGGCAATGCTGAATTTTTAATTTTATTCAAAACCAGAGTCCCTTTGACAATTTTAATGAATAATTTTTATCTCTTTGCATTCAGACCATTCATTAAACAAATTGCTCAATTCATTTAAACATCCCTATTGTATTGAATTAAAATGCATCAATGGGTATCAACATCAACCAGACTGCCTGAACAACTTCCAACAAATTGATTTAAAGTATAATAATATTATTTTAATTTGCTTTCAAGGTTTTTGCATATTACTATTGTCCTATTAACTATTGATAATTAGTCGGTAATTTATTAATTAAATATCTTTATTAGTTCTTTGAGTAATCCAATTTTTTAATTATCGTTCTTCCTTGTTTACTATTACGAGGGATAGTTTAGAAGTTAGAACAAAAATATATATAAAAACGATGTTATTTTTAAGATAAAAGAGTCAATTTTTGTTTTTATTTATATTTTGATATCGACCGTCCACCATTTCTCGACTTACAATTTCTGAGAGACATCAAGATTCGTCTATGATTGGAATCTTAATCTAGATTATAGCCTGGAATAGCACATAGGCTACTTTTTATCTCGAAAAAAATGTACGGTTCCCGTGGGATAGATTTGTTTTTGTTTTTCACAGGGCAAGGGATCAGACATGATTTTTTGCATAGTGGTAGTGAAACATCAAAATTTGGAATACAGCTACTGAGCAAAAATAAATATTAATGTGTTTCAAGGTGTTTCGATTTTAACATTTTAAGGATGGGAAATGGGGGTGAACGTTTGTATAAAAGCATCGATTTTTTTAAAGGTAGAAACTTAAAATATGGCATTGTAGTTACTCATTATAAATAAATAGACATGTTTCAGGGTTTTTGGAAAATATATTTATCGGGAAACGGGAGGTGAAAGTTTGCATGAGACTTTTGGATTTTTAAAAGTAGGAACTTGAAAATTCGAATAAATAATTTCAATGTTTTTGATTTTCACATTTTAAGGAATTTTTATAGTTTTTATTAATTAAATTTTTATTATTTATTTATTAATTTTTATTATTTTTAATAATTTTTGTTATTTTTATTTATTTATTTTTATTTATTTTTATTTATTTTTATTTATTTTTATTTATTTTTATTTATTTTTATTTATTTTTATTTATTTTTATTTATTTATTTATTTGTTTTTATTTGTTCTTATTTATTTTTATTTATTTTTATTTATTTTATTTTTATTTATTTTTATTTATTTTTATTTATTTTTATTTATTTTTATTTATTTTTATTTATTTTTATTTATTTTTATTTATTTTTATTTATTTTTATTTATTTTTATTTATTTTTATTTTTTATTTATTTATATTGTTACGCAGCACCCTGCAGCTTGCTGCGGTCGTCATAAGTAAAAGTATGAGTAAAAGAAGAGATAGAATAGTCCAGAAATGTCTGGAAATGTCATTACTTGTCAAAAAGGCAGTTCGAGAAGGGTCGAAGCAAGCTATATAAGCCGATGATCCTGACGTTATATGTTAATGTTATCAATTGCATAGTTGTTGTAAAAGTTGAGTTGAAATAAATTGAAATACTAAAAAACATGTGTAACAATATTTATTTTTTTTATACTTATATTTATAAAAAAATTAGTTTACCAAAGAAGTAAATAAATTATCACTTTTAAATGTAATCTAAAAAAACTTCTATTAGTGTTATATATTACATTAAAAATATGAATTACCAGCGCCCCTACTAACAAGGGTAAAATACCTTTAGGGAAATAAAATAATTAGTTCAAATGCAATCTAAAAAACTTCTATTAGTGTTATATACAGTGGCGGCTTGTGGCCAAAAACTTGGGGGTTCACAATGAGAGAATATAGGTATCGGTAATGATTTAGGTAGAAAGCTTTCAGTGTTTTGGATACGTGTATTATAAAAACTGAAGGTTTTTACCTAATTCTGTACTGAGATTTATATGCTGTCATTGTGAATCCCCAATTTTTTGCTCACGAGCCGCCACTGGTTATATACTTTCAGTAAAAATATGAATTACTAGCGCACCTCCCAACAAAGGTAAATAACCCTTAGGGAAATAACATAATTGGTTTTATATTTATATTTGTCTATTTATATTTATTTATATTATATTTATTTATATATTACTTTTAAACAGTGATGGGCCAAAAAGAAAGAGAAGAAATTGCAAGAGAAGGAAGAATAAGAGCAAACTTATAAAAATAAAGTAGGTAGACAGCAAAAAATGCAAAAAGAAACGGAGCAAAGAAATGGACAGGGAACCACCTAAACCCTTTTCAAAGGGAACGGGTGGATGTACCTAGAGAATATTTCCATCAAAATTTCTATACCTCTTGATGAAATGCATACAGCTATTCTGAGGGGTTTCACTATAAGTTCATAAGGGCCACTAGATCGGTTAGCTTCGGCGCTGACTACGTCCTTATATAAAATAAAAAGGAAAACCCTTCCCAAAGGGAACGGGTGGATGTACTTAAAGAGTATTACCATCAAAATTTCTATACCTCGTGATGAAATGAATACAGCGGTTTTGAGGGGTTTCACTTTAAGATCATAAGGGCCACTAGATCGGTTAGCTTCGGCGCTGACTACGTCCTTATATTAAAAAAAAAGAAAAACCCTTCCCAAAGGTAACGTTTGGATGTACTTAAAGAGTATTACCATCAAAATTTCTATACCTCGTGATGAAATGAATACAGCGGTTTTGAGGGGTTTCACTTTAAGATCATAAGGGCCACTAGATCGGTTAGCTTCGGCGCTGACTACGTCCTTATATTAAAAAAAAAGAAAAACCCTTCCCAAAGGTAACGTTTGGATGTACTTAAAGAGTATTACCATCAAAATTTCTATACCTCGTGATGAAATGAATACAGCGGTTTTGAGGGGTTTCACTTTAAGATCATAAGGGCCACTAGATTCGGTTAGCTTCGGCGCTGACTGCGTCCTTATATTAAAAAAAAAAAAAACAGTACATTAAGTACCTGCCAGACATGGTTAAACATTTTTCTTTTCTTTTTAACCCACCTGTTTAATTCCTGCTTAGTTGAGTAGTGTATTTATTATTAAAATAATAAAAACGAAAATAATACATATTTTTTCATAACCACATAAGTTTTTATTGACCAATAAAATATAAAAAATGGATTAATGATACTTTTATTAATTATTTATAATCTTTTAATAATAATTTTCGATTATATCGATACGATATATTTATTACAGGGCATATAAAAGTAACTAATGAATAGTAGTTATATATACCTCTATAAAATTAAAGATAATAACAATTGTTGTTACGATAATTTACATAGTCAATAATATTTTCGAACAAAGCTTTTAGAATAGAACACGACATTTTATGTAATGTAATCTTATACCTACTTTGCAATAGGAATAATTCAAATTGACCAATAAAAAATTAATAGTGAAAACTTTGATATTGGATTTTATTAAACACGAATATTTAAATAACAAATGGAAAAAGATCACAAGGTTCTTTATTGAAATTAAAAAATTAATTCAATCTGCATTTTATTATAATATATATTTTTTTAACCTTTAAGGCTAAACCTATACACGATGATATTAAATCGATCACTTATCGATCGACAGTACAGCCCAAAGATCACCACATCACTTTGGTCAGAGAAAAGATCGACACCATGGCCAAAATGTTTGAGTACTGTAGCAAAAAATATCCTAACAAAAGATGTTTGGGAACTAGAGAAATTTTAGCCGAAGAAGATGAATTACAACCTAACGGAAGGGTTTTCAAGAAGGTGAGTTAATTTAACCTGGTCTCATAAATGACAAAATATAACGTATTTTTAATACAGGGTGCGCCACTTTTTATAAGAATCAAAATATTCAAAAAATGTATTTATTTCAGTTTGTGATGGGCGACTACAAATGGAAAACGTTTTCCGAAGTTAACATCCTAGCTTCAAATTTCGGCAAAGGAGTGCGCGAGCTAGGAAACCCCGCGGGCAAAAACGTCGCCATTTTCGCTGAAACCAGAGCCGAATGGATGATCGCTGCACACGGTATCTTCAAACAGAACATCCCCTTGGTTACCATTTACGCCACTTTAGGTGACGATGCCATAGCGCACGCCATCAACGAAACCGAAGTGTCCACGATCATTACCAGTTACGAGTTGCTGAGCAAATTCAAGAATATCCTTCGGATGACACCTCGTGTGCAGACTTTGATTTACATGGAGGATCAGTTGAAGGGTTTGGAAAGCGCGGATGGTTACAAGGAAGGTGTGCAGATCATTAAATTCGAAGATGTTATCAAGCAGGGCGCTAAATCTAGTATAGGTGAGTGTTATATCTATTTAATTCTATATGATTGTATGAATACACTTTTCATTTAATATAATCCCAATGGTCAAATCTGCTGGTCTTTCTGAGTATGTTGATTTCAGATGTTTTACGAGTTAAAGTGAGTGTAATTTGATTTAAAATTGTTATCTTTGTCATCCCTATACCTTATTTAAATATAATAAAAACATTGGATTAAAAAAAATGGTGGATAACTATTAAGTGATTGAATTTAAGAAAAAAACGGTATGCAACAATACTTCAATTATCCCCTCAATAGGAATATTTTTGATTAAATTTTGAATTGGAAACGACATTGTCAAAAATGTTTAGACTTTTTTCAATTACCACATATTTTAAAATATTTTTTTTTTCTTCAAAAATACGTAATATTTATTTGTGTGTAAAATATACTTTTGCCCCCTTTCATTTGAAACTAATTTTAAATAGTACAATGATTGTACTAAGAGTTTTCTCTATTATTATCTTTTACAATGTTAATGAAATTAATACTTGAAGAGAAATAAATTATAACATTGAATTTAAAATGTTCTTTATCTAAACAAATTTTTCTTGTAAATAATTGCACAAAAAAACTTATTTTTTTGTTTCTGTTATAATTAATTAAATGATCATTATTCAGTTAATTAATTACAGATAACGGTAATAAAATATTTAATCAAACACAATTTGCGAATAATTAAGCTAAATACAGTGTTAATGAAATCTCCTAGGTTAAATATTTATTTATAAATATCACTCTATTTTTTCCTGAATAACAATTAACTTTCAGAAATCTTCTTAAGCGTGACATATCTGGTGCAACAGTTGTTATGGATTTTATAAGCAAATATTTTTATACACGATATTTATTTTCTGATAAAGGAATTATATGTTTGCAGCAAAGGCAACTCTCCTGACTTTTCCACCCAGTTCAATTATTTTTTCGGAATTGTAAATCAATTCATTGATTTTATTGCAATAATTGTCACAAGCTTATCGAACGTTGGAAAAAAATACATATAAGATGTTTTGGAAATAAATGTATACTTACTTTACCCCGTCCTGCTTCAGTTGGCAGACTTAAAATTTTTAATGGAATATTAAGAGAAGAAATTTTGTATAATCTTATTAAACTTTTTTATTATTTGGAAAACATTTTTTCAACAATTTAAATTACTTCAATATCTATTTGGAATAACAAACTATTAATTATACTGAAGATATACAGGGTGGGCCACCGGTAACGCCTGGGTCTGTAGGGCTAAAACCAGTGGCGGCTTGTGACAAAAATTTTGGGGGTTTGTACATATTTGTTTTGAATTTAAAAAGTAGTGCATCGACATAAAATGTTGACTAACATTCAAAACCTTTTAAAATAAAAAAATTGGTTTTCAATCGTTTCTTTTGTAGTTAACAGGACATTGAAATCAATATGAATTTTAAAAAAAAACTCTTAATTTTGATATAAATCACTTTCTTGGAAATTATTTTTAAATTTTTGCTTTTTTTGATATATATTTAAAAAAATCAAATAATTTTGGTCCTACTGACCGAGGTGTTACCGGTGGCCCACCCTGTATAATACTTGACATTTTGTATTAGAGTCTTCAAAGTTTAACTCCCATTTTCATTTGCATTTTTTTCAGGACTGCATCCCTTATTTTTATTCAGATTTTTTTTCAAAATCGATATGCTTCATTCCCTTATAGGGGTTGATTTTTACTAAAAATTTCTTGTTTATATTGCTTTTCGTTTTTGATTTGATTTTTTTTTTATTATTATTATATTTCAACTCCCCTAAACGCCCCATTTTTAATTAATTTTTTAAATAAAGAAGTTGTTCCCCTTAAAGAACTTGATTTTTGCTAAAAATTTCAAGTTGATATCGCTTTTCGTTTTTGATTTAGGATTTTTTTTTTAATATTGCAACCCCACATAACGCCCCATTTTTAATTATTATTTTTTCAGAACCAATAAGCTTCATCTCCTTATAGAGCTTAATTTTTACTAAAAATTTTATGTTAATATCACCTTGTATTGTGATTTATGATTTTTTTTTATTTTATCCCCCTTTAATCCCAATTTTAATCAGTTTTTTTCAAAATTACAATGCTTCGTTCCTTTACAGAGCTTGATTTTTCTGAAATGTTCAAGTTGACTTATTGTACGGACAAAAAACGTGACATCGAACGGACGGACATTTTTAAAAATTGTTTAAAATTTGATGAGAAGAATTTGGTACAATTTTTTTAAAATTTTGGTTTCTTGAAAGTAAACCTATAATACTCTGAAGAGTATAATAATAACTGTTATAGATATATCAGAACAATTTTTGTAAATTTATGTTAGATATTTATGATTTCACCACTGTGTTAGCTTTAATAATGATTTGGGGAATTGTATTCAGAAACTCTTTACAATCGTGTGCAGTGCACCCAACCCATATTTCTTGAAACCTTGCTATTAATTCTGGCGCTGATCTTGTGGGTGCTTGACACCCAACTTACTGGAAATCTTCCTTAATAACTCCCAATATATTGTGTGTTAATAAATGAATATAAAGATTTAACTTCCCAAATTGGAGCAAAAATCCCATTCTGTCGTTCTACCACTGCACATGAAAGTTATACAAGGGCGTACTAATTCGCCTGCTTGGGCAGAATGCATATCGCGTCGGTATTTGTTGAACCGGAACACAGAAAATATCGCATAGTAGATATTTCAATGTTTTATAATTTACTAATTTTTATGTTTTGCTTGTTACAGTCGCCGAACCGCCAAAAACGGACGACATAGCCATTATCATGTACACTAGTGGCTCGACGGGAGTACCGAAGGGCGTCATATTGAAGCAAAGGAACCTGATCGCCACGCTGAAAGGTTTTTGCGATTCCACGCCGATTTACGAAACCGATATCATGATCGGATTTTTGCCGTTGGCTCACGTATTCGAGTTGCTAGTAGAGAGCGTATGTCAATTCGCTGGAGTTCCTATCGGCTATTCCGGACCCTTAACCATGACTGACTTTTCCAACAAGATCCAGAAGGGAACTAAAGGCGACGCCACCGTTTTGTGCCCTACAGTTTTAACCAGCGTACCTGTAAGTTATTATTTTACCTTATTTGCAAGCGACAATTTCCAGTCTGGTATTGTTCGGAAATTATTAAAAACATTAAGAAGAAAATGTCGAATATATAGAAAAATTAAGAAACTTAAGCCTCAATTGAATTAGTGACTGCCCGGAAATATTTTTAAAGCATTTACACCACATATTTAATCTGTCAATCAAATCTTGCTCGTATCCAGACTTTCAAGTGGACCAAGTGAATTTTCACATTTCAAAAGCTCAATTTAGAACCTTTTAGGTAGTTTCAAGTCCTAATACTTATGCTTTAAACTATTAATCTTCTCCTCATATCTCAAGAATCATAAGAAAACCATCATTATATCATCATTAAACAATTAAATCTTCATTATAACATCATGATACCATCATTAATCCATCGTATCATCATTAAACCATCATTAAACTATCATTAAACCATCATTAAACCATCAATAAATAATCATTAAATAATCATTAAATAATCATTAAATAATCATTAAATAATCATTAAATAATCATTAAATAATCATTAAATAATCATTAAATAATCATTAAATAATCATTAAATAATCATTAAATAATCATTAAATAATCATTAAATAATCATTAAATCATCATTAAATAATCATTAAATCATCATTAAATTAATCGTTAAATAATCATTAACTCTTTAATGGTTAATCATTAATCATCATTAATTATAATAATTATTAATTATTAAATCATTTTGTAGCTGATCCTAGACAGGATATCGAAGAACATCCAGGAGAGGGTGAGTAAGAGCGGCAACCTAAAGAAAGTGATCTTCAAATTCGCTTACGAATACAAATCGGCTTGGAAGAAACGCGGCTACGCGACTCCATTGATAGACAAATTAATTTTTTCGCCTATCACCAATCTGGTGGGCGGTAATATGAGACTGATGATTGCCGGCGGGGCTCCGCTGTCACCCGAAACCCACGAACAAATCAGTACATGCCTGTGCGTCACGATCATCCAAGGTTACGGCCTTACCGAAACGACTTCCTGCGCCTGCGTTCAAGATTGTAAGTTACATTAGTTTTATTTATTATTTTTGACAGAAAAATTGACATTTCTCTTGTTGCAGTGTACGACATGACATTCGGAAGAGTGGGGGCGCCCTGTACGATTTGTGATATTAAATTGATAAGTTGGGAAGAAGGTAATTACAGAGTAACCGACAAACCATATCCACGCGGCGAGATTATAATAGGCGGTGACAACATCAGCGCCGGATATTACAAGTTGCCAGAAAAGACTGACGAAGACTTTTTCGAAGCGGACGGTAAAAGATGGTTTAGAACCGGAGATATTGTAGAGGTGCACGAAGATGGCGTTGTTAAAATTATTGGTAAGAACTCAATTCACTTTTATTTAACGAATTTTTTCACTCTATTATCTCTAAACCCTGTTTGGCGACATTCGTACACTTTTAGATGACCTCCAAAATCTGTTAAAAGACCTCTATTCATATTGATGACCTTTAGACATGTTTGGTAATCTATAAAACCATTTTGGCGATCTCTAACCGTTTGATAACCTCCAGTGCAGTTGAATGATCTTTCCTCATCATAGGTGAACTCTAAAATCTGCTTTAAATCACCTTTAAACATGTTTGTTGACGTCTAAACCTGTTTGAACATCTTACTTGATTGGTTTAAATAGGTATGAAATTATTTGAGTTACCTTTAAATCGTTTAAGTAAACTTTAAATACAGTTTGATGATGAATATCTGTAATTCTGTTACATCTGACTTTGTTTGGTAACCGATAAAACCATTTTGGTGACCTCTTAATCTGTTTAATGAGCTCTACACGTGATAAGTAAACTCTAAACATGTTTGTTGACGTCTAAAACTGTTTGGTCACCTATACAACTTCTGTGTTGTTTTCTAAACCTGTTTGGAAAAATCTAAATCCATTTTGATGTTAGGTGAACTCTAATCAAGTTTGATGACAGCTAAACGTGTTCGGTTACCTATAAAACGATTATAGTGACTTCTAAACGGATTAGGTACACTCTAAATTTAGTTCAATGACAAAAACTTGTGAGGCGACTTCTAAAACCTTTTAGATTACCTGTTTAGTTATCTATACCTTTAAATCGGTTTGGAAACTTCTAAATCCAGTTTGACGATCTCTCTACACGGAATGTGGCCTCTAAATATTCTTAGGTGAGCTATATTCATGCTTGATGACATCTAAACTTATTTGGTTACCTCTTAACAGGTTAAGTAAACTGTAAATTCGATTATATAACCTCTAATCATGCGACATTACATCTAAATTTGTTTGGTTACCGATAAAACAATTTTGGTGACCTCTAAATCTGTTTAATGAGCTCTACAAGTGATAAGTCAATTCTAAACATGTTTGTTGACGTCTAAAACTGTTTGGTTACCTATACAACTTTTGTGTTGTTTTCTAAACCTGTTTGGAAAAATCTAAATCCATTTTGATGATGTCTAAATGTTAGGTGAGCTCTAATCAAGTTTGATGACATCTAAACGTGTTTGGTTACTTATAAAACGATTATAGTGACTTCTAAACGGATTAGGTACACTCTAAATTCAGTTCAACGACGAAAACGTGTGAGGCGACTTCTAAAACTTTTTAGATTACCTGTTTGGTTACCTATATCTTCAAATCGGTTTGGAAACTTCTGAACCCAGTTTGACGATCTCTCTACATGGAATGTGGCCTCTAAAAATTGTTAGGTGAGCTCTATTCATGCTTGATGACATCTAAACTTATTTGGTTACCTCTTAACAGGTTAAGTAAACTGGAATATAACCTCTAATCATGCGACATTACATCTAAATTTGTTTGGTTACCGATAAAACCATTTTGGTTACCCATAAACCAATTTGGTTATCTCTAAACTTGTTAGATGACCTCGTTTTTGTTGCAGATCGCAAAAAGGACTTGGTGAAATTGCAAGCCGGCGAATACGTCTCGTTGGGCAAAGTGGAGGCGGAACTAAAAACGTGTCCGTTGGTCGACAACATTTGCGTGTACGGCGAATCGAGTAAAGATTTTTGCGTGGCGCTGGTCGTTCCTAATCAGCAAAATCTGGAAGACTTGGCGGCGAAGAAAGGCGTCGAAAACAAGTCGTTCGAAGAGTTGTGCGTGAATCCGGTGATAGAGAAAGCCGTGGTGAAGGAGTTAGCGGAACACGGAAAGAAAAGTGAGTATTTTATTTAAATTAAAATTAGTTATAAACGAATTAATAAAAATTTCAGAAATTTCAAAAATTTAAAATTTTCAAAATAAAAATGAATAAAAATTAATACAAATGAATAAAAATGAATAAAAATGAATGAAAATGAATGAAAGTGAATAAAAATGAATAAAAATGAATAAAAATGAATAAAAATGAATAAAAATGAATAAAAATTAATAAAAATGAATAAAAATGAATAAAAATGAATAAAAATGAATAAAAATGAATGAAAATGAATGAAAGTGAATAAAAATGATTAAAAATTAATAAAAATGAATAAAAATGAATAAAAATGAATGAAAGTGAATAAAAATGAATAAAAATGAATAAAAATGAATAAAAATGAATGAAAGTGAATAAAAATGAATGAAAGTGAATAAAAATGAATAAAAATGAAAAAAAAATGAATAAAAATGAATGAAAATGAATGAAAGTGAAAAAAAAATGAATAAAAATGAATGAAAGTGAATAAAAATGAATAAAAATGAATGAAAATGAATGAAAGTGAATAAAAATGAATAAAAATGAATAAAAATGAATGAAAATGAATGAAAGTGAATAAAAATGAATGAAAGTGAATAAAAATGAATGAAAGTGAATAAAAATAATTAAAAATGAGTAAAAATAAATAAAAATGAATAAATATAAAAAAATGAATGAAAATCAATAAAACTAATGAAAATTAATAAAAAAGGAAGTCATGTATTTTTTTATATTAATAAAACGACTACATCCGAGCAAAACCGCAAGCAACAGCTAGTTAATTATAAACGAATTAATCAAAAATTTTAAAAATTTCAAAAAAACTTAAAATTTTAATGTTTTGCAGGTAAACTCGCCAAATTTGAAATTCCCGCCGCGATAAAGTTGGTAACGGAAGTTTGGTCGCCAGACATGGGTCTCGTGACGGCCGCCTTCAAATTGAAAAGGAAAGACATCCAGGAACGGTATAAGCACGAAATAAACAGAATGTACGCCTCTTGAAAGTTACATTTCTTTTAAAACCATTTAGTTTTTGGTAAGCTAGTTCCGTGCTATTAATTATTTAAGTTTTTTATGATGTAATTGTGCAGTGTACAAAGATTTATTGTAAAAAGTATTTTTTGTAAAGTTTCTTGTACATATTGGATATGAAGTTATCGAACGATAGGATTTTTATTTATAGTTGTTGCGCGCTCTCTCTTTATTTGAGAAAGACAAGAGATCATTGTACATAAGAACAAAATTGTATTTTTTTATCGTTTTAGAATTATGTCAACGTACTGGAAATGGGTTTTAAATCAGTTTGTCGAAATTGAGTATTTAGAGTCCTGGAATATAATTTCACCAACTTTGGAACGCCTATTGAACAGTTAATTGTATCGTGTCAATTTCTCTTCAACGATTAGCGATTTGGTAAATTTCTTGGTCAATCGAGTTGGTAAATTTCTCGGATTTTGGATTGCGTATCCCTAAACGCCATCATTAATTTATTTATATTGTTGATTTGTTAAAAAGGCTCGACTCGTTCTGCAAGATTTAAAACATTTCTGGTAATATTATAAAAAAAAAATGCTAAATGTTAGCATCACTGTTAGTTACGACAAAGAGCTGATAAACTTTTCTTCACAACTAAACCCGGTTGTGATTTTTAGCAGCAATATATGTGAGATTTTTTTTTCTTGTACATGTCATTTGTTATTGTTATTATCATATTGTTTGTTATAATGTATTAAGTTGTTTTCTTTTAGAAAAATACTATTCACATCGCCCTTTTCCTACTTCAATTATGATTTGTTAATATTGAAAGTTGTTTTTTTAGGAAAAAAATTGCATTTTCAATTTTTTTTTAATAATAATAATAATCGGTCTAAGAAAGCGTTTTGAATACCGAAACAAGTACTTAAAACAAAATGTATTCCAAATATTTTCTAAATATCTTTATTAAGATAAGTTACTGTGTACATATTATTATTAATTAGATAGGATAATTTTGTAAAGATCGAGTAGCGTTCAGCAAAATAGAACAGAAAGTTAGGAGAAATGGGATTTTTAAAGACAATAAACTGCGTTACGTTTTTATTTTCCAAAAATTGACAATAATGCATTTACGGAAATATCTCTTCCTTATTCAGGGCTTCAAAAAAAAAGATGGTACTTAATGTAAATTGGAGACAAATTATTAAGGCCAGTTACTTACATTCTTGCACCATTGTACCTTTACAATTTTCAATATGGAAATTTATAGCATTAGCTTTATTTGGTGGTTGAAACGAAATTCGTACGAGCTCGTACGAAACTGACTGGTTATTAAGTTAAATTTAGGTAATAAATTGCGTATTTTTTAAATATATAAACCATCTAATAAAACTAAAAGTTCTCAAATCAAATTTTGCTAAACACTACTCGAAAATCTATTCAAAAAAAAAAATTGGTGCTGCAAAGGGTAAATTATATAGCGAAGTTGATCAAATTAACATCACAACTTTATTTTAAGTGAGCAAGTTTTTTGGTTACAGTTGTGTTTAGTATTTGTATTTATTATGAAAATGGTAATATAATACTAGTATTATAAATTTTTCGTTTTATTTTATACCTAGGTTCTTCTTGTTCTTTGTAAACAATGTAAGGTCCAAAATACTCCATTTTTTACTTTCCTATCTGTATACAGATATAAGGAAAGTATAGGAATCATGATTTTTTTCGACCTCGAGTTTTCGACGGATTTTTACGTTTTGAGGTCCCCTGAATCTGTTTTGACTATTTTCGCGATGATGTCTGTGTGTGTGTGTGTGTGTGTGTGTCTGTGTGTGTGTGTGTCTGTATAACGCATAACTCATGAACCGATTCACAGAAAAACACCAAATTTTAAACTTAAGCTTTGTTTCAACGTCCAATGAGCTGATTAGATTTTGGGCAGAGTCGGAACATCTGGGGGGGTACTTTATAGGGGGTCATTTTTATATTTTATAGAATATATCTGTTATTTACGTTTGGAGAAGAAAATTCTTCAAATAAAAGTTACTTCTAATATAATTATCTAATTTTTGTATTATGCAAAATTTTCCTAAAATGGTACGTATTCGAGAAATTTGACAAAATGTAAAAAAAAATAATTTTTTATAAAAATTGTTCAAATAAAAGTTGTTTGTAATATAATTCTCTTTAATTTTTATTTTATACATAATTTCTCTAAAATGGACCGTATTCGAGATATTTGAGAAAATATGTAAATTTCGAATTTTGAAGAAAACTCAAAAACGGATAAAGAAAAAAACATTAAATTTTAAACTTAAGGTTTATTTCGGCCTGACGTGAAATGATTAGATTTTGGACATAGTCGGAACATCTGGGAGGCCACTTTTATATTTTATGGAATATATCTGTTATTAATGTTTGGAGAAAAAAATTGTTCAAATAAAAGTTACTTCTAATATTATTATCTATAATTTTTGTTATATGTAAAAATTTCCTGAAATGGTCCGTATTCGAGAAATTTGACAAAATGTGCAAAATTCTGATTTTTATGAAAGTTTTTGAAATAAAAGTTGTTTGCGATATCGATCTCTATAATTTTTGTTTATACATGATTTTTATAAAATGGACCGTAATGAAAAAATTGTAGGAAATTTAAATTTTTCAGTCTTTTCGTTTTCCATGAATATCTATAGAAAAATGTTTCGAGGTAGATGTATGTGGACAATGTATATATTTAGTTTATCCTCTAAACATTTATAGAGATGCTGCAATAGGTTGTACAAAATAACCGGAAAAAGCCTATAATAACTAGATAGGAAAGTCATGTGTTGGACACATCAGATTTTTTTTCTTTTTAGTGTAGTTTTGGCATGATGTAATGCTTTGGAACAGACGCAGGTACAAAAGTTATGAGATATCTGTAGTGCCTTGGTTGCACTACATTCATTCCTACCTTAGAACGTCACATACTTTCAGGCATCCTTCATTATGTGGCAACCTTTGTAATGAAAAAGGTTAAACCACTGAACTACATTAATATGAAGATCAGTGGGTTAAACTCACTTCCTTGGTAACATCCATTACCACAGATCTATTTATTTATTTATTGTCCAGACTTAGCGGTCGGACATATATATTCCCATATATTTTTTGACGCTGAATCCGATTCCGAGCTCAGAAATGGCCCTCAACGTCTGGAATTGGCCCTATGGGCCAAAAGTGGCCTCTATATGGCCTGAAGGGTGGATTCCGAGATGAGGCGTGGTTGAAGATGCATTCTAAAGCCAAAATCGGCTTTGTGGTCGAAAAGTTCACGGACAACTGAAATTCCCCGTGCGGGCCGGAAAAATGGGCGGGACAATCGTGTTTCGGACGTCGCAATGGCATCAGTGGTATTTTTATGTACTTTTGAATTCTAGAATGAATACCGTGCTCGAAAAGTTTATGGCAAACTGTAATTCACCGTTTGGGAACGGGAAAATGGCCCTTTAGGAGCCGGAAAATCGTGTTTCAGATGTTGCAATCGCTACAGTGGTATATTTATGACCTAGTTCTCGAACTCAGACTGTGCTCGAGAAGTTTATGACCAACTGGAATTCTCCCTTTGGGACCGGGAAAACGACCCCTTAAGGACCGGACAGTCGTGTTTGGGACGTAGTAATCGAGTGGTATTCTCATGAAAATTGAGTGAATAGATTTGACTTCGAGAAGGTTTCATCACACACGGTTACGGCCTTAATTCAAGAATTTATAATAATAATATTTATTGCTTCTAAACCTGAGTTACAGTAATGAGTACAGATATAAAAAATTAGATCTTAAATCATAAAAACAACATTATTCATTCAGTACAAAAGAGCGCAATTTTAATATATTCCAAATATATTCAACAATTTTCCTAGCTTCAAAAATTGTTATATTTTGTAAAGTATGCAGCAAGAGTTTACATTTTCAAGGCAAGAGATATTTTGCTTCATTGTTGAGTAAGTATAGGGCAATCAAATAGTATGTGAAAAATTGTTTCTTTTTCATGTGTATTACACATAGTATAATCTAGTTCGGGATCAATAACATAACTAATACCGTTTAATGTAAATTTAATCCTTAAATGGTTGGACACGCAATTGAGCAAGAGTACGGGTAACCTGGATTGGTAATTTAAAGAGTAAGTATGTACTTGGTTCACAAGACGTAGGAACATAATTATATAAATACATAAAAGGATAGCGAGACGCTATACTAACATCTGAATCATGTGACTGTGTAAAATATTTGGAAAACAATTCTTTTCTATATGAACTAACAGAAGGATGGTTTGAATTGTTCCAAATATGAACACAATCAATATCAACAAAGAACTTTTTCAACTGTACTATCCAGTTATACTTTATATCTGTAGAGTTGATCAAACGCAATTGTTGTTTAAAACAAAGCTTTGGATATCAATAATTATCAATTGTCATTATTTTTGTATCCAATTAAGGGACATTTTAAAAATATTAAATGCAAACTTTACTCTTCCAGTCTCTAAACGGATTATAGCATCAGGAGTAGTGATGGGAACTAAAAGAACTCTTTTAAGGAAATATAACTGGACTCTTTCCAATACATCTAAGTATCTTAGGCCCCAAACAGAAATACAATTAAACATAACACTAAGGGCAAGTGACTCAAATGAGTTGATTCTATTGTGCCAAGTATTAATTTTAGCTTTCCACATTATCGGAAGGAAAGAACCTATAGCCTGTTTACCTTTGTTGGGAGTAAAATGAGCCATTTCATTAAAAAGACCTGATGACGTAAATACTACTCCTAGATATGTATATTTATTAGTTATAGAAATAAGTTGGTTGTTAAAGTAAAAATTAAAGTTAGGCGTCCTGAAACCTCCCTTAGAAAATTGCATTATTTTTGTTTTCTGTGAATTAACAGTTAATTTATTAGCAACAGTATATTTTTCTAAAATTTTTAACTTTTTAACAACATCAATCTCAGAGTGTGCTAAAATGACAAGGTCGTCAGTATATATTAGCGACAAAACATCATTTTTGTCATCAATATTTATACCTTGAGCACCGTTCTCATAAAAAAAAGGTATCTAAGTCAGCTATAAACAGTGCAAATAATAAGGGACTTAGAGGTTATCCCTGTAGGACGCCCGTTGTCACTTCAAACGATTTCGATAGCCCATCAGATCCTTTTATTTGTACCGTAGCGTGCGAATAAAGCATTTTTATTACACGGAGAATTTTTGATGACACTCCTACATGAAATAATTTGTTCCACAAATCCACATGATCAACTGAGTCAAAAGCTCTTTTAAAATCAACAAAAATTGCAAACAGTTTTCTCTTTTTATGCCTTATATGTAAATTAATAACACTGCTTAAGGTGAAGACATTATCTTGCCAACCTCGCCCTAAACGAAAGTCAGCTTGACATTCTGGAAGGATATTCAAAAATTACTCCTATGTGATAGTTTTCCCCGGTATCTACAAGATCCCGAAAGCCCCATCCACCGATTCTAATGCGTCTATCCTTTACCCATGTATTCCTCTTCGATTGTCAAATATAAAGAGTAATTTAAACGATACAATATAGAGTCCCCGACTTTACTTCCTTTTACGGAAGTATATACATACGGTAAAGTATACGGGGATCTCTAATAAGGCAGTAGTCTCGATTATGTGAGAAAAACCTGCTCAGATGACGTTCAGGCCGGAGTTTTGGTACACCAGGTCTCCGGAAGTACGTTTTCGTGATGGAATTTGAATTCCGCGTTCCTAGAAACCCCCATGACGATTTTCGGTTTGTCTTTAGAAATTGTATCTGGAGAACCCTCGGAGACGACGTTTCGGTGCACTAGGTGTTCGTGGATCGTTTTCGACGTGAAATTTGGATTAATTGCCCTAAAAAATACCCCTACAAGGTTCTTCGGCTTGTTTTTGGTAATCTTGACAAGAAACTTCTCGGAGATGACGTCCACGTGTCGGTTCCAGCGCATCAGGTGTCCAAGGGGTGTTCGCCAATGTTATATTTGAATTCAGCAACCCAAAAAACCCCCGAGCGCCAAGTTTCTCTCCTTACCCGCGTGAATTTTGGGATAGACCTCCAGAACCCTAATCAGAAACTCGATTTGGGCCAGGCCTAATTTTTGCACCTTTGAGGCCATATAGAGGCCATTTTTGGCGGAGCTTGGGATCAGATTCATCGTCGAAAAATAAATAAGAATATTGTCAGACACGTTTTTTTTGTGGGGCTGTGTAATCATTATGACTTAATATTTTATTTTATACACATGTCATTTTGTTTTTTTGATTTGAAATAAAAATATACCTATACATTCTCCTACAATAATTATTATTATATACAGAGTAACTGACTTCAAAAAAATGCTAGTTAGTATATTTCAAGAATAAACATACCAGTGCAAAGCACTATTAAATGGCACAATAAAACTTAATACCCAAAACCTATTAGTCTAAGATCCGAAGTAAGGTCAACCTTCACGTATCTCTTTCAGGGCCGCCGAGAGCCAGGCCCGGGCCCCAGGATAATTCTCTAGATCGGGCCCCGTGACAAAAAACAGCTCTTCAAACAAAAACTTTTCCTCTTTCTAGTTGAATTGAGTTTCTAAAAAAAAATCCTCAATTCTTCCTCTGCTTCAATTGCTTTTTCTAAAAAAAAAAAAAAGTTTTCAAGCAAAAACTTTTCCTCCCCTACTTCAAAAACTTCCCCCTCTCGTCTTGTGTCAAATTTATTATAAAAAACAAAATTCAGTTGTGGGCCCCCTTTATACCGCTGCCGGGTCCCCATTTGAGTCCGGGCAAAGGGGAATTAGTCCCGGCTATCCCCCCCCCCTCTACTCGGCCCTCATCTGCTTAATGGATGAAAGTTTATTTTTATTAAATAAAATATGTTGATAAATAAACCGCAAAAGGGTTGCCTAAAAAAATACGGTCCAGACTATTTATTTTCTTAAAATAAAGGAAACGACACCCTGTAAAGTATTTCTCAGATGCTTCGACTATGCCCGAATTTTAATCAGCTCACCCCAGGATAGATTAAAGCTTAAGTTTAGAATTGGGTGTTTTTCTCTTTATCCGTTTTTGAGTTGTCTTCAAAATTCTAAATTTGCAATTTTCTTCAAATATCTCGAATTAGGTCCATTTTAGGGAAATCATGTATAGAGGGGACAAAATAATAGAGAATGACATCATAAGCATCTTTTATCATGATTCTTATACTTTTCTTATCTGTACACAAAAAGGAAAGCAAAAAATGGCCGTGACCGTATTTTCTTAGGCAACCCATTTGCGGTATATTTAAAAACATATATTATTTAATAAATAAAAAACTTTTATTCATTAAACAGATGGGTGAAGGTCGATCTTACTTACGGATCCTAGACTATATAGAAAATTAATTAAAGTATGTATTTATATTTTTTAGTTTTTCCCACAATAGAACAATTAAATAAATAATTAACTACTTAATTCTGTTTAATTCCTGCAATTCAGCTGTCAGTTGTATAATCGAAAAAACCACACATTCAAACTGGATGGATTGCAGCAACGTTGGACAAAAAGCCAGCGCTGTTAGTTCATCATTGATAGATTGATGAAAAAAAAAAAAAAAAAGACAGGTAGATAGGTACCTCACCGATACCAACGTTGCTGCAACAATTGGATAAAAAGACACACGTAAAGTGACCAATAAAAGGAACATATTTTAACTGGCAAACTTTTTTTTGCGTAAACGACTCTTCTTGATGCAGTTAAAATGTTGACCAGATTTCAATTTGATACTAATTTTCGTCTTCTAGATATTTTGAAAGTATCCTTGCTTGTATCTTGCATCTGTAAGTCCGCCATATTTGCATTTTCTGTAATCTCACCCATAATCTATAAAAAGTAGGTGACTAAAAGCTGTAAAATAATAATTCCTTTTTGGGGAGGGCGAAGGCAGAATCTTGTAGAACACCCAATGTCTTTAAGTACAAGCCGCCACTGCCTTGTATTTCAATAAAATCGAATCGAGATAAATAAAATATATTTAAATTTATTTAGCTACAGATTAGTAACTAGACTTATCAGACGTTGTAATACTTTTGCGTTCACTCAACATTCTGAGTTACTAGAAAATTTTGTCTTTTTCGACACGGTTGCTTAACGATTTAGTAAACAACTAGTTCCATATACATATAATTATTATTTCTCATTCAAGCGTTCGTTTTAATAATCACCTCTGCCTTACCACATTTATTTTAATCTTACTTTGATAAGTACCTTTAACTAAAATTACTCTATGAACTATACCAAAGGTTGAAGCATTTGTAAACAGCGGTAGGTATACAATAAATGAATATAATGTATGGATTAAAAACCTAGTCTATATTTTGATACCGCAAACATTACCCATTCCGTAAAATAAAACAATAGTTACAATAATTTTAAATATATTTTTAGTATTATCAGTTAGAAAAATAATACTTTAATCACTTCAAGTGTATTAGATCTACAACAGTCATTATCAATATTATCACCGTATGTGTTCATTAAAAAAATCGTTTAAAGTGAGAGCAGGTGTTTGTAACTTAAATAATGATATTGCAGGGGTAAGTTTAATTTTTCTTCTGTAACTTGTTTTTGAAATATCAATGGGATCCGGTAATTTTTATATAAAATTAGCTCTAACTTTATACTTAAAACAAAGGCAAAATAAACTACTGAAATAAAATATTTCAGTAGAGTTACAAAAGCGACACGCATAAACAAATTAGAGAAGGGAAAAAACTTTTTAAACATGCTATTCAATTTTTATTTATCCCATAATTAAAAAACAAAATTGTAGCTATAAGACTCAAAACCAATAATACGCTTGGGAATCATATTAAAAACAATAAGGGCAACATTAATCCCAATAATAAATCGGGAATATATAAATTAAATTGTGGTAGTGGTTAAAAATTGTATATAGGTCAAACGGGCCGTGCTTTTAAAAAACTCTGTATAGAACATTATAGAACAAAAATAATTCTACTTTTTCAAATCATATTTTAGCTGAAAATCATTCTTTTAAAGAAAATTTTGAGATTTTACATATAATAAGGGCATTAAAATAAACCATTTAGAGACACTTGAAATAAATACATTTAAAAATTCAGATAACTTATTAAATGATCAGTTAGATATTAATAAATTACTATTATTAAATCTCTTTACCTGTTCTTAGTTATCTATGAGATAATTTCGGTAATAATAATACTTTATTGGAATTTTATTAATATATTTCTTAAATACTTTGTATATAAAGTACCGTAAACTGGGGGATTCGTGGATTTAACTACTTATTAAGAAAAGCTAAATATAATTTTCTGCAAACATTCTACAGGGTGATAAAGTTAATTTAATAAATACATAATATTCTAAATGTATTTAACTTAAAAATATGTATTTGTTAGTTAATCGTCATTATTAAAGTTCATTTCAAAATGAATGATAGCAAAATTTTTATAACCCAGGAAATAAACCCCAATATAACATCATAAATCAGTGACGGAGAATTTCTAAAATAAAATGTATAACATTATTTGTTGTTAGATGTTAGATTTGTTGATAGAGGCTTGTTAGAATTTGTTTCAAATTCTACGAAAGACTACCATGAAGAAATGAGTGCTGATATTTTGGAGAAATTTTTCAGTCAAATGATACATTTATTACTGTAATTCTGTAATAAAAACTGTGCTATAATGCTGCATTTTCAAATAAACTATATCGATTTAATCATCACTATCAAGTGGATCATCTGAAACGTAAATAATGAATTCGAATGACTCCTTATCTGTTTACGCCTCAATTTAATCGTCATTAAGTGAATTTACACACGTTATCACACGTTTATACACTAATTTCCGCAATTTATGAAACAATTGACCCCAACTTTCCGACATTCACATGCATTTAGTTTTGTATATTCAAATAAAAATTAATTCATTTGAAATTTTATGGAAATCATTCCATAATTTTCTCTTCTATTTTTACAATTTATCTTTCAAAAAATCAAACTGCTGATGTTATAAAAACTATAACAAAGTGTAAAATAATTCAAGAATAAAAATATAAACAACAATAAAATTTAATTTTTAAAAAATTAATATACGAATCTCAGCAGAATACTTTCTGCCACCTCGCTTTGAATTTCTGTGACGTCACACATTCTTCCTTGTCAATGGGAAAAAGGCCACCGCAGTAGTTTACGAACCGTAACAACTCCACTCAGTATTGTCAATATTTGTTTTATTAAAATTGGGACGGTTTAGAACTTTGATAATAAAAAAGATTTACATTCCAGTCCGTTTTTAAAGTAACACTCAAGTAATGCCTTTGAATTTCTCATTCAAAATGGCGATCAAGGGCGCGCAAACAAAATGACTTACTTACAATTAGGATATTTTACTAGTAGCTTTGTTATTTTGCATTTAACAGAAATTAGTTTTGTAATATAAAGAACAAAGTTAGTGCTGCTGAGCAGTGGCGTACCCACGGGGGAGGGGGGCGGGGATAATAGGGATATATCCCCCCAGGAAGTTCCAGCACGTCCGCAAACTCAAACACATCATCAAAGTGATAAGTGATCAAAAGAAAAAATAAGAGTAAGAGACTTCTAAATCGCCTTATAATAATTACTAAATCAAATACATCATACAGGTGTTGGAAGTAACATATAGCGTCTTCGATTCCACTGCACTGCCTGCGTGGAGTGCACATAAAAGATGAGCGTAAAATCGATACCGGTTACATTTCAGATTGAAAAGTAACTGGTATCGACATATCTCCCACCTTTCGTATGCACTCAGTGCAAGCCGTGCACTATATTCGAAAAAGCTATAAATAAATAAAAATTTAATTTGTCTCAAAATTGTTCATCGATCAGTTATGTAATATGTTTGTTCCAACAACGATTCAAAACCAGTCATTGGCACCAGGATTCTGCACAGTATATAATTAGAAGTCCCAATGATCTACTAAGCAGAATCCTGGTGGCAATGACTGGTTTCTGATCGTTGTTGGAACAAACCTATGGTATCAGCTCCTGGACTAGGCGACTAGATTTTGTTATCCCCCCCAAGATCTATATCTAGGTACGCCACTGCTAATGAGGCTCAAATAAATTAGGACTGGAATGTAGTACCCCAGTGTAATGATTGAGTAAACTAAAATCTTTGTGTCATTCTTCGAAATGTCATTTTGAAAAAGAAAAGTACACGACCCCATCAAAATTTTCATCGAAATGAAACCGAATTCACAGCGACAAACGTTCCAAATTTATCAATAACTTTATAAAAATGAATTTTAGCCATGAACTACCATGCAAGAAATCATTCGAATAGAATCTTAATACTACACAATTTATCCGTTTTCGGATAAATCTTCAGATTAGAATTTTGAACCGATGATAACTTATAAGTCTGATCCAGCGAATTTACAAGTTTACAAAAGCCAAACAGTTTGCAGTTAGTTATCTGGTGATAATGTGAGAAGTACGAATAATTATATAATTCTTTATAGTGTCCTGAATTGTGGAATATGCCCAGCGCACTTAGGTAGGTAATTATTTGTTTAATTAAATAGTTACATAAACTCCTTATTAGTTTTTTTATCGTCGGTCTGATATTTCAAATTTGAAAAATTGTACCTTATCTTATTATTTAAACAATTTAAATAATTAAAAAAAAAATTTTAATTCGTTGAAATATTACTTATTTTCAGTATAGTCCTTGAAAAGCACTGCTAGTCGTTAGCAAAACATTTATAGCTGATTTCTTCTGTTCAATATGGCGTAGTGGCAACATCTACAAGCTAACTTAAATCTGATGTTATTAAAAGTAGCCATACCTCAATTGTCATTTATTTTATGAAGCCATTTGGATCAATTCATAATTTCAAATTGACACTTATTATACAAAATAGCTGACTTCCGATTAAACCGGCAATGTCATTACTTACGCTTTATCCAATAATTCAAAAAATGCTATTAATGCAGATTTATGGCCTTATAATGCATTTGTAAGTTGTTTTTTGTTAGGGGAAACCCTGTAAAATGCAATAAATAGTGACAAAATTTATTTTTAGAAAATGATTTGCATGACACCAACGTTAATGTTTTATGTTAAACAGAAAGTGGAGTAAAAACAAATTATTTGAAATTATGAACTATTTTTATTTAATTTCATTTAATAAAAAAAAAAAATCGGTCGGAATATCATATTTATTAGTAAAAAGGTTACATAAAAATTTGGTTTCTACCAACAACATGTTTAAGGTGTAAATAAAAAGTCAGGTGTCCCAGTATACACCACCTGTCTCAGTAAGAACCAACCAGTGTTACTTACTGGGACATGGCGTGGTACACTATAGGACATCAATTTAATCCATGTTAAAATGTATTTTTTTTTAATCTAAACTGCAAATAATTTATAAAATCTTAATTAGAAACTTAAGATGAAACAATTATAAAAAATAATTATTTTAAACACCTCTAGACAATTTTATAAAAAAAAAAAGGAAAAAAAAACATTATACTACCAGGAAAAGATTTCACCATAAAGACGTGTCGATTATTGTGAAATCAATGATTAATACATTTGGTTGACGTAAAAGGTACACTGTAGAGCAGTGGTCGCCAACCTCTCAATGTGTTGAGCTACTTTGTTAATTTTGGAATAAACAGCGAGCTACCCACACGGAAGCCACGTAACGCAACGTAAATGAAATAATCCACACTTAATTTATCATTATATGTATTTATTTTACTATTTAACTGGTAATACATAATACATAGGTACTAATAATAAACTAATAACAAAATATTAAATATTACTAGTACGTACTTGTTCATAGCTACATTCCTACCTACCATCGAAGGTGTTTGAAAAATAAACACAAACTTTTATCCAGCCACAACGGCATGTCACGTAAGATTTAAAAATAGTTATCATGAACATAAACATTGAAAAATAAAAAAGCACGTTCAATGAGAAGGCTGACACTCAGACTCTTCAATAATTTTTTAAATATTTGCAGTATAATTTGATACAGCCATTCGAATACAATTATCCAAATGTTCATCTGTAAATCGATTGCGATATTTGTTCTTAATAAACTTCATATTGGAAAAAGAAGATTCACACAAATAGGTTGAACTGAATAATGCTTTCACTTTCAAGGCAACACGGCATAGAACTGAATATTTGTCTTTACTTACAATAGGCCAGATACATTTGGTACTTGAGACTAACGATTTTAAGGCTAAATCATTTTGAAACTCAATTATTTCCATTTCTGTTGCAGTGATGTCTTCGCCAAAGTTCTGCATAACACAAGTTGCAAACTGTTGGATATCAATTTCCATAAAGGGAGAAACAACAAACTGCGCTACTAAAGCCATTTCGTTGAAATCCTTAAAACGATTTTTGAAGTTATTCTTCAGGGTAGAAACTATTTCTACATGATATTTGCTGTCATAGGGTTCTAATGGATTTTGAGATATTTTTTCTGAAAGAATAGGAAAATGCTTGGCATCGCTGTTAATTAGGTTTTGTTCCCAAAACTCCAGCTTTTTGATAAATGCTTTTATATCAGAAATCATTTCTGCTAGTTCTTTGTCTCTCCCCTGAAGCTGCAAATTAAGTTCGTTTAATTTCTTTGTAATGTCCACGAGAAAACCAAAATATCTAAGCCAGATTGAATTTTCTAGTTCCGGAGTCGGTTCATCGCGTTGTTTGAAAAATTGAACTATGCCAGATAGGACACCATTAAAATGTTTCAGCACCCGTCCTCTACTTAACCATCGGACTTCAGAGTGAAGGATTAGGTCCCCGTATTGACAGTCAACTTCATCGGCCAAGGTTTTGAATAATCTTCTTTGTAACGCTTGAGCTCTAATCTTGTTCACAATTTTTACCACCAGTTTCATAACGTTGTTTAGTTTCAGGAAATTTCCACATAATGCTTGCTGATGGATAATGCATTGGTAACAGAGAAATTGCGGAAAAGTTTCATCTTTACGACATAACGCCACTAGACCCTTATCACAACCCACCATAGCTGGAGCGCCATCGGTTGTCAAGCCTATCATTTTCGATATTGGAATTTTCTCGGAAGAAATAATATTTTTTAAATGAGAAAACAACTCCTGTCCAGTAGTGTGTCCTTTCAGTGGAATAAACTTCAAAAGATCTTCTTTAATCGTAAAATCACTAAAAACCATCCTGACGAACACGGCCATCTGGGCAGTGTCAACGACATCTGTTGATTCATCCAGTTGAAATGAAAAATAAACACAGTTATCTAAGTCAGTTCTTAACTGTAAAAAAATATCATTGCTCATTACTTCTACACGTCTCATCACTGTATTAGCAGAAAGTTGCATAGATTTTATAGCTGAAACTATCTCGTCTTTATTTCTAAAGTTGGCAAATAACGAATCAGCAGCGTCTAAAAACGCCTGTTTTATCATTTCCCCGTCTTCATACGGTTTCTTTTTTTGTGCAATTATCTGGGACACACGGTACGATGCTTCAGTTGCAGCCTTATTTTTGTCGACTGTTCTTAAAAATATTGATTGTTGTCTAATTAACTGCTTTTTTAACTGTTTCAGTTTCTCCTTTCTGGCGGCAGAATGTAGTGGGAATGATTTTTCAAAATTAGAATGTACATTTTTATGATGTCTCTCAATATTTCCTTTTTTAGCAACGGAGACCGAAGTATTACATAACAAACACACATTTTTATCTTTAACTTCTGTAAAAAAGTATTGTTCTTCCCATTCCGAATGAAAGTGGTATATCTTTACCTTCTTACAACTGCTTGCCATAATAATATTTTTTGTTGTTCTCTACTAACCCAACCGCTGGACGTTGGTTACGCGTTCAGTTTTAAACTAAGCGCAATGTCGCCGCGCCGTGCGTATTTATCCCGTTCAAAGCAATCCTGATCGTTCTCGAACACTAACGCGCTGGTCCGGCTGGTCGGTTCTAGCCGATTCTAGCTTGATGACATCAGCGGCAGATCGCTCACCGCAACGTTGCCGCTGTTTATGTTTAATATTATGACAATTAGATTGTTTGTGGAATTTTCGGAAGCTTCTCTGATTTTTGCAGTTTGTATTTTTTAAATTAAAATCGTTGTGAGAGCTACCAGAATTGCCTCTGCGAGCTACCGGTAGCTCGCGATCGACAGGTTGGCGACCACTGCTGTAGAGGATAAATAATTCACTACTGTTCACTTACTTAGCTGGATCCTTAAAAATAGTCTAGGTACGCCACTGGAATCTTCTTTGTTCAATCGTAAATGTTCTACGTAAGCCACTGCTTGCAATATCAATCGATACCCTTGATTAACATTTTGATTTGTCGTATTTATGTAATATTGACCTTTAAATTAAATTTAAATAACATTGTGACTAATTGTAAGTACATACGTGATACACACATGCTAAAGTGCATTTACGTTATAAATGTATGGACCCACCAGTCAAGCGGTCACTCAAAAACGTGATGCTATACTATAATAAATATAAAATATTGTAAATTCTTCAATAATTAATAATTATTAAGTAGGAAATGGAATATTATTATTACTCTCATTGAATGTTTGTATTTGTTTTAAAATTAAAACTGCGGGATATGATGTAATAAATCTTATCATATTTGTTCAATTTAAATGGCAGTTTGTATGTGTACTAATTTCAAACTGTCTTAATCTTTTTCAATGTTTTGCAGAATATTGACCTCAACAATCATTTCACAATCAGCATATTAGCATTTTTATAAAAATAAGTATGTACCCTACTAAGTACACTTTACAGAACTAAAAAAAAAAAATGTTTACAATAGTACAAATTTTTTTAGAAAAAAATTAAAAAAAGACGAGCCCAAAAAAGTATAACGCGGAGAAGTTGTAGCACTTTATTATTGATTTTTAATAATAAATGTCTTAAATAAATATGATTATTATCTATTATAACACAATGTGAGATAAGATTTTAATGGGGCAATAAACACTTGTTAAAAATGGATTAAATGACAAAGAATGTAACTAATTTTTTTTTAATAGTTAGCTTTCATTGATAACTTCTATAACTGTTATTTGTTATCATACTCTAAAATAGAATAATCTAATAAATAATATGCATTGAATATTGAATGTGAATAATTAAGAAACTTAATATTATATGTTATGTAAATAAATGCACAAAACGTGAAATTAATTTTCCTAGAATATACAAGGTTTGTCAAAAAATGTGATTTTTACTAAAGAGTAAAGTACCTTTATTTTTGACAAACCTCGTATACGACTGATAAAACTTGATATTTCATATTTCCCACCTTATACTATGGACACAAGTCCAAAATTGACGATATTATTTCGGGAACCTGCCACTGCCAAATATGCCAAACACTTCTAAAAAGAAGGATGACTCCTTGAAATTAGAAATTCTACGTTCAATATAATTATTTTATTACATTATACTTATTCCTGTAACAGATTATTCGATCTGCAATTTTTAAATAATTATACAATTATTTTATTACTTATTATTGTTTTAATTACTGTTTAGACTTGATATCCATGAACTTTAACATCTGTAATTTAATACAAATAATAACATACAATATTACAAAAACATTATTAGAGAGAAGGCAATTTGGGAGATAATGATTGATTATTAAAAATGTGCGTGAGATTAATTTTATATAAAAATATTAAAGGCTCCATTGGCTCCACATAATAGTAGTTATTGGGGTCTGTAACAATTCCTTTATATTTAACGGCCTTTATAAATATTTTCTCCTTTACTTCTGTCATTATTTAAACGGATCTTTAAAATACATTAGAGTACTATCTTAAAGAAATCTGTTTAAATAATGATAGAAGTAAATTAACGAATAAGAAACTATTTTTAAAGGCCGCCAATATTTTTAAAGGCCGTTAAAATATAAAGGAATTCTTACAGAATAGACCCTTATGTCAGTTTATAATTTTTAGACGAATCAGGGACTAGATACTACAGATTTAATAGGAATCTGAATTTGTGACCTATCACTGGATGGGTCTACACAAGGGATTTCCAAAGTGGTCGATACTGACCCCTTGGGGTCTAAATCGCTTTCCAAGTGGTCGACGAGGTCTAAAAATCGACCTCTATTAATTGCCAGAAGTTTAAAGATTCGCTAAATATTTAACAAACGTTAACAACCAGCTATATAGATTGTATCTCAAATATGTATTTTTATATTGTTTTTATAACTATCCTAATATATATTTTTAAATATATCTAATATAAATGATTATTTTCAGCATCGAATATAACTGGTTCTTCAGTTTGCTCTATGGTTTCATATTCGTTGTGGTATTCATCTTCGATGTTCTCACATTCCCCATATACTTCATTCTTCAAAATCCCATAAAGAATATGAAATTATCGAAAATAAAAAGAGTAAGTTTTTCTTTTTTTTTTTATTTCATTAACAGTGGGAAGTGGGACATATTCAATTATAAACAAAAACTGTATCTTTATAATTTTAAGTCTACGATCATCGACAGAGGCAACGACTACATGACCATAAAGACAACGAAAAAACCATTCGATACTCACAAAGAAATCGAAAGGGAAAACATCAAAACCATGACGGAACTTTTTGAACATGCCGTAAAGAAATATAAAGAAAAGAGATGTTTGGGAACGAGGCAAATCATAGGAGAAGAAGACGAAGAACAACCGAACGGAAGGCTCTTCAAAAAGGTAAAAAGTTTTAACGAGGATTGTTCAAATCAGTCTTAAATAAAAACGTACTAAAATGTTCATGAACATGTACTAGAATGTATTTAAAGCATCAAGAGATTTTTTAGATTTAAATCGAATATGAGCATTATCCTTTTGATAATAGAGCCCTTAAACCATGGAGGATATATTATAATAGTAGTGTGACGTTTATTTAATTTATTTATTGTTGATTTATTTAAAACACATTATTTACAAATTATTTACGACGTATTAATTAATGTATATAATACTTATGCAGTATTATTACTCACGATTCTAATTTATTTATTACAATTTATCTGTTCTGTTCAACACTTTATTTGAAACTTTTTGTCCGTCGACCACTCGCGCTATTTATATAAAACCCAACTCTGTACGAGAATACTCTCTCTATATAGCTCATACGCCGCAAAGGGATCACTCCGCTGGTTTCTCAAAGCGCCAGCGGCATACATAGAATATTCCGGGGTTTCGATCATGAGTCGGGTGGCATAATTCAAGGTCGCGTTCTACAGAGACGGCTTAGGCATTCCCATGACAGTATCTTTCTATTTTAGAACATGTGAAAATACTTTATACAGCTTTTCATTAAATTTTGTATCAATTCCAGTACATACTAGGAGACTATAACTGGCTCTCATTCACCGACGTTGACAGATTAGCATCTTTATTCGGAAAAGGTCTTCGAGAATTGGGCAACAAACCCCAACAACCGATCGCCATTTTGGCCGAAACTCAAGCCAGATGGATGATCGCGGCTCAAGCCGCTTTCAAGAACTCCGTGCCGCTTGTTACTATCTACGCGACGCTCGGAGAAGAAGCCATTGCGCATGCGATCAACGAAACGGAAGTCAGCGTCGTTATTACCAGTTTTGCGTTGTTGCCGAAGTTCAAAAAAATCTTGAATTTGACGCCAAACGTAAAAACTATCATTTATATGGAAGACCAGTTGGAAACTTTGAAGAACAAGGATGGTTTTAAGGTTGGCGTGAACATTTTGGGTTTCGATGAAGTTCTTCACATAGATACTAATACTACTGGTAAGTAGATATAGCACTAGAATAATCATTCAAAAGAAAATGAAAGAAAGTTCAGAATTCCTTGCAAAAATCAACTAGAGAATTCTAGAAATAACAAAACAATGGCTCTATAATAATTGTTTTAAATAATGTTAACATCTATTTTAAACATTCTTCCTTTAGATGTTAAGAAAGTAGGAGTATGTGTAGAGACCTGCACACCTAATAAATCGAACCCGTATTGTCCCATTTGTAGTGATCCCTTCTCCTCTCTAACTCCCATAATAGTAAAACCAGGAAGCAATAGTAACATGACCGACTCTGTAACGACTAAGTTGGTACAAAGAAAAAATGGTAAGTATAAAGAGATTGTTCAATTTTTGGAACAGGATATCCTATTTATTTTTGTAAAAATTACTGTTAGGTTGGTGAAAAGAGGTGATGTTTTCGGTATGAAGTACCTAACTCTCTTTTGCGTTTTTTCCTCAACATTTAGTACTCGAAATCTTGCATGTAGAAAGTTGTAAAATAATATACTCGACTTAAAAAAGTTAAAATTCACAAATTTCATTATTTAATTTTTATAGGTTGTATGCTGTTAAATGTGCTTACATTTTTATTTACCTTTATCTCAGAAAATAATTATTTGCACACCGCGGCATTCTTTTGAGCGTTGAAAAAGAAAGTCACCGCCCTGTCTGGGATTAGAGACCAATGATTTTATTCTTCGTAGCTTTATCTTCTGGCAAATTTTATGTTTTGTTTACGTAAAAATAATTAATTTTAAGCAATTATGGTAACTAATCATATGCGTATGTTCCAGACCAAGTCAGACCCACGCCAGATGACATAGCCATCATCATGTACACCAGCGGTTCGACAGGAGTACCAAAAGGAGTGAAACTCCTTCACCGGAACCTGATAGCTTCAATCAAAGCGTTCACGGATTGCACGAAACTGTACAAGGAGGAAGTCGTAATGGGCTACTTACCGCTCGCTCACGTGTTTGAGTTACTCGTCGAATCGGGTGTCATGTACATGGGCATGAAGATCGGATATTCCAGCGCGCTTACCATGATTGATACGGCTAGCAAAATTAAGCGCGGTACAAAAGGAGATGCTTCTATGTTGAAGCCTACTTTTACCTGTTGTGTTCCGGTGAGTATTACAATGAGAAAAATTTTTATCTAAAAATTATTATGTGTAACAGTTCTCTGTAACGTGTGGAGGGTGAGTTGCCCCCACGGTAACTAGGCCCATTGTGCATCCTCTTAAGATGATAGGCACCTCCTAGCTCGTGAGCCAGCTTACAGATCTAATGTAGTTGACAACGTCGCCAAGAGGTACTTGGCAATGACCAGTCAGAATGGCTGTGACTAGGCGCAGATTCTTTCTAGTCATAGTCAAAGTCTGTCACTACCGATTTTGTCAGGCCAATAGAAGGGCCAGGTCCAAAAAGTATTTGGTTGGCTGCTTTCTTGGCTAGTGAATCAGCAAGACGGTTACCTTTCGATGTAGCGTGACCTTTGATTCATCTTAAGGTGACCACATTGTTGACGGATACTTCGGCCAAAGCTTCTTGACATTCTAGTACTAACCCTGTTCTGTTCAGGATGAGTAATGCTTGTGTGTAATAGTTATAAAATAACCAGTGATATTTATTATTTTTTTTATTTGGAACAGTAAATCGTGTAACAACTTCAAATAAATAAAAAGTTAAGGAAAGAACAAGCTGTTCCAAGTTGAAAATGTACCTGGTCCGGGTAAAATGATATTGTTCATTGCATTTTAGATAAACTTTATTCTAGTTAAAAAGTTGACAACTAAATATAACTTACTTTTTATAAATATTCACATAATTTTTTACAAAAAAAAAAACAGATCAGCTACTGTCTGGGCCACCATATCGCCAGTTGTTTTGTATCTTAGTAAATACAGGGTGTTATTGAAATACACGTACATATTAAAACTGGGTATTGCGCAGATCCCCACTGAATGTAGAAAAATATTATTTTTTAAAAATACCCCTTATTAAGGGAGTTATTAATTTTTGAAAATTAATTCTAAAACAAACGTACTTCACTGATATGTTGAGGATGACCGATATAAATTAGGTTTATTTACCTATTTTAAACATCAACAGTAATTAATATGCAAGTTTTTGTCAGATGATAAGAAAACTAGTCTTGTAAGAAATAACCATGTTGCCAAGATTTTCGAATTTATTTCTATTTCCGAAGACTGGTTTTTACTACCCTCGTTATCAAAAAACTAGAATATTTGATAAATGATTGTTTTTAAACTATACATTTTTGAAACTATAGATTATTAAAATTTTAGTTGATTTACGAATCTGGCTAACACGAGCGCGTCATTTCCAAGTTGGTAAAAAGTGTTGTTACGATTACTTTTAAATATTTTTTTACGATGCCACTATTTACGAATATTGAACTAACGGATATAGTGCTGGTTTATGGGGCAGCTGGAGAAAATTCTCGGCAAGCACAAATCCTGTATCGCGAACGGTTTCCAAATCGGAGAATTCCGGACTGTCGTACGTTTATTTCAACTGTTCAGCATCTAAGAGACCATGGAAAATTTGAGAGTGTCAATGCAGATCGAGGGAGAACAAGAACACAAAGAACATTGGCGGCCGAAGAAGAAATATTGGAAGCTGTTGAAAACCGGCCTCAATTAAGTTGTAGAAGACTAGGTCTTGAAATTGGAGTGTCCTCATTTGTTGTGTGGCGGACACTTAAAGAACAAGGTTTACATCCTTATCACATCCAAAAAGTCCAGGCCTTATATCCAGGTGATGTAGAAAAGAGAGTGGAGTTTTGTGAATGGATGATTCAAAAATGTGTTGATATTCCTGATTTTCTAAAAATATTATTGTATACTGACGAGGCTTCATTCACTCGTGATGGCGTGTTCAATATGCACAATACGCATATTTGGAGTGATGAAAATCCTCACGCCATTAGGGAAACTGGGCATCAAAGAAAATTTTCAATAAATGTTTGGGCTGGCATAATAGATCAGTATTTAATCGGGCCTTATGTTCTCCCGAACAGATTAAATGGGCCAGGATATCTCCACTTTTTAGAAGATATTTTGCCAGTACTCCTAAAAGAGATACCGTTACAATTAAGGTAACGGATGTGGTACCTACTAGATGGCGCTCCTCCTCACTTTGATTTAAACGTACGGCAGTTTTTGAACATTAGATTTCCTCAAAAGTGGATAGGCAGAAATGGACCTACTAAGTGGCCTCCGAGATCTCCGGACTTAAATCCATGCGATTTCTTTTTGTGGGGTCACATGAAACAACTGGTTTATAATGAACCTATTAATAGTGTTGAACAATTAACCAATAAAGTTAATGCGGTAGCCGAGGAATTACGACAAAATCCAAGACTAATTTCTAATGTTCAAAGTTCTTTGGAAAGACGATTGCAAGTGTGTGTAAATAATAATGGACGGCATTTTGAACAATTACTGTAATAAACTTTATTTTGAATTAATTGGTTTTGCTACGGCAACAGTGCAATTTCTATGGGTAAGTTCAATTTCGATTTATTTTACTTCTTTAAATATGGAAACTAGTAGGTCGGAAAAGGGGACTCTTCCCCAATATTTAAATTTTAGAATTTGAAGTTAAAATTGGTGCCAATCGTTTTTGGTCATTACATACTATTCCCCATTTTAATATGTACGTGTATTTCAATAACACCCATATTACACTTTTGTTTTTTACTGTATGTTTTCGATTACAGTTGATATTGGACAGAATAGCAAAAGCTGTACTTGATAAAGTGGAAAAGAGTAGCGGAATTAAGAAGGTCATGTTTAAATTCGGATACAACTACAAAAATAGATGGAGAAAAATCGGATTTAGCACTCCACTGACTGATAAGTAAGTATTAATCTTTTTTTTTTATAATTTTACAGTTTTTTTCAATTATTTACAAATATTACAGTGTGGAACAGCCAAATGGAATAAATTCGGTAATAACGTGTTCAGAAAAACGCTCGAACACGTTGATTGGTATTTTTTAGTTGTGCATATAAACTTAATTAGATCTGTTCCTTCAGCACTAAGTAACAGTTTTTATTTCGCACCACACAAAAGAATATATAGCTGATCTACTTCCATCCGATGAAGCCCGAAATCGGTTGTTCATTAACTTGCAAAACCATATTATTTACTAAATTAAGTAATTCATGAAATATACAGTAACTAATCTATTCTTAATTTTTTGTTTTTCTATTTCAGAATAATATTTCAAGCTACAAGGAACATTATGGGTGGCCATCTTCACGTAATGGCCGTTGGGGGAGCTCCATTGACAGCAGACACCCACGAGTTAATAAGGACATGCTTGTGTATAGATGCTTTACAAGGATATGGTTTGACGGAGACTTGTGCTTGTGCATCTAATCAAGACAGTAATAAAAACCTTTAATAAACTAAATTTGCTCGGAACTCAAATAGTCTTGTTTGTAAGGACTCCAAAAACAAACATAGAGCCATTTGCATTTAATCTATTTATAAATGATTTACCTAACTAACTTTGAATAGCGAAATTACAGGAGAATCTGAATAACCTGTGTAATTATCAACAATTTGTAAAATATTTAGCGTCATTTGGAGTTCCTTAAGGTAGCAATCTGGGTCCACTTTTTGAACAATGTAGCAATAAATATAAAATATTATATAACCCTTTTTTTTTTCTAGAATACGATTTGCAATACGAACGCGTGGGCTCTCCTATGACCACGGCACTGATAAGAATAATCAACTGGGAGGAGGGAAATTATTACATAACGGACAAGCCGAATCCGAGGGGGGAAATAGTGATAGGCGGGGGAATCGTGAGTCCGGGTTATTATAAAAATGACGAAAAAACTAAGGAAGAATTCTTCGAGGACAAAGACACTTGGTGGTTCAGGACGGGAGATATTGGAGAAATTCACCCAGATGGGTCAATCAAAATTATTGGTAATTATTTTTTAATTGGAAATCTTCAAATTAAATATTAAAAATTACCCATGAGAATAAATGGGAAGTACTTTCTTTATTTCTCCAGAAAACTAGATGCCGAATGACAACACTGTAGCACCGTCTCTGTTTTACTCGCTGTTATCGCCGAGGCTTATTTCCATAGATAAAGAAAGAAGATACTATGAAATTTCACTTTGTGACCTTTTACTTTTGACTCGCTACATACAGTCTTGCCATTCAGCACCCTTAGTTTTTCTTAAACAAAGCGACGTTGCCACATCCAGAATCTTCATAGTTTTTCCCCAAACTTGAGGAAATAATGAGGAATGTGAAATAGCTTACTTACTACTTCCTGTACAATACTTTATTGAAACTAAAAAAATTTATTTTAGATCGTAAAAAAGACTTAGTCAAGCTTCAAGCGGGCGAGTACGTCTCTTTGGGCAAAGTGGAAGCATTGCTGAGCACGAATGCGTTGGTGGACAGCATTTGTGTCTACGCCGAATCGACGAAATCGTACTGCATAGCGTTAGTTGTAGCAAATCCGGATAATTTAAAAAAACTTGCCGCCGGGAAACTCAATATTACCAACAAAACGTTTGAACAGCTATGCGACGACAAAGAAGTCAACAAGATTGCCTACCAAGTGATTGTTGATCATTCCAAGAAAGGTAACTATGAATATTTACTTAGTGTTCAAATTTTTTGTCGAATAATACCAATCCACCTCTATTATCCTGTTGTTTTAAAGCTAATAATAATAATTTTTCCATTGCAACTGTAAATTTTAAGACATTTAATTACCTATAAACCAAATTCTATGTACGCTGCATGGGAATGTACACATGTTCCAGTACTCCCACATCCACCCTATAGTCCGGACATGGCTCCGTGTGATTATTTTCTTTTTCCAATGCTTAAGTGGAAATTTACGGAACAATAAACAACACAAATTGTCACGACGTAGGTTCTAAATAGCCTGACAGAAAAAGATTTCCAGAATTGTTACCAGGAATGAAAAAGGCATTTTATTCTCGTGGTACATACCTTATTTTTTGTACCGCAGGGACTAAAACTTACAAATTTATACGATAATTATGTAAAAAAACATTCAATGTTATTTCTTAGCGATATTTAATGATTATGAAAAGTTACTCATATTTATTTCGAATATATCAATATTCAATGTATGATTTAAATTAACAGCCAAACACTAACGAAAAAGGTGAACAAACTGTTGTTTTTACCATAGATATATAACCAAGCGTTGGCAATATTTGCCCACTCTGACAGGACGCTGGATTGCCTAAATCAGTACTCAAGTATATTCATTCGACTATGTAATGCATAACAAGTTGCCTAATTTCACTAAATTTTTATTTTGAGTTAATAGTCCAATTAAATAACGAAAAAAAGCCCCTTCGAGCTTACATTAATTTGTAATTGGATGAAACAAAGTGGACTTGTGTATTTTGATGTGATCTTTCTGAAAAAAAGAAAAAATTATGTAGCTGTTTTTAAATTTTTTTTTAAATTAGTAAAAACCGGGTTTTCCGGAATTTTCCATGGTAAAAAAGCTAATTATCTGGGCAAGTATCATTCTGATAGTAAAAATAAATGCACCACTCGAAAAAGGAGGCAAAAATAGTTCGGAATTTCATTGCACAGGTAGTTTTAATGGCGAATTTCTCGCCGCCAGAAGTGCTTTTACCAAAAAGTTGTTTTTTCGTTTCTTTGATCAGAATCATGAACATGAAATTTGCGATGAATTTGTGGCGAAATTATAAATGTTAGACATATATGTGCCCATGAGAGAAGTTGCGTATATTTTTGTGGGCTCTCAAATAAGTCCCGCGGCTAAATCTGCCATAATTTTTCGGGAATTCGCAGGAAACCGGAACGCGTAAATTTTTTTTCCCATATGATTTTCTCCGGGTTTTCCGAAAACATCTAACAAAAAATATATTTGAAGAAACTAACTGCGCCATCGGAAAGAGCACAAAAAATATACAAAAATGTATACTTTAAAAATGTTAGGAAATTAATCCTAAGCTTGAGTGTAAGTTCCAACTTGGTGATAAGCTTGTTTTTTGTTCTCTAACATCTGGTTTTCTTTTCGGTTGATGCGCCATCCTCCTTTTTTTTTGGCATTGTCAATCGCGGCCCTTTTATGCCTATACCAGGTTTTATAAATAAACTCTTTTCCGTAACGTCGAGCTACGTAATGTAATATGCAATATAAAACCTGGTTCGTAAGAACTGAAAAAATCATCCCCTCTCTCTTTGCTGACCATCTGCAGAACTTTCAATCCTGTCGGTCTAATTGGGGTAAGTTCACCGATTCAATTTGTAATAATATGACCGTTTCAGGTTTAAACTTGTCGGATAGCGAACGCCGAGACCATGGCTATCCTTGATACGACGTCCGGCTAATTTTGCGGTAATTCACAAAACTCAAGAAACGTCTTATAACAAGTCAGTAAAATACAATTTAATAAATTTTAGGCCTAATAAATTTAGGTATGTAAGAAATTTAAAACTGGAAATCACAAAAAAATCAAATTACAGAAATGCACAAGTTTTGGATCCCGCGAAGCGCGTGTAATGGGACTTTTGTCGGGAGAATTCTACAACTTAGAAGGAACATACACACTTTAAACTTTGTATACACATTCAGAAGACATGAGATTTGGGTTTGTTCAATTTTCAGACCAAAAAACTGAAAATCGTCAATTTTAGGCAACTTTTCTCAAAAACCGTGTTTTTTGGTCGTCACTCAATGAACAGTGGTCAAAAAATAGATAAAATATTTTTGCAGAATTTTCAGTAATGTAATCGTATTCTAGACATAATAGAGTATACAAAAAAAAAGTTTTGAGTCATTGGGTACATTTTTGGCATTTTTGTGCCACTTCAAACTTTCGAAAAAAAATTTAGTTTTTTTTTAGGGAAAAAAATTTGTTAAATTGTTTGATATCTTGGCCAATTATAATCCGATTTCGGTAAAATTCACACACGTATAAGATTTCATATTTAAGAGTAAGCTCTGTAAGTGGCATTAAAAAAATTTAAATAGTTTGGCCGTTATAGGCAAACAATGAAATTAGGCTTGTGGTACACTTTGCCCTTCCGCCATATGCCCAATTTTGGGATTTCTCTTGCCCCCTTCTGGGAATCAATAGTCACATCCCTTAAGTTCAAAACGAATTTTTGTTTTTTCAAATATCTTAATTTTTACCAAAGTTATGAAGAATTTAGTGTTTAAACCTTTAACAAATTCAATTTTTCGACCTTCGCCGCCTCAAAATACTAAACAAATTTCAATCGTCCATACCGCGAGAACGGAGCATCGGATCAAAATTTCTCAGGAGACATAAAAATTGGCATTTTTTCTAAGCTTTCAAATGTAAACTGCGTTTTAAAAATTCAAAATTTCGGCACTTTTGAAAAACTGCTACATTTTGTTTTGCCTTTTTTCGAAAAGATCACCTCAAAATACATAGAATCCATTTTGTTTCATCTAATTACAATTTAATGTAAGCTCAAAACCGGTAATTTAATTCGATTATAAATAAACTGATTTTTTTGTTCCTTTCAGTGAAATTAGAAAAGTTCGAAATACCAGAGAAGATAAAACTGGTCAAAGAAATATGGACGCCAGAAACAGGGTTAGTAACAGCAACATTCAAGCTGAAGAGGAAAGAAATTCAGAAATTTTATGCCAAAGATTTAAAAGAAATATATGCTTAAGCGAAAATACAACAACCTGTTAATACTCTCTCTAACTAAATGAAGTGACAACAAACCAGTAATATTAGTCTTATTTTTTTATTCAATATTTATCGGTTCAATTTTGTAAATAATAAAAAAATCCATATGAAAAAAGAATGTATTTTAGAGTAAATATATGAAATATAAATCAAAAACAGTTTTTTTTATACTTATAACAATATAAAACATATTCAAAAATGCATTAAATAGGTGGAAGATGGAATGATGAATTGAGACTGTTCATCTATGTACTGCTTCTACTGTACTTTCCCCATATGTGTAACATGAATACAGATGCAATAAATAGAAGGGACATCACTAAAACTGGAACTGGGCCACTGAAACAAAAATAAATACATAGCTCAACACCATTAACAAAGTTCTAAAACATGTAAACATCCAATTACAGATACATGGATAAATATCATAGAGAATATAAATATATTCAGACAAAAACAAAATAAATAAAATAATAGTTACTTCAAAGTTGTAATTATTAGTTAAACCAAAATGTTTTTATATTGTGAATACTGCAATTAAAAATTTCAATAAATTTAAAACACATGTTAAATAGAGGGAAACATTTAAAGTTATCTTTTCAATGATATGCCCCCAGTACAAGGGGAAACCAATATAAATATGAAATTAAAATGTATTATGTTATCTACCTGATACCATTTTATAAAAAAAAAAAATTATTCCAGGCCTATTTACAACTATCATGAAGCTCCTTTTGTGCAGACCTTTTACAGTTATAATTATCAGTGACAAACATAGAAAGTATATAAGTGCAAAAGTGTAAAAACACATTATAATTTAATTCAAAATGCTTGTTTTAAAATAAAATATAATTTGGGTATTGTCAAATTACCTGGCCTAAATAAACTCAGCATCAATAGTAAATAGAAAGGAATATCTATTTTTAAACCATTATATAAATTGTAAAAGTTATTCAACTGCTCTGGTTTTTGTTCAAAAGCCATCTTGTGGCCTTAAAATATTAACTTAAAGCTTATAGATTAGGGTCAGGTCGATGATCCACAAGTTGTAGTTAGAAATGAATTGTTGCCTATTGTACAATAAATAATAGGATAGTGCAAAGTAGCAAGAGTAAGATGTAAAAGTAGCATCTGAGCTTGAATTTGTAATAATTTGTAAAATATTTTGATTTAAAAAAATTAATTGTGTTATTCATTTGTACAAAGTACAGAACTTAGATTTTTTGTTTACAATAGTGATACCTATACATTAATCAAAATGAGTTCAAACTAGATAATGACCAAAGGGGTATAGGTACTAAAGATTCCTAACACAAACTTTGTTTAGGTAGGTCTTAAATATTGTTAAAAAAATATTAACTGTATAAATTCAAAAATTTGATATGTTTTGAGTTCTAATAGGAAAATACAACCAAATTAAATAGATAATCACTTACTACACATTGACAACAATTAATGACTTAAATTTACACCCAAAGTAGATTAAAAATGTGTGTAACTTATTCACAAGCCATATGGAAAACATATTTTTACTTACACTTTGATACCAGGAGAATCATCTGTGTAAAAGCGCCACATGCCTCCTGTGCCAGCTCCTGTATTCCTTCTGGCTGTAGTTGTAGTAGTTGTTGTTTTTCGTTGCCTTACACTTGATCCCATGGAAGATCTGGGAGCAACGGCTTTTGATGGGGATCTTCCACCAGAACCAACATTGGTAGAGCTCGGTGAAGCAGGCTTTTAAAAAAAAAATTCATTGCTTATTATCTAAATCTCGACTAGATTGAACAGTACTTACCATTTTAAAATATAATTATTTAAAAACGAATATGTACCAGCTGAAAATTTCACTTTAATTGCTAACTGATCGTTTGTTCAACGACTAAAATCAACAAAATTGCGAACGAATTTGACACGAATTACAAAAGTGTGGTACACGTAGGCAGACGTCACTTAAAATTGAACACATCAACTGACAGCAGCGCCAACATAAACAAACTAAAATTACTAGGTAGTAGAGACAATTCACGTGGATTTGTTGTTTAATTTGAAAACGAATGATTTATTATTCCATTTATGACAATTTAATATATTTTTTTGCAATTCCTAGACTTAAAAAGTACCATTAGACCCGTAAGTTATGATCCACAGAACTATCTTTATACAATGTGGCAACCCTGTAGCCCTGATGTCTTTGGCAAAGTCAATGATATATATTGTTATATAGATTGCTTAAAGCGGATCGTTTGTGCGAGCGGTCAGATTGCCTCGCAAGTGCTCATTAATCTGAATTTATTTAACAAAAATGTGTTTTTGAAAATGGCAGGGAAGTAAAAGCGATACTAGCGAAAGCTGTGGATAATTCGAGCACTTTAGGGCGATATTTTATAATTTTTGCGCATTTTTTTTAGTTAAAAGCAATACAATGGACAACTGCAAGAACAAAAGTGAAAATTTTATAAATTTTCAGAAGGAAAATGGAAATTAAATCAAAGAAATAAAACATACCTATAATTGCAGTAAGAAAGGAAAAGTAATTATAAACATGAGCGCCGTTACAAGAGGACAAGAGGGAGTGTCTGTCCTCACTGGATTTCTGATTTTGCATTTTCCCCATGAATATCGACTATAGCTCACGATGTTTTAACTTGCCCGCTCCTGGACATTTTTAGAACGTCGTCCATGATTACAAACCTTTATTTTTTCAACAAAAGTAACCTATTGAAAATAGTAGACATCGGAAAACTGAAAGGTTTTTAAATACTATTTTAAATATTATTTCTACCTTTGATTATTATCAGTATCTGGAATGCAATTTTGTGACTGATTGATTGGAAAACAGTTATTTAATGTTTAATTCTTGTTTTTTTTTTCAAACTAAAAATGAAGAAAACAAGTATAAATTACATTCGAAAATATTACAATATTACAACTATTTATTTGTGAATAAATTTTGAATCCACGTAAGACATTAACCTTTAATTTCATCAGGCAACTTGTCATACGCTTTCTCGTAAATACTGTTGCCTAATTACCTATGTGTGCACATATTTTAATAATGTTTTATTAAAAACACTTATTTTTAGGTGTAAGTTATAAAATTAATTTAAAAACCGACTTCAAAATCGTGCAGATGCCATTACAATTTGAGTTTGCTGATTTTCTCATAGATGCCTTCACTAGATCTTAACCAAATTTATAATGGACCACCCCTGTGAGGTACCCCCTTTCTAACAAATGAACATACATAAAAAATAAAGAGTGATAATTTTATGGACCCAATTATTAGTTTTTGACCAAATTTGACCACTTTTCTAACATAAAAAGAATCATTGAAATTAGACAAAATAAGATAGATATACATAAAAAAATATTTCTTCTTTTCACTTGGTATATAAATCCATATCCTTTTATTATAACCAAAAAATATTTTTTAATTACGAATTCCATTAAAAATGATATTATATACGCAAAATCGCCCTTTAGTTCATATTTTAGTTGGCGATGTCCGCACGCACAGATCCAATAGTAAAAAAAGAATTACCTTCAGTTTTAATCAAAGGCAAAAGCTTTCTTTTGAAAACATGGATGATCAATCTATTTAACTAACTATATCATTGGTCCTGATAAATTACTAGGCCCACAATGTTGCCACATCGTAAGTCATAGGCGGGTGATTTTTTTTTTAGTTTTTACCAAAGCTGTAGATATTTAAATGGGAATAAGATTTTAGAAATAAAACAAAGTTGTAACAACTAATCTATTGATTTTTTAACCTCCCCAACAACCCATAAAAATGGAGATAATATTATTGCAAACACTTCAAAATTCGAAATAGTACAAAAGCGTAGAAGGGCCACAAAATGTTTTTTTTTCGACTTCTAACTCGAAAAAGTGGATATTCCGACTTAGATATCGGAAAATTCGATTTTTCTGACTTACTCGGAAAATAGATCATTCCAACAGAACTCGAAAAAAATAAAACGAGGAAATATATACAGGGGCATTTGAAAAAGTTATGGAAATCATTAAATAAAATTTCCTTGCCGTTTAGTAGCTAATTTTTCATTGAACAACCTATATTATAACAAATAATCCAAATGAAACCACTAAATATGAATAATAATAAAACATTAGATTTTTTAAAACTAATGTATGAACCTCAGAGTACTTTTTGTCACCCCGCTTTGTAATTCTTCCTTTACAATGGGAAATTAAATGATTTGTGTAATTAAGTCAAAATATAAGACACAATATCAAAAAACCAATTTATATTAAATATATGATAACATAAAAAACAGTTACAAAAAAAGAATAACAAAATAAAAAATCTAATTCCTGATCAGATGCACATCTGCCATATGCTTCTTGTATCCCTCCCTGTAATCAAAAGACTCTGGACAAAGATGGCAGCAATACATGTTAGTCAGATCTGAATGCACCAGTCTCACATGGTACTTAAGAGCAGATTGATTCGAGTAAACCTAGAAAAACACAATTACCATATTGAAACATTTCAATATCAGATTAAAAAAAAAAAAAAAACTGGAGATGGAACTCTACCCAGCCTATCTCTATAGAACAGAGACATTTTGGAAACAGATTGTTTTTTTAGAGTTCATTCTATCTCCTGGTTCTTCAACCTAATGCTTCAACTTACTTTACCACAGTGAGGACAATTTCCACACTGTGAACTATGATGGGCAGGCTGCACCTCTAGATTCATATTCCTTAGGTTTGCTTCTTTTAATTCATCCAGTGACATAGCCTCAAAATTTTCAGGATGGTCTTCAGTCTTTATGCGTTGCTGCAAAAATTCTGAGGGGAACTCAAAGTTAGCAGGGTTTGTAGACTCTGATTTTGAACAATATTTTTCTAGATCTGTCTCAGGTGGTTTACGTAGAATATAAACGGTCTTCGGAACTTCCGGTAGAACGTTTTTTTCACTGTGAAAGACGTGGGACGAAGGTGATTTTCCTTTAATAAAAATTATACAGAATTATTTTAAAATAAAAAAAAAACAGTTACTAAAAAATGGACAATTTTATTTCAGATTATAGCCTTTAAATTGTGTTTATTGTGAATTCAAACATTTTCTGAATATTCCCTACTTGGAAAAGAGGCGAAAACATAGACCTTACTTTGCTATTTAATATAAAAAATAGTAGGTGCAATTGTCCTTAACTTCTTCCAAAAATAAATCTACTCGTTCAACTAGGCATCTGCAAACATTTTATGTACTATTTAATGGATTAAACCAAACTTTTAACAGCTATACATTCCAAGAATGCTTATTTAACCTACACATTTATCTTATGCTGTTCAACATTCCTTTTCATCCTTCAAAACTTAATAATGTAGTACTGAGCTTTAATGTTAATCTTTTTACTATGTATTTTTTTTATTTTTGTTAAACCTATTTTGTTTTAAATAGCGTTGTTTGTGCTACAGCACCATAAATATTTGTAATATTTTAAAATAGAAATTTAAATAGCTTGACCTAAAATTTTACCCATAAAATAGGCTTACCTTTCGTTAATTTTTATTTTTTCACTAACCTGCTTGGGTTGTTAATGATCTCTCCAAAATACTGCTTGGTTTTTCACGTACTTCAAGTGCAGCCTCCAGTATTGAACTCTGCTCATTTTTGTCTCCAACAAGAACCTCAACATTTTCACTGATATCATAGTCTGCTTCTGTACTATTTCCCAATTCATCCTCAGTTTTTATTTTGTCCAATTCTACGACCTCAAAATGAGCTGGGGATGTTGAGTTTTTATCAGCTGTATCATCTTCAACACTGCTTATTAAAGGGACTACTTTTTTCAACTTGGGAGGTGAAAGTTTAGCCTTTTTTTGAGGAGAATCTTGAGTGTCTAAAGAAGTTTTGGGTTTTTTTGTTGGAAACTGTTGCTTCTTTTGGGGATTATCATTATTCATTAAACCAAGAACTTGTAGTATCATTGCAGTGTTAAAAAACGATGATAATTGTTCCTCAGATACAGTTACTTCTCCTTGGTACATAAAATTTATGATTGCCATCAAATCCACATGAGCTACATCTTTAAGAATAACTATTGGGTGCGGACAGGGGTTTTCCTAAAACGAGGACGATAAAGAACTTGTGTATTCAGCTAAAATTATAGTAATTAGGTTACCTTAAATATGGTCCGGAAATACGGACTGCACGCAGATAAAATGAACTTGTGGGCTTTGATATTAATTCCCTCACATGTTAAAGTAACATCTGCCAAATCTTCTGTATTTTGCAGACTTTCGAATGCGCTCAAAATATTTGACTGGAATCTGGTCCATTTCAAACAGAAGTGTTTGGACGTCATGATAAAACGATAAAATTAAAATATTGCACATTAAAATGTGAAGCAAAAAAAGCTTGTTAACTCATAAAAAATGTTCAAATTATTAAACTTAACCACGTATTAAAATAAAACAAAAACATACTGAATCAAAAGAATAAAATGAAACGTCAATGTCAATAAAAAAATGAAAGTTTCGTATTCGAGCAGTGTTACCAACAGGTGACATATGACAGTCTCAACTTATCAAGTTGAAAATCACCAGAAATCACAGATATAAAAAAATAAGAGCGAAGCGAGATAATTGCCAGCCGCAAGCGAAATTTTTTGACTTTTTAACGACCAAAGCTCAAGAGCCATTAATCAGGCTACATGTCATTAGCCGTACTCGTAATGTTTAAGCCAATATGGGTGAAAAAACGTTTTTCACTGCCTTCAGAAGGGTTCTATATAAACTCTAATTAACTCTACAAATCAATTGAACTCTTAACTTATTGAAAAATAAAGAAAACAATACACATAACCTTGTGTGTCAACCAAATGTCATTTAATGGTTTTGACAGGTTTAATGTTGAGAAATCAAATCGTAAACAAAAATGATCGTTCAGCGTCATACCAACCGCTTATGAAACATGTTTCTTTGCTTTTAAAATATGTTTAACGACGATGAACACGGCCAATAGTTCAGTGGTTTATTTTGAAAAACATGGATGATCAATCTATATAACTAGCTACTTCATTGACTCTGTCAAATTACCAGTCCCACAGGGTTGCCATATCTTGAGTAAATCGCTATGTATGGTAGTTCAAATAACCACGTTGTAAATGTCATTGTTGACAGTCGGTTATCTGTATTTGTGTTGTATTTAAAAAAATTATGAACTCATTTATTATGTTGCAATTTATTATCTTGAACTTTAATAAATAAAATATCAAAAGACATTTATGATTTTTGCAGAATTTTTATTTGATACGTTATTCATGTAGTAATTTATAAATAACTAACCAAAACTAGGAACGGAAAAATGATTGGAGAAAGAAATCCTGGCTGTGAATTAGGTAATGATAAATAATTTATTATTTTGGATTATCAATTTTTAATTAAACATTTATCTTTTGTAGACTTAGGCTGGCTAAACAGCGTCAATATTAATTTAACTGCAGTAAACCAACTGGCCAACAAAATAGTTTCATCCAGGGAGCTTAAGGGAGAATATAGGGCAGCTTGGATATTAAAAGCAATAACTTTGATTGACCTTACGACATTAGCTGGAGATGATACCAATAGCAATGTATCTAGATTGTGTTTTAAGGTAAAAGAACAACAATCATTATTCTTCTCAATTCGATAGGTACCTTGTATGTCTAAAAATTAGGCCCTTTAATGTAGATGTGTTTTTAGAAATTCTGTTTTTCAGGCTGCAAAACCTGTTTCAGAGGATCTTTTACAGACATTAGGCTTTGATTATAGTGAAAAGTCTCCAATACATACAGCAGCTGTCTGTGTTTATCCATCAAGGGTTGAGGATGCAGTGAAAGCACTTAAAAATATGGGAATGTTGGGCAAAGTAAATGTGGCGTCAGGTACCTACTTAATCAAAATATGAATTATAGCAATAAAAGTTCAATATTTTTGTAGTTGCTACAGGTTTTCCAAGTGGTCAAACTCCACTAAAAACAAGATTAGAGGAAATTAAATTTGCAGTAGAAAAAGGTGCCAAAGAAATTGATATTGTAATAAATAGAGATCTTGTATTGACAGGAAAATGGGAAAAATTGTATCAAGAAATTCAGGTCATGAAAGAAGCTTGTGGTTCTGAAGCACATTTAAAAGCCATACTTGCCACTGGGGAGCTGGGTACACTAGATAATGTAGGTTTTAATTTTTGATTTAATACATTTTTTTGTTGATGAGGAAGAACTTTGAGATCTTAAAGTTTTAAAACATTGGTTACTATTGAGGTAACAGTAATTTAGAATATAGAGCAGGGTAGTTACTATTTTTAAAAGTAATCAGGCTTAAAATTAACTGGAAATTGATTATATTTGTTTTCGAAACTGAGATCAATAGCCAAGGATGGGCGATGTCTTCTTTATAATAATTTCAATGGTTGTTGAGACTGCAGTTAATATTAGAAAATATTAAGTCCAATAGTCTGTTTTCTGAATTTAAGAAATTATTGTATTGTATTAGTTCAAACAAGTTCTAGAGGTTAGTAATTAAATTATAATCATTTATGCATTTCCTTTTTCTTAAATTAACAAACTGAAACATTAAAATCACCTAGCATGAGTATAAACTTATCATAGACTTCAATGCTGCATGATGGAATATATACAGTTAGGATATACTTATTTGAAATTAATAATAATTTTAACAAGAATCAGATCAATAAGTTGATCAAAAAGGTGACTATGTTGAAAAACAAAGTATTTTAGACTCCTTATAGTTTTTTTTATTAGAGATTAATAGTAACTGTTTCCCAATGAAACATCCTATATCATTTGTATCCAAAACACACTGTATCTTTTTACTTTTAGGTATACAAAGCTTCACTTGTAGCAATGATGGCTGGTTCAGATTTTATTAAAACATCCACAGGGAAAGAATCAGTAAATGCAACTTTACCAGTTGGATTAGTTATGTCAAGAGCTATAAAGGACTACCACGAAAAAATGGGTTATAAGGTGTTTTCTCTATGAATTTTAAATTTGTTTTTTGATCAGTTTATCAGCCTTATCCTTGCATTAGTTTAATTCTTAATTTTCCCATTTATATATGATTGTAATTTTAATGTCTAAAATTATTGTACTCTAGGTTGGCTTGAAACCTGCTGGTGGTGTTAGGACATCAAAGGATGCATTAGAATGGTTGGTTTTAATGAAAGAAACGTTGGGAAATGACTGGTTAACGCCGGAGTTGTTTCGATTTGGTGCTTCTGGATTGCTGGGAGATTTAGAAAGCAGTTTGTATCAATATGTTACTGGAAAATATCCGGCTGGATACGAATTTACAATGGGTTAATCAAATTAATATATAATAAAATAGATTTCATTTGAAAATAAAACAAATAAAAGTAAATTATTGTGTTTTAATTAAAACTGGCACTGAAAGTTTAAATTGGTGTTCAGTTTAAAATATAATAAGTATCTGAAAATTTATTCCTATTATTAAAGCTTTAATAAAGGTTTTGACGTAAACAAATTATTAAAAGTATACATTCATTGCGTTCGGTCTGCCAAGTTCCTTTAACACTTTTTACTCCAAACGACCCTTTTAGCGTTCGGTTTAGTCAATGACATATATAGATTAATAGACTGCTCATCCATATATAAACAAGACGAAAAGCGGGTCATATTGCTTGGCTTGCCGAGTGCTCACCAGGCAGAATCGGTCTGGCCCAAATGAGTTTAAAACACATATTTCATCAAAGTAGGAATTGAATTAAAAAAAAAAATATCTGTATGTTTATTTCAAGACAGGAGCTTGCGTTAGGTATTTTAAAAAAGGATTTTGAGTCATAACGTCTAGTTTCCCAATTTTCAAAACATTTTAAGAGATCTAACCAATTTTGAACATAGATATAAACAATTTTACACTAAATGTGTATATTACTAACTTTAAACCACGACCACTGTATAGTGGCACTATTCGGACACTTGATTATTCTTTTAAAATTTATTTCGCATTATAAAAGCAGATATTATGCAAAAATTTAATAAACTTTTTAAAGATTTAAAGTTAGTAGCTTTTTCACATTCTAAAGTTTGTCCCTTTAGACAATTAAGGATTATTTTGACGGTGAATGTGAATGATTTGATGAATAATAATAAAATTCCACCAGTGGAAATCTGATCAACATCATAGTAAAATGGACTAGGTACAAAGTGCAATCTTAGTTGACGTGAAGATCCGTGTACCTTAGCATCGGTAAGAGGGAAATAAAGATTCTGACTTACAATCACAAAAAGAACGTACAACTAAGCTTAGTCGATGTAAGTTAGCTCAGATTAGTGGTAAAAAGAAAGCGACTATTAATAAAAAGAAAAGTAATCCAGCTAAAACAAGAATTATGGCTACTGTCTTTAATAATGATATATTGCCAGTACTAGTAGAATGTTAAGTGTTGAGTTATCTTCTTCAGGCAATGGATGTACGTATGCATAATTTAAAATGTTTGGTTAATTATTATGTTTAATGTGTTTTTGCAGTTAATGAACATATATCTACTACTGAAGCAGATAATGAAGATTTGTGTGCTGCTGAATAGCTTTGCTTGATTTACAAAACTTTGTTTAAAAGCAGAAAATTGGGATCGATTGTTCAACACAAGTGAAGAGTGGTGATTTAGTTGATCCGTTTTCAAACAGAATTGTTAGTGCTAAAGAACTATCTACTTTAATAGGATTGCAATCCTTCCAGTTATTAGCCACCATTGTGGAATTAGTAGCATAGTTGTTTCTAAAGAATAGGAAAAAGGAGATCAGTTATGTCTGTAAAGGATCAAGTTATATTTACTTTTATGAAGTTGAAAACTGATATGCAAGATATAATGTCTTATTCATTTTATTTGGAGTGAATGAAACTTTTTATCGTTAAATTGTTTAACAGTTTTTAATAAAACTGGTAGAAGTTCTTAGTATGGTATAATTCGGCCTTCAAAACAAGAAATATTAAATAATGTGCCTCTATGTAAGTAAGAGTACTACTACTTGATTGTACCGAAATCCCAATACAGCAAGCCAAATGTCTTTGTTGTAGGCTAAAAAATTACCCTGACTACAAAAAGAGGCATACTATTAAAATATTGACTGGAGTGTCACCTACTGGTCTCATTACTTACAAAAGTGAAGCATATGGTGGTAAACTTCAGAAATAGACCTTTTTTAACAAAGTTCAATACTTGAAGTGTGTGAATCATTTCTCGATAGTAAAATGTTTAACAAAGGGTTTCTTATTGGAAACATAACAGAAGCTGAAGGTATACAAATTATACATCCTCCTTTCCTCAATAAAAAAAATCAGTTCAGCCATCAAGTGGCTTTACTTAATGCCAAAATTGCCAGAGCTAGAATTCACATAGAAAGAACCTATCAAAGAATAAAAGTGTTTGTCTCTCTGTATTGGTACTTATGTCCGTTTTTCTTCTATTTATATTGAGTTTTTATTATATGATACTTCTCTGTATCTAACTAACTTTTAAAATGTACTTGTAAAGCCCAGATAGCTCTAACTCGGGCCTTTGAATATAATAATATTTATGTAATTGTATTTATAATAAATACTTTATTATTATTATTATTATTATAATTAATTATAATTCGTAAAATTATTATAAACGTATTTACCTTGTACCTACTTGTATTGATACTTGCGTGAAAAATGAAATGTTACTTTTTATATTTCTGTAGCTGGTCTTACAAACCTTTATAGAGCAATTCACCATTTAAATTTAAAAACAAAACAAGTTTTTATACTCAAATAATTAAAAAACTTAAAACAGAACAGAAGTATAATTAAAACTAAATAAAATAATTCAACAAAATGTCCGACTGAGTAATGACGATGAGAACAAAATCTCAACTAGACTAAACTTTCTTTAAAACCGGTCCTGTGAAAGGTTTGCTTACCAGTGAGCACTCAAAATTGAGACAAAACACAAACATTGCATGCACTAGACAAAGAGAAAACATCTCCCAGTTCGACCCACTTTTCATCGTTTTATTTACGTATGGATAAGCAGTCTATTTAAACTATATATGCCATTGGGTTTAGTTCGATTAGTGACAGTTTAACCAATGAACTGGAGTGGGTAGAATGCTTGTCAATAGGCTTGAGATGCGACTCTATGGGCGAAGACAGGTTATTTTTCATCTCACTCGGGAGTATTTATAATAACCATTTTCTATTTCACTTTGTTATTGTCTGATCCACCAGCTTGTGGATTGAACAATAACAATGTGAAACAGAAAATGGTTATTATAAATACTCCCGAGTGAGATGAGAAATAAAAATGGCTGCGCCCATAGAGTCGCATCTAGTTCTACTGATACAATATGCACATTGGCTTTCTACCCCACTCCAGTTCATTGAGTTTAACACGCTTAAATGTCATTTAAAAGCACCCTAAAAAACTCCGCTTTTGTCCCGCTCCAGCCCCTGACTATCCGAACTCGCCTACTTAGGATGCCAATCAATAAAGGCTATTCTGAAAATTTCATATTACAAAAGTTTTCAAACTTCGAAACAGTGGCGTAGTCAGAAATTTTTCATGGGAGGGGTTTCTAAGAATTATGGAGGGTTAACAAAAAGTTAATGGGGTCTATTCTGTAACAATTCCTTTATATTTTAACGGCTTTTAAAAATATTTTCTTCTTTACTTCTGTCATTATTTAAACGGATCTTTAAAATACATTAGAGGACTATCTTAAAGAAATCTGTTTAAATAATGACAGAAGTAAATTAACGAATACAAAAATATTTTTAAAGGCCGCCAATATTTTAATGGCCGTTAAAATATAAAGGAATTGTTACAAAATAGACCCCAACAGCGATCAGCGCCAATAAGATGACAATGAAGCGAAGGCCCTCCATGGGGGTTCTGACCCCAAAAACTCCCCTTTAGCTACGCAACTGCTTAGAAATAATGCTAAATTTAAATTATTAACCATTTCCGAGGTCCGGTACTAGTTAATTTACAGCAAAATGGCGCTTCTGTTTATTATTTTGAAGAAAACTTGTAAGAGTATAAGAATAGTATAATCGTAACTAGTAATAATGATACTATTAGGGATAGATATAAAAACTCAAAATAATTTATGATAATAAAGTCAAATCAGCAAAACTTTCTTATAATAATAAAAGGGTAATTAATGCAAAAAATTTAAGTTTTCATAGTATATAGGTAATGAAGATGTTATCCACATTCTGTTAATTACTTAACACTAATTTCCAAATTTTAAAATTGTCTACGACCTATTTTATTAAAGACATTTTTAGTATTAAAATAAATACTAGCGATGCACCGTTACTACACCTTTCAATGTAATCCGCTAAATTACCGCGATTATCCTTTTGACCTTTATTATTGCAGCAATACAAGAAATAGATACAGATGCAACAAGTCGAAAAGAAATGCATCGAAAAAATATGCAAATTCGCAAATAATAGGAGAGAGGGAGCAATAATTGAATATTAAGATGATCAACTAGAAATAGTATATATATACATTAAGATAAATAAATTCAGAATTGATCTTTAGTTTATTAGTGACCAGTAGGCATAATCATGTTGTTATTGGTGAGTTTAGTAAAATATATTTTTTTTTTAGCCAAGGGTATGTTTCGGTCTACATCTAGAATTGATTTTATTAGGGATTAGATTTTTGAAAATGTTTTTAAGAATTTTTATTTTATATATTATTTATTTTATCCAAAATTTCTTGTTAGGTAAAGAATAACAATTTTGTAAGACGTTAAGCATAATGATAGGTAATTTTTACATGAAACTAGTACATTATTATAGATAATAATATAATATTAATAATCTTTGTCTTAGAAGAAATACATACTAAAAAATTACAAAATACCAAATAGTTTAAAATATAAGAAAAGTTAAGCCAATAAAAAAATTATATCAAAATCATTTCCCAAATCATTCAAGGGTCAAAAGTTAACTATCCATCCTCCATATGCTGGTCTGGTACTCCTCCCGATTTTGTAAGAAATAATATACCATAACTATAAATCCTTATAAAGTAACAGTAACAAATAAAGTAGTGGTTTATTAGGAAGTCAATAATGTTCTTGTTGGTACAAGTACTTTTTTGAGTTATATTAATCAATGGGTATCCGATGGCATAATTTTAAATTCTTTATCAAATCGCGACACTTCTCGCTATTTATGGCATCGGAACTGCCAATGTTTTAATCACTTTGCTTAGAATAATAATTGACACAGGTACCATTTGGTAAAGTACAATGTTTATACATGCCTTCCAGGCATATTTCATTTCGTTATTAGATGATGGTCAAAAATTCCAGTGGGCTCTTGGTCTAGAAATAATTAAGAAAAACGAGACATATATAGTTTGTTTTTATTTATGAAGTTTTTGTTTTTAGGTGGTCTTTTTAGCCATATGTAGTTGCTCATTAGGGCAATACCGGCCAAGTCCAATTAGTCCAGGACAAATAGTTAGAATTATTAGTCAAACACAAGAAGGACCAAACTCTGACGGATCATATTCATGGAGGTATTTTCTTATGTTATATACAGAGCGTAGGTTTAAAAAAAAAAAATAATTCAATAACTTGCCAATTTTTATCTAATTTTTATACTGCCGTTTTAAACCGCTTAGAGCACTGATTATTGTGACATCTCCTATAACATATTTAAAGAAATATTTTTTTTCTAATTTTGACATTTCTTTTGTAATGGCAACTAGTTATATAGAGTATTTGACCACCAAGTGTGAAAATAAAACAAAAAATAAACTATTTTTGGTTATAAAACTAATATATGTATATACAGAGTGGAATAAAAGACTGGAAATTTGCCACTAAGTATGAAAAGAAAACAAAAAATAAATTACTTCTGGTTTTAAACCTAATATAATTTACAAAGTGGAACAAAAGACTGGACACGCCCAAGTATCTCGTAAATATTGATCTATTATTTTCTCAAAGTTTGTTAGCTTTAGTCTATTACAGAAACCCAAATATGCAAGATAAAAAATATTTATAATTTAAAACAAAATAAACATTTTTGTAGCTAGTATCTGATAAATCTGAGAAGTAAACACAGATCAGCAATAACACAATTTTTTTGAAGTATGTTAGGAGAATCCTTATACTTTAAATAAAAGCTTCCTTTGGTCAAAATCCGCTTTTAGTGTTCGATTATGAAATTGAGGTTTCTCTCCTTAACTTAAATTGAAGCTTCCTGTTTTTCTCTTTGACTTTTTTATTGTCGAATTATATAAATTATATCTGAACACATTTACATCCTTACGTAAGTGGTGACCTGTGAACACCAATATTTAAATCACAAGCCGCTACTGCTTTAGGTACTACTCACCTTTCGTTTTACATAAATATAATTACTGTTCTAACATTTTATTTTTAGTTTCGAAACTGAAAATGGCATTTCAGCGCAAGAACGAGGTAAACAAAAGGCTAAAGATCTCCAAGATGCTGCAGGAAGTTTTCAATACACTGCCCCAGATGGCACTCCCATCCAGGTTTCCTATATAGCCGACGAAAATGGTTTTCAGCCGGTGGGGGCACATTTACCGATCTCACCACCTATTCCGGAAGCCATTTTGAGGTCGTTGGAGTACAACGCCGCTCATCCTGAAGAAGACGACGGAAGGGCTTTACCTTTACCAGGAGGTTACAGGCGACCGTGAAGACATGATCATGTTCAATTATACCATTCTGTAACTACAGTTGTTATCTAGAAACTTTTTAGTAACTTGCTACTCTGATATTCACGGTTGTTATAAAGATAATTATAATTTTTATTTATGGTGTAAATCATGCTTCTAACAACTTTCTTAGGAACAGGAGGGCTTTGGATAAAAAGTAAAATATCATTTATTAAACTTATTGTAGTTCTAAATGTTAACCAAGACAGCAACATAATTGTCAACCACCTAGCTTTTTGACTACCTGAGAGGCAGCTCTTTTATCTACTCCTGCGAAATGCAAAATATCGGCATATTGAGACCTATGTAATGTTTCTAACATACATCTATAGATCTCAAGCAAGAAAAAGTAATCTTTCATAAAAAAAAAACAGACTCAATAATACCTCCTGTTATTCTATCAATACGAATACCCATCTCTCACTAATTTCTTGGTCTGTTAAATATTTATTATCCAATAAAGGTCCTTATTTATTTCTTTTTCAGTAACTAGTTCGTACGTTTAACTACCAAATTACTCAAAATCCACTAGCTGTTACATAATTCTGAGTTTTTATTGAGCAACTTGCTCGATAGCAACTGTATAATACAGAATAGACCCAATATCTGATATAATGTGGTTTAATTTATTTTTGTTCTGTTGTAATATATTTTCAATTGTGTACTCATAGATATTTGTATGAAAAATAAAAAGATGCTAACAAATTGCATTTTCTTTCGAATAGTAACATTGATCAATTATTCTAAATCCTGGTTAAATTACAATAATAAGGTAATTTCACGGTTTCCAAAGAATCACAATATACAGACTGGAGATCATCAAAATACACACTATTGTGATTTTATAAATCACTGAAAATCAAAGTTGGTTAAATGGGAAAAGAGTTGTCAAATTATGAGACCACACCTTACGTTCCAGAAATCAGGTTCGGTTTCAAAGATATTCTGGTGCCTTTATTTTCAAAAAATAAAAAAAAAGGGGGAAAGTTTTTTTTTATTTGTAGATAATTGTTTCGTGTCTAAGGGGCCACATGGGGGCCACCTTCAAGATTGTTTTTTTTTTAATATGGTGATTAATATTAACATTTTTAGAGGTTCGAATACTATAAAATTATCATCAAGAAAATGTTGAGTATTTATTTTATATTCTTAGTTGAATTGAACAACATAGAGATTAAATATTTTGATTTGTTTATAGAAGAGAAGTTATTTATTGGGAGTTTTATTTTTAATTTGGAATGTTCAATAAAGAAAAAATATAAGAGAAAGGTATAAAGAAAATTTTATTTAAAAGATTTTTACGGAACTTATATTTGGCAACGTCTCAAAATGCACAACTTCGAGTCTAATCTATTAAGATCCAAGTGATCACCTCGAAAAACAGAAAAATTGAGCTTCGTTTTTCTATTAATTGCGCATATGACTTTGTTGGCTTTAGCTGTATCGGTACACGCAAAACATATAGAAAAGATAATTTATTTCATTAACAAAATAACATAACGAAAATGTTTCACTATCTAACATTTTATCAGATAGTTACCCAATTTCAATTTGTTTTTAAAGTAGTAATGCCAATTAAAGTTTGTATGAGGCATACTTTTTTGAATAGGTATCTACGTTTGTTGAATTGCTTATTTATTTTACAACTGAACTACTTTGCAATGCCTGAAGTTAAAGTGGATGATGATAAATTTGCAGAACAAGCTGTAGATCTTCTTAATAATGATCCCATTAATTTAAAACCAGGTAAGTATATTATAAAACATACAATTCTTACTTTTTGTTAATATCTTCTTGGTAGAGAATACAATCCGGACCGTCTTTGCCTTTATTGTTTTTGAAAAAACTTTTGATCAGGTGCAAAAAAGAAATTAAAAGTTGAATAACATAATTTTTAGTCAATTTGTATAAATGCTTATCAGGTGTCTCTCAGGAACCTGTTCCAGGACCACTTATTTATATGGTTCTTTTTTATAAATAACATTATTAAAAACTAATAATGTAGTACTTTATTCTATGTTGAGAATTTAAAATTATTTCTAAATTAATGCGTAATAAACAGAATCTTTCTAAAGTAAGCCATGGGCGACAAAAACGGATACTAGTCATGATAGCTACAGACGCCTCTGAATAAAATCCAAATTATCATTAAAAAAAAAGGATGCATTTTTTTAATCTCTCCTTTCTATTAGTTCTATAATTTTTTTTGTTTTAGATAAAAGATTTGGAAAACGTCATGTCCAAGTTGTAAATATCAGTTTTCTAATTTTTGTCGCTTATTACTCAAGAAATAGTTTATCAGTGGCAATCGTTGCTATGAACGATCGCAATTCAACAATAAATCCTAATATTCCTGTAAGTTGATTAGGTAATAATATTTTGGGGTAAAGCTATAAACCTAGGCAGAGTAGAAGAAAAGCTGAAAACTCAAGTTTTAATAAATATATTTGAATTTTGAAACGAAAACTCTATGTGTACATGTCTAATAATCTATAGATATTCTAAAAATGTTCAATAATTATTTTATACATATTCTACACATATTCGACACCTATTATACAGATATTCTGCATCTATTCTACACATATTTTACACCTATTCTGCCCTGCTAAGACATGAAGTCATGTCTACAAAATGAACGTGTACACCAGTGTGAACACCAGTGATGACTTAAGATCACAATATTGGGGAGTTCGTATAGGTATAGATCTCAGTACAGATTTAGGAAAGACTCTTTCTACCTAAATCTGTACTGGGATCTATATTCTGTCATTGTGGACCAACAATATTTTGGTCAAAAGTCACTGATACTTTCGTTGTGAACCCCCAATATTTTAGCCACGAGCCGCCACTAGCGTACACATGTATTTTTAGACTTCGAAAAGTCGTAAGTTTTGCAATTATGACCAATCTTTATATATCTTATACAGTGTTTTCTAATAGAGGTAGGTCTTTCAAACTTTAAATCAAAATAAATAAATAAATAAATAGATTTTTTTTTAGATACGACTTCTTGTCTTAGCGGGGCCGTATTCTACAAACAATCTTCACATATTCTACATATTTTCTAAAAATATCCTGTAGATTGCATATATTCTACATATTTTCTAAAAATATCCTGTAGATTGCATATATTCTACACATATTCTACACATACTCTATACATATTCTATACATATTCTACACATATTCTACACATATTCTACACATATTCTACACATAATTTACAACATATTCTACACAATAAAATAAAACAAAATTAAATTGTTACCTACTTTAATTTTTAGACTTATGACTGGCACAACAAAAATATTATCCAATCCGCATTCTCCTTTGGTTATGTACCCGCTCAGATCATTTTCAGTTTGTTTCCATCTAGATTTGATACTAAATGGTTTGCTATACCATTATTCGCTTGTTGTTCCATTTCTGGAATAGCGACACCCACGGTGGTTTACTGGTTTAAAGATAAGGGAATAATGGTGATGAGAGTAATTCAAGGTTTGTGCCAAGGATTTGTTTTTCCCACTATCCAGTTGTTGCTATGTCAATGGGTACCGCCAAATGAAAGGGCTAGACTCTGTGGAGGAGTTTATACAGGTAAATTAGAAAGTTTCTTAAACGCTTAATCCTGATTATTTCATATTTTACCTATTTCTAAAGTATTTTGTACCGAGCGTACTGTGCATACGATGACACATTTGTTCTTACATAAAAAGTGTTATTTATTATTTTTAGCTCGACCTATTGCTACCGTTTTATCTATGTTTATTAGCGGCCACATAGCAGGTAGTTGGTATGGTTGGCCATGGATATTTTACATTTCAAATGCATTAGGATTGGTTTGGTGTCTTTCATATTTTCTTTTTTCGTATGACAATCCTGCTAGCCATCCTTCAATTTCTGCAGACGAAAGGCAATACATACACAAGAGTATTGGACATGAAAATAAGGTAATATATCCACTATAAAATGATAAAAAAAGGTATTTAGAAGATGGTAGAGGCATTTTTCTTGCTCAGCTGAGGTGGTACAACCTCACAGTTCGCCAAGTGAATACTGTTTGTACTCTCTTTAATAAAATAAATAGAAATGCAAATAATCTGGAAACAAATGGTCTTCCATTTAGAATTTGCAGGTAATGAGTATACATTAGATGGAATAATAACATTTATTATTATTTGTGGATTCAATACTAGCCTAAATTCTTTTGACCACTACCTATAGATAACTAACTAAACTTTAACTACGTTGTACTAAACTTTAACTACCTTGTTCTAGCCTTTATATATAATAACCTTTACTGTAACATAGTTCCAAAGGGCACCTCACTAAACTGAGAGTAGTAGAAGATAGAGAGTACAGAGGAGGAGGAAGAGAAGGAAACCTGCAGTCACATTTTGAATGGAGAATTAAGAGTATTAGGTACCTGTTTTGAGAATTGATCGCTTTACTGATTTTAGAAATACTGATAACTCACGTTCTTGGTATTTTACGACCTTACAATATTTCTGGTTCTACTTAAACTACGTTGTCTGAGTAACTTACACGTATTTTCGCATAAAAGTGGTATATAAAAAAAAATCTATAGACAGCAAACAAATCAAACATCAAGCAACTGATTTACACTGAAACTGTGTTTCAGAACCGTAAAATTCCATGGAAAGATATTGTGACATCAGTGCCATTTTGGGCCCTTGTTGTAGCACAAGCTGGTTTTAATTGGGGATTTTGGACACAACAAACACAAATGCCGATGTATATGAAATACGTCATGAAATTTGACATCGAATCCGTAAGTAGAAGAGCTATGCTTAAATTATTCCCGTTATTCGAATTGAATCATATCATATTTTACTTATTTTTCAAAAATCGCTCTTTGTAATGTACTATGAAAGGTTAAAGCAGGAGAAAACCACTCTATTTTTGAGATTACTCATATCAGATGCCAAAGTTAATAAAGAACATCCAATAAATATTGAGATTAATGACCATGCCGATTTAAAATTCATTCGTACAAACTCGTTTCTACTCGAACAGCTTCGTAAAGAAAAGTTGGCGATGATTTTAGGTTTACAGTAGTTTTGTGACTTTAGACTTAAGATGAGAAAATTATTTTTTACGCTAAATATAAATGACTCATAATAAAAACTGTTAAACATGAAATAATAGCAGTGGCGTATCCGGAGTTTAAGTCTAGTGGGGTATAGATAATATTTAAGACTTTATTTTTGATAAAAATACGTTTTACTACCTATAAAAATTCTTGTAATTACCCCCATTACCTCCCGTATAAGCGCCCTTGAATAATAGATACCTAATTAACTAATTGCAATTATATAATTTACATTTACCCACCTACCTACCTACCTACCTACGTATTTAAAAGGTGACAAAAGTAAAAATTCACATATTATTTGAATTCGACTTTCAGTTTTAGTATTTTTCAAAAAAAAGATCAGTAAAAATAATTTTCTCTTGATCTTTTATTTATTAAAAAATCATTTTTGAATGTATGTTTTTTAGAGTGGTACACTTTCAGCACTCCCATACCTTGTTCAGTGGTTTCTTTCTTATTTCTTCAACTTCCTGTCGGATTATTTGATAAATAGAAAAATTTGGAGTATTGATACAGCAAGAAAAACCATGAATTCGATAGGTATTTTTTTTATCTACTTCTTCATTAAATTAGAGGCATTTAAATTAAATTTAATATTCTACATTCTATTTTAGGTGTATTCGGTCCAGCAATATCCTTTATATTATTACAAAACTGTGGTCCTGATGAATCCACCAAAGCAGTTATCCTGCTAGTATTCGGCGTTGCTTTGAATGGGGCTTGTTTTTGTGGTTTTATGATCAACTATATGGACGTTTCACCAAGTTTTGCAAGTCTTCTGATGGGTGTCAGTAATGGTGCGTGTCAAACAGCAGGATTTTTGGCTCCTCTTTTTGTACAAGCTATTGTGAAACATGAGGTAAATTACTATAGTTTATATGAAAATTAATGATAATAAAATTTTAATTTTAATCAGTGACAGAATGTCTAAATTAAAATGTTTAGCATTATTTGTTTTAAAATAAAATCTTTATCCCATCTATTAGGAGATTTTACTCTGATTTATAGTTGCTATGTGGTAGAAGCACAGCTTATACAATACAGCTCCACAACTCCGTGTCGGCGTCTTTGATCTGGCGGTCGAGAACCAAGCAAGACGGAATGGTGCTATCTCTGTTAGATTAAAGGGAAAAGTCGGGCCCGGATTAAGCAATTTTTTTATTATTGAAAAAATTGAAAACCTTGACATAATAAGGTTGGTTACATGCCATGTTAAGTAAGTTTTGGGAAATTAAATTTTTAATTTGTTTTAAATCTGTCAAATATAATTAAAATAATTAATTAAATATAAATATTACGAAAAATAGCACATCTTTCGAATTAGAGGTAAAATAATTTGTATGTGGCTAGTAAAATCCTGGTTAACAAATGTTTTGAGCTAAAACAGTCACTTCACGACAAATTGTGACTTGGATCCTTTTTACACCAAGGGCTTCAATTGTTAAAGAAATGTGTCACGCTCGTGGATGCAAATCAAGTGGTACCCCGTGTCTCTGGCAAGTGTTACTCTTCGCGCAAAGGGTTTATACCTAGATAAAAGAATGCTTCGACTGAGGTCTGAGAACTCTATGGTATTTTGGAATTATAAAGAATTTGTGCTTTTATTTTAACAATATTGGTTATATTTAGATGTATTCTTATTAATTGAAATACAGATTTGTAGAAGTAATACTTTAACAGTTTTTATTAATATAATATATTCAATTTTTATCTGACCATACCGAAGTAGGGAATTTTGAAACTTTATAGTAATGTGAAATTTGAATTACAATATTACATTAATTATGTAATAATTAGTACTTATTTTAGGTAGGTACTAAATTTGTACTTGGAGAAAGTAATATCGATTTTTACAAGCAAACTTGAAAAGTAAATTAATTTAGTTCTTATTTCTGATGTAAAACTTAAACCAAGAAAACAAATAAATTGTAGTTTGTTCAACAAGGGTGGATATGATAGCCATATCACACAAAGACGAAGTTTGAGCACGACGTCGTAGGCGGAGTACTCAATCGTCTGATTGTGATATGAACAATCCACTCGATATGGTCAGTATATTTTTTCTACGACCCACTAACGAAAATCTACAAATTTAAAAAATTATTTTAGGTTATTTAGACAAAATAACTAATTTTAAAATAATTTACGAAGTTGACTAATTTATAAAATAAAATAAACATGAAAAATTAATTAGTCCTCGGCCTAGATTCGATCCCGGGCTTTTCGCATGGAAGGCAGATGTTCTGTCCTCATCTTCACCGAAACTTTCAGGACTTTAGTTTTAATACTCGTAATTAAATTAGTATCATGTAGTTTGATTAAAATTTATTTTTTTTTAAATAAACATAATAAAAACAAAAATGCTATTATTTATCGAGTCTACACAAAAATTTTAATGTATATTTAATATCAATAACTAAAATATATATTGACAATTAGTTTAACAGAATTATCACTTATTTAAAAATTTTTAAATAATAGGAGTTGGGTGACCAAAATATGAACTGTGATTTGTAGATTTAATTTTGTTAAAGTGTTCTCACTACCTAAAATGGATATGAAATATATTCGTAGTTGAACGCAATAACATAATTTTTCGTTTTGTAGTATGTGCGTAGATTGGCTAATATCCATGCACAGATTACAAAACGAAAAAGTATGCTATTGCCTTCAATTGAACGAATATATTTCATATCCATTCTAGGTAGTGAGAACACTGCAAAAAAAATAAATTCGCCAATCACCGTTCATATTTTGATCAACCGACTGCTATTATTTTTAAAATTTTAAATAAATGACAATTCTGTCAAACTAATTGTCAGTATATTTTTTAGTTATTGAGATTAAACATACAATAAAATAAGTTATTCTTTTGGAAAACGTTAGCATGGATGACTAAAGGGTATTGGGTTAATTAATTCTAAAAGTGTGGTACAAATGTTATTTTTTGTAGCCAATTCTTCAAAATTATTTTAAAATATCTTTTCAATATTGAATATTAGTCCTACAAATTCATCATTTGACAGTTGCAGATTTCCAAATGTATCTGAATTGGCGTTATCATATGCCTTTTAAAAGCAATAAAAAGAAAAATCGTCTAATTCAACGTGATCTTTGTTATATTTAAGACAGGTATCGCAGGAGTGGATCCGCAAGGCTTTTATTAAAAGGTAACTACACACATACCTGATAAAATTTTTCTGTAGCAATTCGTCTTTACAATAATTTAGGGTGTTAATAATTTCATCATAAAATAAAATACAAGGTGTTCCATTTAAAAAACATACATTTTAATTTTCCAGGCAAAAACGTGACACCCTGTATATCCAAAGATATTTTTAAAATATGTAGGTATTTTTCAAATCCATATAACTTTTATTTAAAACTTTCTTGCGTGTCTACAACAAAATAATGAACAATACCGCACTAATGAGACACCCTGTATAAATTATATTTTTAACAATGAAAATTTCTTATAATGTAGCACTTATCGGTTTGGGTCCTTGGGAAAACTAAAGAATGTTTTCTTGCAGGTATAACCCTTATTAAAACAGCTTTTGACTGCACAAACTCATTCTACTCACAGCTAAAGAGTCACCAAAATAATAACAGTACCTTTAACTCAAACAAAATCAACGAAATTATAGGCTCCACGAAATTATACGCACGACTCAACACCTTGTCTAAGTACGCTTCTGAACGCCAAAACCGTCTTTTCCCTTCGAAGGCGGAGCTTAAGCGATGCGCGACGAAATCGACGCAAACCGTTGCCGCCAAGAGAGTGTTTTAGCTGTATTGTATAAGCTGTGGTAGAAGCATATTAAAGTTTAAAAAATTAAAAAAAAAACTCCTTTTTTTAGAGAAATCATGATGAATGGAAGTATGTATTCTACACCGCTGCAGGAATTTATATCGTAGCAGGACTGACTTTTATATTTTTCGGATCAGGAAAAATACAACCTTGGAATAGTGGCAAAAAGATAAGAGATAAATAATGATTTAATTAGATTCTACACATACAAATTATTTTTTATAATAAATATTAAATAGTAAAATCATAATTTGTTTTATTCGTTTATTTTTTAATTTAACAAAAAAAATACTTATATTAACTTGTAGAATAATATTTAAATGAAATGAACCAACAGAGGTTAAGAACTGTGTGTCCGAAGCTTAGAGTAACAAAGGAAAATTTGTGTTTCGTATAAATTTTTTATTAAAAATAGCAAAGCAAACAACTATACTTCTTTTTCGAAAAAAAAAAAATAAAAATCAACTGTGTTCCTTGTATTATTTTTTACATGAACCTTTGGTTTACGCCATTTCCGGTATGTACAGAAATTTTTTAATTTTGAAAAATGTAAAATTTTGCCTTTTTATGAAACAATTGGTTTTTATCAAATAGAAAATCATATCTTAGTAAATATTTGAGGCATCAATTTAATTTTTTTTTTAAATTGAACGGAAACATGACCGCATCGAACAGTACTAAAATATTTTACGATACTACAATACTTTTTATCGAAAATAATTAAAAACTTTTATTTTTGAAAATCTGTTCTCCAATATTCAGGATTCTAAACTTAACGTATATAGTATTAGCATTATTTATTAGGATTTTGCGCACTAGCACTTACGACGAATGAGAAAAAAAAATGTTCTTTTGTAATCTATTCTCAGATTAAAAAATATTAAAATATGCCTATATAAAAGTATACCTATGTATAAGTATACATAAACCCATAAGTCATAGCACTTTGGATCAATATGGGATACCCATAATAATTTTCAGTCTACTAAACAAAGTATAATCTAACTAAGGACGAAAGCATAACGGATCTGCCATTTGACAACAAGGTGGTTTATAATAACTATATTATGCGCTTATTAGGACTACCAAATATTTGATGCGCTACTGGGAACAATAAAGATTTTTTTTTGGGAGGTCATTTAAGCAATGCGGTTTTTAAATCACAACCAGAAAACCTTGAAGCGAATAAACTTTTCCAAAATTCAGAGATCAATTTGAAAATAGAATTTTACTGTATAGGTGCATACTGTGTGCAAGTTATCAAATACAATATAATAATTATATTTGTTATAAATAAAGAAAGAAATATGTTTTGCAGCAATAAATATAACTTGTAGCAACGATCTTTATGCTATTTAGGTGATATATATTTAATAACAAATTTAATGTTGTTAAAAATATCTGCAGTCCCTAAATTCCACATTTATTAAATGTTTAATTTATTTTTTATTTAAAAATAATTTTGTGCTTACTTAAAAGAACTTATTCTACTACTGCTGCTATCTATTATATTTACAAATATTGAGGTGACAACTCCATTAAGGTAAGATTTTATTTATTTACCTATTGGTGCATAGCTGGGAATAACTCTTACAGTCTTTATAACTTAAGACACTAAATATAAAATATCTAGGCGTTTATGTATATTGATGCTAATTTTAAATAATTATAACCTGAACGAAAGAAGAAAAAATAATTGATTATATTTTAAATAATACTGTATAAAGGGTTTAACTTTTAAGAACTAAATTTAATTTAATTTCTGCAGATTATCAATCATTTGATTTTTACAACTGATAGAAGGCCGTGATGATATTTGTCTTCCTCTAGTTTTTTTATATATTCGATATACCTTTCATCTTCCTCATCCACATCTTCAACGTTAGTTTTTTCGTTTAAATCATTACTTTCAATATGATGGTGGGTGAGGTTTTCCGGGTTTTCCTCACCTATAAGTCAGATGGAACCATAAGTCGCGCCGAAGCATCACGGCAAATATTAATAATAATAACCGTCCCTTCCCCACAAAAGCTCAGTAGGCTTCAAGGGTTGAAATTCACTCGTAAAGGGGTGAATTAGGAACAGTAATATTATTATTATTATTATTATTACAGTCTGATTCTTCTAATTCATCAACTGTGTACCACTTTTTTCTATTTCTTACATAGAATGTGTGGCGTAGCGAATGTGATTTTTGGATATGGCAAGCAAGGGGTTGTGGCTTCAAGTCTCGGTGTAATCATTTTTTGTTTATTTTTTATTTTTTTTATTATACACATATTTTTATATAATTTTATTATAATAATATACCCATTTGTCTTATTTCTAGTTCGTCTCAGTCTTATATTCACATTTATTTTATGTTCACAATGTAAAAAAATACCTAAGGTAAATCTGTGTTCCGCTGGAACCACTATTTTATTTAATTTTTAGGTCATAAAAAAAATTAAATTTTTTTTAGTAATTGAAATTCTGCTATTTTTTTAACTAAATTCAATTTTGTAAAAGTGAAATACATTCATAAACGCACAAATGCAGAAGACATTTATGTGAAGAAACTAGACACATATTTTGTCAAGCTTTTCTAGTGGGAATAGATCTTCATTTTCAGGAGCAAGTATATAAATCAGATTTTTGGCCGAAAAATATAATTTATTCCCGATTCAACTTTAAACAAGGTCAGCGATTTCTTGAAGATTCACAAAACCAAAGATGACATAAGAGTGAAGAAAATTTTTCAAACCTAGCCTATTCTTCAAACCTGATAAAATAGGGACCTCAAGGACTACTATGGAAAACCACTTTTTGGAAGAAAATAATGAATTACTATTTTGCAGTACCCAACAGTTAAATATTACTTTAATGCATATCAATATACAGGGAGGTTTTGCCAATAAATGCTTTGATCTAAATTTAATTTTACAGAAACAAAATTTAAGTATTCTATGTGTTACTGAACATTGGCTTGATTCTAACAATTTACAAGCTACGTCAATTGACGATTTTAAGCTAGTATCATACTTTTCACGGATAAATAAAGAAAAAGCTAGTGCTAGTATATTTATGAAAACAAGTATTGCTGCAAATTTTGAATCAATTAATTTACATAGAAGGTGAATTTGAAGTATGTGGTGGAAAAATAAAGATCGATTCTAAACTTTTTTTTATTTATTATTACTGTGTATAAGCACTTTTATAAATCAGCTAGAGCTATTAATTCATAATATTTATCAAAACGACAATCACTATTTTATCTGTGGTGATATTAACGAAGATTTTTTGATTGAAGGTAATCAAAAAACTGTTTTAATTGACTTATTGAAGGAATTTAATATTAAGCATCATATAAATGTTGCAACGAGAACAACAAGTACAACCTCAACTTGTTTAGATAATTTTTTTACCAATTATGATGTAGATAGGGTGGGTGTATATGATATTTTTTTTGTCTGATCATAACTACTTATTATGTTCGATTAAAGTACCTAATTTTGAAAATAACGAATTTAAATTGAGATATAAACGAGATTTAAGTGATCCTAGCGCAATAACTTCTATAAATATTTTATCAGTTGAAAATTGGCGTGAAGTATACACATTTAATAATTTTAATGATAAATTTTCTATCTTTTATGACTCATTCCTATACTACTACAATATTGTATTTAAGAAAACAAAGAAAGCGATAAAACCACAAAAATTAAAAAATCAGTTTCCACCTCATATTAAAGAGTTACATAATCTATTATGTGAAATGAACAGGTTAAAGAAAGAAATAAATTCTACATATTATACAGAAAGTTACAATAATTTAAAAAAAGAGTATCAAAAATAACAAAACAATATTTGAGAAGAAAAAATAATGATCGTATTTTAAAAAGTAATAACGTAATGAAAGAATCCTGGAATATAATAAACGAGAGTAGGGGAAAAAGAAAAAACAACTTATTGAATCCTATTAAACTTACAAATGATGGCAAATTAACACCCTTAGAAAAAGTAAATTATATCAATGACTATTTTATTAATGTAAATAAAAATAATATTGTACCTAACTATACTATGAGTATTGATAAACATCATAAAAGTTTTTTATTTTTCCAACAACTCCTAGTGAAATCATCACTATAATCAAAAAAACTACTTCTAAACCCACTGAAGGTATTGACGAAATAAATGTTAAAATTCTGTTATCGATTGCTCATTGTATTGCTGAACCCATATCACATTTGATTAATGAATCCTTTGTTTCGGGATTATTCTCAAATATGAAGGAATCTAAAAGAATTCCTGTTCATAAAAATAAGGGATCTGCATCTAATATAGAAAATTAACGTTTAATATGTATATCTAGTCAAATAACTAAAATATTTGAGTCAACATACTTTATTAGACTCACTAATTACCTTGAAAGTTTTAATATGTTGCCAGATACTCAAAATGGATTTAGAAAAAATAAGTCAACATCTACTGCAATTGCAGCTTGCCTAGAGTTTATATATCAAGCACTCAATGATAAAAAACATATTTTGGGACTCTTCTATGACCTTAGCCGTGCATTCGATATGGTGGATCATAATCTTTTATTATTGAAGATGAATAATAATAATGTTTATTTTTACTTATACATGATAAAAAACATATTTTGGGACTCTTCTATGACCTTAGCCGTGCATTTGATATGGTGGATCATAATCTTTTATTATTGAAGATGAATAATAATAATGTTTATTTTTACTTATACATTTTTTTTTTTTTTTTTTTTTTTTATTTATAAAATTTGTATTAACATATACCTTCTTAAGTAAAACAAACATGAGGGTAACCCATAAAAACCTAAAAAGGTTACGCACGGGACTTAGCTCTTGTTCATTTATATCTTACATGTGAAGAAGTAACAAAATACAAATATATACAAATGGAATAAAAATACACAAAATACACAAAAATAGAAAAAATATTAAAATACCGTAAAATACACAAAATAGAATAAAAATACATAAAATACAAAAGAAAAATGGTAAACAGCCAATAAACAAAAATAGAAAATGTACTAACATGAAAAATCCAAATTTTGTTTTGTTTAGTTAGTTTATATTGTTATTTATTTATTATATATATATATATCCCTATATATTATATGACTAATATTTAAAAACTTTTATGACTAATATTTAAAAAGATTTAAATCATGATTTTTTTTTATGAATGGGGTAGTTTTATATATTGTTATTTAATTATTTATTAATTCTCTGATAATATGCCTCTCACTATCAGAACTTTTTAAATGAATTCTTTAGGAATTTTATAGAGTTAATTTTTTTTATATATGTTTTATAGATATCGGGCAGCAAATTAAATATTCTAAGAATGTAAAATTTCTTTGTCCTAGTGTTTTTTTTGACACTATAGTTTTAACAAGTTGCGATGTTTTCTGGCGTGTATTGTAAATATGATCGATATCCCCTAATATTTTATTTCTATTTTTATACACGTAGATTATATATAATTGCATGGACAAATAATTGGCGAATATCTAATACGCGTGCCTCTTGGAAGAGTAAGTCGGTTGGAAATAGTACACATTTCCTTAAAATTAGTTTTAAAATACGTTTTTGGATTATTTCTAAAGGCTTTAAGTGAACTTGATATATTCCGCCCCAAGCCAATATGCCGTATTGCAACCTGGATTCAACAAGTGAGAAATAAATTATTTTTAGGTGATGTAAACTTAAAACAGAACTTAAATATTTAAATTTAAATAACAGACACCTTAATGTTTTAGTGACATTTTGAATATGTTTTTCCCACTTCAGGTTACCATCAATAGTGACTCCAAGATATTTAATGTCATTAGATCTTTCTATGTTAACGTCTTTATTATTTATAATTTTTATATCTAAACCAAGCAACAATACAAAAATACAATAATATTTAACAAACGTCCTGTATAGTTAAATAAAACAAAAAAATTATATTAACAACAATAATAGGAAACTCAGCTTGTAACAAAGTGAATGTTTTAAAATGTTAACAATTTATTACTTGATTAGAAAAAAATATTTAAAATAGCGAAATTATAGAATTATAAAAACCATTGGAATGGAACCGACCTTATTTAAAATTATAAATAAGAATATATATATATATATATATATATATTAATTTAAATTCATAAACGCGTAAATTATTGTGATAACATTGTTTTTCAAATAGACTCTACACAATGAAGATCGATCAAAATGTTTTTACCTCAAAATGTCTTGGTTGGTTAACAATAATCTCTAGTCAGTTTTTCTGAATTCTTTGGAAATTTGTAAATGATGTTTATATTTTTTTTTCATTTGGACACTGTTTACCAATAATAATATGTTATCAACATAATACTATGACTAATTTTTGATATACAGAGTGTTAAAGTTGAAAATTGCCTAGTTTTTCGAAAATTTTATTTTCAAACTTACGAGCTAGATTGAATTTCTGTTGTGTACACACATTACTACATGTTTTAGTAATACATTAGTACATAAATATAATTAAAAATGTTTCTAGTTACAGGGTGATTCACAAATGTATGGTGATAGTTTTTTTAAAATCTCACTAATTTACTGTGACGTCTGGAAAGCATATTTTTAAAAAATACTACACAATATGGTAATTTGGCAGCAACAAAATATTATACAATATATTTCCTCTACAGGGTGTTTTAATAAAAACAGTTAGATTACTTTGTATATTTTAAAATCTTATGGTTCCATAACTACCTAATGTAATGATATCAACTTACTCAAAAATCTTGCCAGAAGAAGTTTTTTTATCTAATCTATCTAATTGATGTGTTTTTGCATTATTACTAAAATGAAATTAGGTACCTATAGAGGTATCTACGAATTTTATGCGTTTCTACAAATTAAGCCGAAATTTTTTTCGTTTTCCATCGATTTGAATATCGGTTTTAACGAGATTGGTTATTAATATATTTGCTTGAATCCTTAAAATGATCATATTTTTTTTTATAATTGTTTAAACTCCTAATTTATTGTTTTGAAAGTCACATTATTAATAGTAGTTTTAACAACTTTTCTACTAAATCTTAGCTCTTTACCTTTTACCGTTTTGGAAATTAAATTAAATACAATTTAACTCTTTCTGGCCTTGTTTCGATTATTAACTATATTCAAACAGTCATAACAAAATTATATATGATTCATCATATTTCAATCAGGCGAAAATTTGAAATACTGTTTCCCGGACTAAAATTTTTCGTTATTATTGCATGTTAAATAGGTTTTAAAATACATTAATATTAATTACAATTTGGATAAGGTGTTAGTAAATATCTACCTGTCTCGTATTAAATGGTTTACTTACATGTTTTAGTTATAAATTAAAGGATTTTGCTATGGCTGAAATTAGCTTAAATGATGTCAAATATACAGAGCAAGCTGCAGAACTTCTAGATAAAAATTCGGATCTTCTAAAACCAGGTAGGTAACTTAATGTTGAAGGTTAATTTTATTGAAATGATAACGTGTGAGCTTCAATATTTTTTTCTAGAAATCATGTAAATATCTCTAAAATGCTAATAGAGATAATGTAATGCAATTTAAACTTGTAAATTAGAAATAAATGGAGATTATCGGAAGTCAATTTGAAATATACAGGACATTTCAAGAAGTTCTGGCTCACTAAAGTTTTTTGTTTTAAATAAGATAACGCTGAATATTTTTGAATTTTTGGTTCACCTTATAAAACTGATTCCAAAAAAACTAAAGTTTTAGTAACTAGAACTATCAAAAGTCTAAAGTAGTTCTAATCGGACGCAATATAACCTCAGAATAGGGATTGTTAAAATTTCATTTAGTACGGAATTCTATAATACACTTTTCAGAACATATTGAGTTTTTACAATGTAAACATGATTTTGTTCACATTTTTTATTATATTGAAACATTTTTAGTTGTTAAACTATTTTTATTTTAGATAAGAAGTTCGGAAAAAGGCACTTTCAAGTAGTAAATATATGTTTTTTAGTTTTTGTCGCGTATTACTCAAGAAATAGTTTATCTGTGGCCATTGTTGCTATGAATGACCGCAATTCTACCATTAATCCTAATATTCCTGTAAGTATATTTGTGATAATGCTTATTTAAAAGCTATACTAACCATTTTTGGGTAAATAATAAAGTGCAGGATATGCCAAAGGCTGATCCTAAATCCTGCTTTAGTTTCAATCAATAAAAAATAAAACCAAAAATGTATGAAAAAATGTTGCTCAACACTACAACAGTCTTATTACCAAACATAGAACAATAAATAGTAAGTCTTTTGTGCTCATTACATTTCTATTACATTTTTATATTGAAATCTAGTACATTTTTAGCTCACCCTATTATCTATGTTCCAGTGCCATCTGTAGTCGTTGCAAGTAGTTTAGTTAAAAAAAACTAATAACTATTAATTTGTTATGATTTTTATATAGATGGGGGTACGTGATAATGAGCACGGGTTTTTCAAAATCAGTATTAAGTTCAAAATTATAATTTTTCGTCCTTTTCCACTTAAAATAATTCAAACGTTATATTCTTCTCTCGACATACTTAAATTGGTTAGATACAAGAATTTTGAAATATTTTAAGTAAAAATCTGATGTATCCTGTCTAGTTATTACAAGCTTTTTCCGGTTATTTTGTACAACTTATTGTATGACCCCTGTAAATGTTTAGAGGACTGAAAAACTGAAATTTTACACTTTTTCTCAATTTTTTTTATTACTGTCCATTTTAAAGAAATCATGTATAAAATAAAAATAAATAACTTTTATTTGAACAATTTGAGTTTTTTACTTTTTTCAAATTTCTCGAATACGGAGCTATTTTAGGAAAATTTTGCATAGAACAAAAATTGTAGATAATAATATTACATGCAACTTTTATTGGAAGAATTTTCCTCTCCAAGCGTATATAACAGATATATTCCATAAAATATAAAAACGAAGTCCTATAAGGTACCCCAGATGTTGCGACTATGTCCAAAATCTAAATAGTTTACCGTAGGATGGATTAAAGCTTAATTACAAAATTTGGTGTTTTTATCTGTATTTGTTCATCGAGTAAAATAATAATAAATTCTTTACTTCGGTAACAATCGTTGAATTGACACATATACTTCCGGTTTAATAAAGTCGTAATTCTTATTTAAACACAATTTTTAAATTGTCATATAGGGATTTAATCATGTATTTAGAGTTTGAAAAGGTTCGTAAATCGTGATACCACACCTTGTTTATGTGAGATGCACAAAATGGCATTGTTTTATCTAGTTTCACGGATCTGTTGACCTCTTTTTTTAAATACAAGCATTCTTGGAAACCTCTCGCGCTCGCTCAGCCTAGTGCATCGACAGATACGCAACCAGCCTGAGCGCAGAGACGTAGTTCAATGGCAAAAGCTATCTCTTCAGACTGACCAAATCAGCATAATCGAAAGATCTACTCCACCAGTATAATAATCAAATTTTCATTATAATTTTTAGACCTACGATTGGCACAACAAAAACGTTATACAATCCGCGTTTTTCGTTGGGTACGTACCATCTCAGATCATCGTCAGTTGGTTAATATCCAAATTCGGTACCAAATGGCTGGCTGTATCATTTTTTTGTTGCTGTTCCATTTCTGGAATAGCGACACCTACCGTGGTGTACTGGTTCGAAGATATGGGAATAATGGTGATGAGGTTAATTCAAGGATTGTGCCAAGGATTCGTCTTTCCTTCTGTCCAACATGTACTTTCTCAATGGGTACCGCCGAATGAGAGGGCAGGACTCGCTGGGGCAGTCTATGCAGGTAAATTAGATGGTTTGGCGAATTTTCTTTCAATCTTGATTTTTTTAATGCATTATTTATATTGCTTAAAGAATAGAGAATAAGAAACAAAATTAATCTCAAATAACCAATTTTATTTATAAGATAATAGGTCCTCTGGTTTCGATTCTGAAGTTAAGAAGGCCTAAAATAAATTAAAAAATAGTATAACAATTCTAATTATTAACTATCAGGAGTAGTATTACAAACTTTGCAATCTGCAATGTAAATTATGTTAAAATTATATTTATTTACTTCTAATTTCCTCATTTTCCAGATTCAAAATTTTCAACTACTTTCATCTATCTGTACGGTGTTGCATTACTTAAATATTATATTCCTGAGCTCATTGCAAGCCATTTTTAGTCACTATTTATTAACAGTATCCCACTTCTGACAGCAATGTAACGTTTATTTATTTTAAACAGTTTATTATATAATTTATTTACAGCTATAATCACTTATTTATTTACGAATTAACAGTAATGCATCTCAAACATTTATTTGGACAACTATTTAAAGAAATTATTCAAAAAAATCCTATAAAAAAAAATTGGTTCTACAGGACCAAATAGCACTCATGTAAAACTTGCTCTATATACAATCTATATAATATCTATTTATCTATCTTCTTTACAAATCGATATCCAATTTTAATTTGAATTTTACAGCTCACATGACCGTTTAGTATAACTTATTTAACCCTCTTAGTCCAGTCATTTAAGCTTAAATTAGGTAAGAATCTCGGAATTCGAGATACCCAGCTGTAAGTCTGTAAATACTTGTATATTGACACCCTAAAAGTTTTCTCAAAACCTACATATGGTAGGGTGTACGCAGCTATTCAATTTCAAGGTCAAAGGTCACAAAAATCGGTTTTTTGCGCTTTTTTTTTGTAAATATCTCATTTCCTGTGGGTTTTTTGCTATTTGTATTTATTATCAATATTTTAGAAAATAAAATTCTCTACAAATTTTGTTTAAAAAAATTCAGACTACAGTAAGAACGTAAAAGCTATGGAGCAGCAGAGAAGAACTGCTGCACTTTCAAAAACGTATGAAGTCTGTTTCAATGAAACAATGGTTGTACCAGTTACTTAGAAAAAATTCTTTTCAAATCGAATTAACAAAGATATGCTCATTAATATGTTAATTGAAAAATTACAAGCTGCAAATATTACTACTAAACAAGCCAGAGATGATGCGGATGTTCTTATTGTTGAAACTGCAATTGAAGAATCAAAGTCTGAAAAAACTGCAGTTATAATAGGACAAAGTATTGATTTACTTGTTATTTTAATTGGGCGTACACTGTCTTACGAACAAGAAATTTTCTTTAAAAAAGTTGGGAAAGGAAATGTAAAAACGAAGATATACTTGACTAAAAGTTTTGATAATTATCCTCATTCCAAAACACATATTTTATTTCTGCACGCATTAAGTGGCTGTGACACAACTTCTGCGCTTTTTAAAAAGGGAAAAAAATCATTTTTAAAAGTTTTTGAGAAACTGACAAATTTGGATGAACTAGCTGCAACATTTGAGGAAGAAAATTGTTTGGTCCAAAGATTATTAGAGAGTGGAACTCAAACCTTATTGGCAGTCTATAATGCTTCGAAATCTGTGAAAAGTCTCGATCATCTTCGTTATATGCATTACGTCAAGTCTACAAAACTTAATAAACCTGTGCAGCTTTCAAATATTCCACCAACAAGTGCAACTGCTCATCAACATTTCAAACGTGTATATTATCAAATTCAAACTTGGTTAGGGCATGATTTAGAACCCCAGGTATGGAGTTGGGCAATGCGAAACGATTTTCTGGAGCCTCTCATGACAATTTTACCACCTGCTTCAGAAGATTTGCTAAATACAATTTTCTGCAACTGCAAGAGTGGTTGTGGTTCGCGATGTGGATGCAGGAAAGCGGGCTTGCAATGCTCTTTAGCTTGTGGCCAATGTAATTGGCAAGCTTGTCTCAATGCTCTACCATATCAGAGCGACATTATCGAAGATGGAACCTTTGACCCCGAAATCATGGAAGAACTTGAGACAAATGTCGTTGAAGACGATAATGAAGACCAGTTTGAAATTTACCAGCAGCCGGAAGACGACGATGAAGAGGAAGAAGATGAATAAAATTATAAATTGTAGTTTTTGTACCCTTTATTCCATTTTTTTACTTTTAATAAAAATAAATGTATTGAATGATATTTTTTAATAAAAAGATTAATTCATAATTTATTTGTTTTTTTGTTCATCATGTAAGAAGTTATTAATATTAATTAGGTTAAAATTCAAATATAATTCCTATATTTTCATTAACAATTCTGCAATTACATGGGCAGGTAAGTGTTGTTAAATAAATTAATACTGAATAAAAAGTGGATAGGTTAGGAAAAAAATGATAAAATATAATATAATAGTTAATATAAATTGACAAATATTTATAATCATTGATTTATCGATAGTTCATCAACTATATATGGCGCGTTTTCGACCGGAAGCACCGGTTGACCTGAAGTGATGATGTGACCGCGCGCTCTCCGCCCTCTATCTCGAAAACGGTTTACCGTATGAAAAATTTTTTTAAACAAAATTTGTAGAGAATTTTGTATTCTTCAACATTGATAAACATTACAAATAGCAAAAAACCCATAGGAAATGATATATTTACAAAAAAAAAAGCGCAAAAAACCGATTTTTGTGACCTTTAACCTTGAAATTTAATAGTTGCGTACACCCTACCATATGTAGGTTTTGAGACAACTTTTAGGGTGTCAATATACAAATATTTACAGACTTACAGCTGGGTATTTCGAATTCCGAGGTGAATTTACTATAATGACTGGACTATCTATCCTGCACCCAACTACAACACTACAACACTTTTTCTAGTCAAATTAAAAACTATAAATATTGTATTATTGTAGTATTATTTATTTCCAGCCCGTCCTATAGCTACCGTATCATCCATGTTCATTACTGGCTACATAGCAGGTAGTTGGTATGGTTGGCCATGGATATTTTACATTTCCAATGGCATAGGATTGTTATGGTGTCTTTCATACGTACTCTTTTCCTATGACAATCCTGCAAGCCATCCCTCAATGTCTGCAAAAGAAAGGCGATACATAGATAAAAGTCTTGGACAAGAAAATGTTGATAAGGTAATGTTGACAATATAAAAACTGAGTTAATGTGGTTTTTATGTAGACTGAAAGTACAATGTAATAGAAGATCTAATAGAGACAGAGAGGATTGAGAGAAAGTGAAAACTATACCTATTATACCTTGTCCAATTCATTATAAAACTGAGGTTACACGTATAACTTTTTTTGTTTCTTTCTAGCTTGATAGCTCTTTATTATCCACTGTTCAGGTTGGTATCTCTTCAATAAGGAGCATGTCCAATGAATCGTATTCCTATTATAGAAAGTAATTCTTCTAAATAATACTTTTGTACAAGTTCGTCTTGTGATTTTTTTATTGTACCTTTTATTTTCTTATATTAGTTCCTCAAATAAGTTTAAGCAAAACTTATATTAATACAAGAACTATGTTTTAGGACTGTAAAATTCCATGGAAAGAAATAGCGACCTCAGTGCCATTTTGGGCTCTTGTTGTAACACAGACTGGCTTTAGCTGGGGCTTTTGGACGCAACAAACGCAAATGCCGATGTATATGAAATATGTCATGAAATTTGACATCGAATCCGTAAGTAGAAGCAGTTAAAATAGTATTAAATCAAATGATAAATCGCGAATGGGTTCATATATTCCAAAGTGTTACATTCTTTGGGCAATTTTTAATGGAGAATATTTCTTTAGCCGACATTTTTCACAGCTTTGAGTTGTCTGACATGTCCTTTGCAAGAATACTCAACTAAATCCTTACAGATGACACTTAGTAACGTTAAACTCTTCACAAAATTCCAGTCGATAGCTTTTAAACCATTACTAGACTCGATTTATACAGGGTTGCTGATATGTATAGAAACGGTCGATTATCTTCTAAAGCAAAGAAGCTAGCAACAAATATTAAATACAAAAGTTTTAGGGTTATTTTAAAATTTATTACAATTAAAACTTAATTTCGCTGTAACAAAATTTTGTAGTAAATTTAAAAGATAATAGGGAGGAATAATGTAAATTTCAAACTTTATTCTTTTTTGCAACTTTTCGATATTTTGCAGCCTATCCTTGTAGACTAAATTTTCTATATGACCCCATGCCCCCCAGAGATGAAAATTCTTACGATTTTTGAGTTTTTAAAAAAAAAAATAGCTAAATAGGCGAAAATTCGTCCTGGAACCACCATTGCAGGGTATTTCATTAAAGAAAAAGCAACTTTGTTTCGTCATTACTTTTTGGTTAACCCTGTATACTTAATTTTCTGTATTGTAATAGATTAAAAAAAAACACTAAAACTTATGAATTTAAAATTGTTCGCTAGTCATCTTACTTTAGAAAATAATTGACTGTTTCCATACATATGTTTTATTCCTAGGGATACTATATTTTAGTTTTTTTCTCTCAACCTTTCATTTTTGAGATTTCACACTTATTATTCAAGTTAATATTTTTTAGAGTGGTACACTTTCAGCACTCCCATATCTTGTTCAGTGGTTGCTTTCTTATTTTTTCGGCTTCCTGTCGGATTATCTATTAAACAGAAAAATTTGGTGTATTGATACAGCAAGAAAGACCATGAATTCAATAGGTAAGTCTTTAAAGCCATAGATGTTACTTATTATAATTTTTTTTTTATTTAAAAATAAGATGGCATCAACCACATTACCGGCGATATTCTACGGTGGAATATATACAAATAAGAAATTTTAAACTAAAATATATCTAAAATAATATGTTTTTGTTAAATAGGCCTTTCATCTATTGATGTCTTCCAATGTTTTAAGTTCAAAAAATTTTAATTTAAATGATTTTAAAAATTTCAAACATTCACTTTAAAAAAACTTGATATTCTTAAATTTTACCTCGGTACCAAACGAAGTTGTCATTCTAATAACATGGGCGCCAACATAATTTTTCCCAGATGGGGAAATTCGTGAATCTAACCAAAAAGGTGTATGATGCCACATAATTATTTATCTAGTTTAATAGATAGGAAAACCTTAATAAAATTTAGTGGGTAGGAGACAAGTAAAATTAAGAAATTTAGTAGTTTTTTTTACTTTTTGGAATGATTTTAATTTTAATTTCTAGGACTGTTTATACCAGCAATAATCTTCATTTTATTACAAAACAGTGGACCTGACGAATCTACCAAAGCGGTTGTCCTTTTGGTATTAGGCATTGCTATAAACGGAGCATGTTTTTGTGGTTTTATGGTCAACCAAATGGACCTCTCGCCTACGTTTGCCAGTATTTTGGTGGGTATCAGTAACGGTCCGGCCCAAATAACTGGATTTTTAGCACCGCTATTCGTACAAGCCATAGTGAAAAATGAGGTATAAATATTTTGTCAATAAAACATTGCTTTTAGTAAAATAATTTAGTTTATGAGTAATATACTTAACATTTAAGAATATTAGAAGCTATTGCACTGCTTACCAGTGTAATACCACTGATCTGTTACAGATCAGTGTGTAATACACATTTCCCGTTATAAACAACTTATTTTCTATCTCTCTCTTATTCTCACCCTTTCTACAACCGTTGGGTTGGCAACAATGATTATCCCATGAAAGCGTTGCTTCAATCAACAGTCAAAGCGTCTACCGGGAGTACCGGGTTTATTTTTGTCATTATGGCGACACAAGGTAAGCGATGATGGGTTACATTTGATAAAATGTTTAAGACATTGACGTACGCAACCAAAAATAAGATGTACAATAACTACGAGTAATAGAAATAAGTTATTGGTACCAGTGTAATCCCAAGCAAAATTTTCGGAGGGGGCATTGTCATTAGCCATTCCCTTTTTAGTATATTTTTTTTAACCATGAGCCTAGAGCCGCCCTTGGTAATCAGCACTATATTAAGATTAAAGGACTGTAGACATTGCCTCTAACAGAGCAAACATTTATATATGGGGACAACTGTAATAGCTGTCATCTGATGATCTGACTGCTATAGCAGTTCCTATTAGTGCAAAAACAACAATACTTTATGTAAGTAAAATCAAGTAATAAAAAGTAACATCTAAAAGTGTAGCCTTTGCATATAGATAGGAACAACCACATATCGCCAACTATTAATTTATAAAAGTGTATTTGTTGTGAAACCAACACAAAAATCATGCCATCCCTAAATAGGAGAGAAAGGACCGATTATGTTGGCGTAACATGGCGATGAGCTCGTCATCATCTGCTGAGTGTTCTGAAAACATCCAATTTTAAAGTGAAATATTTCTTGATATCTTTTCGGTTTTTTATTCTTTATGGTTTAATTTTTTTTTATCATTTTTTTAGACGGATCCTGAAGAATGGAAGTACGTATTTTACACAGCTGCAGGAATTTATATCGTTTCAGGACTAATATTCATAGTTTTTGGATCAGGAAACGTACAAACTTGGGATGGCGCAAAAAAGACTACTGATAAACGATTTAATTAATTAGATATCAATGATTTAAAATTAGAAATATTTATTTTAATGCAGTTTTTATTTTAATAAAGAAATAATTTGTTGTAACGCCTTGTAATTTACTCCCTTACAAGTAAATAACATCACAAACAAATTATTCATAAATCTGATTTTAAATATATCAATATTAAACATAGGCAATAATATAATAATAACAACAATCTCTCTAATTCACCCCCTTACGAGTGAATTTAAACCTCTTAAGGTGATTACAGCACCCCTTTATAATTTTCGGACAAGGATATCTCAAAAAGTAATTTTTTTTTTAATTAAAATTTTTGCAAAATATATTAGGTAATAATATCTAGAATATGCATATATTTTAAAATTTTAATTCCTTCCAGTTTCCGAGAAAAAAAAATCAAAGAGCTTTAAATTTTGAAATATCATAATGAAAATAAATGCATTCCTCAACAGAACTATTCTTAATATAATCCCCAAATTTAAGCTCTTAATCTCTTGTTAATGATCTTTTAAAATTCGCCGAAATTAGTGGCTAAAATGCCTCGTTAAGTGCTATTTTCTGGTGTAAACTGGTGTAAAGTGGTGTAAATCGTTGCAAGAAACGAATGATGACTCAAAGTATACGATACGACAGTTACAGACGCGTTACACCAGAAAGCACTTAACGAGGCGTTTTAGTCACTAATTTCGGCCAATTTTAAAAAATCATTAACAAGAGATAAAGAGCCTAAATTTGGGGATTATATTAAGAATAGTGCTTTTGAGGAATGCATTTATTTTTATTATATTTCAAAATTTAAAACCCTTTGATTTTTTTTCTTGGAAATTTATATATTAATATTAAAAATATAAATAGAAATAGGCACTTCATTATAACGCGACAAAAAAAAGTGTTTTAAATAATTGATTTAAAACTTTTTCAGGTTCTATAACTTTATTATTTATTTAAAGTATTTATAGCATAAAAAAGGTTTTTGTAACTAAACAATAGCATTAGATTTCTAATATATAGATGTTAATGTGTAATTATTAAAATTACAACAATTTCTAATTACAAAGCACGATATCTACGTTAACGCTGTGATTATAATGTGATAATTACATATTAATTGAAATCAAAATAAATCTTTCAGTCACTTTTAGTACCCGTAGGTTTCAAAACAACGTTATTAATGTCATAAAACAATTTAACGTATTATTTTCCCACTAAAGTTTAATAATTTACATATTGATGGATTTAAAGTTAAGATGATTTAAAAGCTTTTAATAAATTTAATTACTACTCTTGTAACTGAATGTAATCGTCTAAATCTGAGATAAAGTCATCTTACTTTCAAATCATCAATAAATATGAATCTGTTACATTTAAGCGAATGCATAAAGGCATAAATCATGAATAAATATTTATGATGAAGGTAGGGTTAGTTGTATAATGTCAATATAATTTGGTATTAAATAAAATCTCGAGTAAAATCTAGTAATCTTGTCATTACATTTTTAAAGATGTATAACTAAAATGAATGTTTTAATTTTTTTAGTCGAAAAATTGACGAAAAAAATAAATTTTTGGTATATATGTAGAAAAAATCATAGATTTCATTTAAAATGTTCTAACTAATTTTCTTGTGAATGCCACCACCTTCCCACAGAGGATGATGCGGGTAAAATTTGTATACAGGAACTTTGTAAATCAGGTCTATTATAAATGAGCTAAAAATTAGATTTTTCATCTCTTCTATAATTATTTTTAAATGCGAGCCTCCACCAGGGCCGCCGAGAGCCAGACCGGGTCCCAGGACAATTCTCCAGATCGGACCCCGCGACAATTTTATAGCAAACATTTCCCTTTCTCTACTTAAATTTCTCTAAAAAACAAAAAAAAAAGGTCTTCAACTAAGAACTTCCCCCCTCTTCGGTCGAACTTCTGAAAGTAACAAACACCACCGCTGCCGGGCCCCATTTGAGCCCCGGGAATTAGTCCTGGCTGCCCCTCCCCCCCTCTAGTCGGCCCTGTTCTCCACATCCGAACTATGACGATTCAGATTCAAAAGAATTTTTATGCGATATTCATATTTACGTGATATTACAGTCATATACCAAATTTGGTCTCAAGAGCCGAAACCCTACCAAAATATGGCTTGAAGAAACAAATGTCCCAATCAGAGATAACAAGTGTTATCTCTGATCCTAATGTATACCACGCTCCCCTAATTTATTTTTTATTTCTGTCGACTTGCAAATGTTTCATTTTTTGATTTTGGTCTATTTTATTTTACTATTTATTTTTTGTTTTTATTAAACTTGCGAATATGCTCCTATTATTTATTTTAAGTTTGTAAGAAAATAATTGTTTTCTTATTTTTTCATATATTATTAATGCGAATTTTTTTAACCCAAGATATCTTGCACGCAAGCTATGTTACTGCTTTTTAATAAAATATTTTACACAAGCAATGTTGGAAATCATAACTCATCGGTAATTGGAGCAGACCTATACCTATTCCTATACATATACCTATACCTATACATATACCTATACCTATACCTATACCTATACCTATACCTATACCTATACCTATACCTATACCTATACCTATACCTATACCTATACCTATACCTATACCTATACCTATACCTATACCTATACCTATACCTATACCTATACCTATATAAACCCATATATACCTATTTTATTTGTGAAATTCGGATAGTGGGATTGTGTTTGATTTTGACTGATATTTCATTGATTTCTTGCATTTAGCAAATTGGACGAGACTTTATTCTTATACCAGCTGAATGTTCTTTTAGGTAATGTATTCTAGTACATACTTTGTTGCTTTTTAAAGGAATAGCTTTAAAAGTAATTAGGTATAGGTACTACATAATAATATTATATTTTGTTGTTTACACAACAAGTTTTTTTATTACACAAGAAAATTTGTAATAAAAATAAATACCAATCATGAATTATTTTTATTACATAAGGCACTAAAAAAAATAACAGCCATTACAAAAGTAGTTTCTACGATTTGCATTTAGAAATGCGTATTCATTTAAATTTAAATACCATATCCAGGATCCTCCACCTTAAGTTGCTAATATTTTATTATGCAAGAAGCGGATTTTAAATAACCTCATTAAAATATAACAGGCAATAAGTTCACACAATTCAAATTTTCATATAAATCGAATTAATTCGAAATGAAACATTTTCTTTTAACAGAGTTGGATTCTGGAATATTTCAAATTAATCTGTATTCTGTTTTTTCTTTAATCTCTAAAATTTAGCCATTTCATATTATTACTATTATTTATATTAATATAGGGATGTACTGTATATTGTAAGACAATCTTACCATTTATCCGTTTCATTTCATAGACAGAAATCACATTTTGTCAAAGATGAGATCCTGGAGCCCTGACTTGTCTATTTGAATACTGAAGACACTTTTTCCGAATTTTACCCAAATCTGGAGAAAAAAATGTAAAAATGGCAACGTCGCAATATGTGAATTATGAATAGCTATTGGCGATTCAAATTAATTTTCGCGCGCCTGTCATTTGTCATCTATAAGTAGGATGTTTGTTTATTTACATGTTTTTGTTTTGGACGGATTTTGTATTTGTGATTTTTTTAACTGTTTTTAGATAATATTCTCATTGTAATAGTGTTTTTGAGTTTCATTTAGTGTTAATTTAAGTTTAAGTCTCGTGCTTTCGTCATAAATATAATATTTATCATGTGTATGACTTAATTTGTTGGAAATATGTACCTATTGGTTACTACAAGAACATCTAGAAATATGTATTCACTAAACCCAGGACATGTTGTATTATGTGGTTTAAAGGACATTTCAGGTACCACACGTTTATTACTGATGCACTTATTTAAAAATCTTACTAGACTTATTCTTATATTATGAAGTGAATCACGTAGTACTTTGTATACATGTAAATGGTAATAAAACCGTCAAAAAATAAGATTTCAGTTTGATTCTAAACAAAGTTTCGTAAAATTTCAATATTGTGAATTTGTAGATATCCATTTATCGTAAAAGACAAAATTTTACGACTTGTACTTGGAAAATAATGAATCTTCAGTTTTGATTTTGACATTAACACCATATAGATTGCAATTTTCTGGGGACTTCGTCACAGATTTCATTTTTAATATAAACACTATCACATGCTATAAGAAAAAAACAAATTTAAAGCTAAAAAGTAAAAAAAAACTATTTGTAATTGATACAAATTAAAATGTAAACAATGAACATGAACGCCAATGTTGCCAAATGATGAACTGATTTTAAAACAAAATTAATAAATGAACTGAAATTTAAAAAAAATCAATATAATAAATCGGTTTTATAAAAAAATCCTTAAATAAATATAGATTATCATAACATACACAAATTTTGATTCTTAAATAAAAGGTTTTATCCACTTCTTCCAGAGCTAAAATCCGACGACGTAGCGAAGTTTTGCTACTTCTGGCAACACTGAACGATATCCTACTTATTCGGACCTTCTACAAATTTCCTCCAGAGGGCGTATCACTTAGCTTGAATCGCGAATAGCGAGGATCATAATATCGCTAAAAATTCTACAAAAATGACAACGTCGATCGACATTTATATGTGGGGGTGTAAGATCGGGAATTCGATAATTTTGACATCGTTAGGCCGCATCGTCAAGACGACGTTTAATGCAAAACTATATTTAATATTTAATGATCAGTTGTACCAAGTTTGTATGTAGATATTTTGTACAGCTCTATGACAAAATAGCGTCGGAGAAAATGGCGTACGACAAAATAGCGCAGGAAAAAATAGCGAGTGGACAAAATAGCGCAGGACAAAATAGAGTAGGGCATAAAAGCGCGTGTCAAAATATTCTAGTATTCTAATTAAAATAAAAAACGAACTAATTTACCTAACCTGGGCGGCCTGAAGTCATCGCATGTTGCTTTGAAACAAAAAAGACAAAATTAGAAAACTAAAAAAAAAATCATAAATGATTTACCTAACCTGTGCGGCCTAGAGCCATATGCAGCAACCCGCCATGGCTCCAGGCCGCACAGGTTAGGTAAATTAGTTTAAGTTTTTTTTTAATTTCAATTAGAATATTGGCATATTTTGTCACGCGTTATATTATTCATTCTGTATTAAAATCTGTTTAGTTCGTTTCTAATAACAATGAAGTATTCATATTGTATAAGGTAAAATAGTATTTTAATATAAATTCTACCATTCCTATTTAACAGAAACAAAAGTCTGGCTAATTGGTTCTTACCACGGCCATTCAATTAAAAAAAACCATTTCTATTTAATCAATTATTGAGTCCTCATCTGTGGTCATAATCGTATTACTACCTATTATCAATAAACAATCCGTAGTAATAAATTAAAGCGCAGATAATCTTTATAATCAATGCAAATTCAGAATGTGCAATACCTACCGCATCATCCTATTCGTATGCCATCAAAAGCAAAGAGATAATTGCTAAATTCTCAAGACAACATATTATTTCTTCAAATATTCAAATTGGCTATCATAAAACGTTTGAATTATAACAAATAAAAGAACAGAGATGGATTGAGCCCGAGCACGGAGAAAAATATGTATAGTCAAACATACATGTCTATAAATATAAGAATTTATATAAGGAGCATAAATACAAATCATTATTACGTAATCTTAAACTTTTCACAACGATTACTAGCTAATCTTTTGAGTTTAGGCTCAAGATTCATTTTGTGTATAACGTACGTACGCACATCCCCAACTAGCCATTCTTAAAGTGTATTTGTTGTGAAGTTCTCATTATCATCTATTGTATAGTCCAGGAGATAGTGACGATTTTCGGTATTTATTTTCCCAGCACGAATAGAGAATTGTAGGATTAGCAATTCTAAGCAAAATTCATATATATTTAGAAGGGGGATCCGATGGGCTGAGGCCGAAAATGCGTCAAAACATACGAGAACACGGCCCTTTTTTTTCATTGATAAAAATAGTTTTAGTAGTAAGAGATGTACTGAGTTAAGTAAAAAAATAGTCTGATTAATCTGTATGGATAATATATTTGGCAAATGCATAAAATACAATTTTAAACGAGTTATGTACACAATTATTTCTGCGACCACAATTATTTAAAGAATGTTCCAGGTGTTTTGTATATTAAAGCTTACGCATAGGACACATAAATAAAATCTTATATCACAATGTTTCACCTAACCAGTTGGTTTATTTATAGAAATTAAACATAATAATTGAAGATATTACAGAAGAAAATAGGGAAATAAATTACATTTCCTTTTATACTTTTATATAATAATTGTTTTATTTAGAATTCACGAATCACTCATTACTCTACATTAATTATAATTATTGTTAGTTTCGTTATGACAAATCATTTATACTAGAGGAAAATACAGTGAACTGTGGAACGCCAATATCGTTGGATGCGCGTGGTAGAAATGGTCCTATAATACTGCTAAAAACATAGCTAAATTTTCATTTTACATAGTTTTTGCAATTTTAGTGTGATTTTTAGGTTATTATGGTTATTCATTTTATTTGGTTCTGATCTTTTGCGCTTTTAGAGTATTTGTCTTTTATATAGTTTTTAATTTTAATTTTAATATTGTGGTCTATTTATATTTGATTGCTGCTTTTCGACTAGTGATTTATTCTTTTTGTGTTAAAATAAGCTTTATAACCATTAAGTACATGCTTCTAGTTGATATCTACCTAATCGTCATCGGGTGCTTGCAACAATGGGAAAAAGTGTATGTTTTTTTTGGTGTAAAGTTAGACGCCTTCATTTTTCAGGTAAGGTATTTGTAGTTATTTTTTACTTAAAAGGATAGCAATACGTCCTGGTTCGGGGTGTGACGTTTGGGTTTTAGCTATCTGAGCCAAATTGTCGGCTAAGTGTCGTCTTTTAGGGCACACAGAACCGAAAACTATATATAATATATATATATATATATAATATGTTTTTTTTTTAATTATTTTTTAATATGTATGCAGCTTGGATGAGGGCTTTAGGAAGAGATCCTAAGACTGAACACTGACTGCTATAAATGCCGTTTTTAGAGCACATTTCATAGTAAGTGATTTCATTCTAGCAGCAATGAGGAAACGTTTAAAAAACATGCTGTACCAGCTATTACTTTAAGACCTCGTCTCTTTAAGTTATTATTACTTCATTCTAATGCATATATTAAAATGGTTTTTAACTTATGTCCTTATGATTAAAAGATGTAGGTATTTTAGTTATGTTATAATAGAAATATATGATACTTTGTATTGACTGACCTACTGGCCACTGGTCATTCCACTTTTACTCCCTTTTTTCATAAATTATCAAATTATTTAAAAACAAATACATACCTAGCTATTTTCTGTAAATTACATTAAAATTTTAGTATTAATACTTTACTAATAAAACTTCAGTTAATTTATCTTATATATATATACACAACGGAAGAGTTAATTGTATTTTCTCATTGTTGAGTTTCAAAAATAGCAATTTAACATGATTTAAAAACAAATACCTGAAATGGGCAAAATAGGCCTGCAAATGCACTTTGTAAACAATCTCACTTGTATCGATGTGACGTAATGCGCGAATTCAATATGGCTTACTTTTGTTAATAGATTGGCTTTCCATTTTAAATATACAGTTCACCGGGAATAGATTATTTAAATATACATGGACCGGGAAAACAAAGTACGAAAAAATTCACTGGCTCCTGGACTAGTACTGTATTGAAGGAATTTTTATAAATGAAACAATATACGACCCTCCACAATTGCGGTCTACTCTACTTCCGCGGTTGTCAGACATTATTTTTTTTTTGACAATTTAAAGACCTAACAGTAATTCAAGCAAACGCAATAACATTACTACAGTTAAAAACATCGCAAACTTGGCATCAATATTTTCATTTTATCCAAATATTGCATTTCTGTCGAGGATCATCCGCGTTGACTTCAGAAATTGTGTAATCTGTATTGGTTATATATATATATATCTATAGTTAAAAGCACGTAAACTTGGCATCAATGTTCAATCCGATTATTGAGTTTCTACCGCGGACACCACCGTTCATTCTTCAAAAATTTTGTAAATAATCGTATCTGTCTTGGTTATATATCTATGTTTTTTTAATGTTTTAAACTACTGAGGACTAAATTCAACCTTGCGGGTTATAAATAAGATCCTCCTTGCGCGTTTTAAATAAGATCCTGGACAAAAAAGTATTACTGTAATGTCCTTTGTAAGTTGTTTCGTTAGAGAAGTAAGAAGTGCCGTAACTGATATTAAAAATGGTCGAATTTAAAAAGAAATATAGACAATACAGTATTGATTATTTGAAATTCGGCTTCATTCCTTTCTTATAGAACAAGTCTTTTATTCAACAGTAGTTGACGCTATGAAACCATCTAAGTTAGAGAATCATTTGATAAGATGTTACCTTGAGAAAAATGAATATTCCCAGCTGTTGAAGAAGTTTTAAAAACTTTATTATAAAAACCTGCATCTGGTATCATTAAATGAATTCCTTAAAGCAACAACACAGTTAAAGGCATATTGATGAAATTGAAAGATTCTTGTGTAATTTTATGCAAACGACCTATTTATTTATACAGTTGGACGAGTCAACCTTGCCTGGTAATGAAGCATTATTTAGGTTCGTTTAATTATGGATCCAGAAATACTGCTGCATTTCGCAAGAACTTTGACAACTGACACTAAAGGCGAATCAATATTTAATGTTTTGAAGGATTATTTCATGGAAAAAGCGATATTTTTATCAAACATAACATTAGTAGCAACTAATGAGATACCTGCCATGGTTGGGCGCTATCGTGGATTTGTAAACCACTTAAAATAACACTGCGTTATCCATCGACAACATTTTTTTGTCAAAAAATCTAAAAGGCTTATGTTTGACAAGATTTTTTGCTCCATTTGACCAGGGGCGGTTCGTGACCAAAATTTTGGCGGTTTACAGTAGCAAAATATAGATCCCGGTACAAATTTAGGTAAAAAACTGAAAGTTTTTTCATACATATGTACTGATACCTATATTCTGTCACTGTGAACCACTCTACGAGCCGCCACTGCATTTGACACTATTTTCGAGTTTTTGGTCACCCTAAAGCAATTTAAAGCAAAGTTTGATAATATTTTTAAGAACACTTCGGCAAGGAAATCCGAAAAGGTAGTTCATCCTGTATATTAGATTATTCTTTTAAAAAACAATAAATTATAATATAAATCAACCTGTTTCGGGAATTTTTAATAGTATTGATTAATAAGCTAATAATTAATTTATGCGTTAATTTATGAACGCACTTTATATATGTGTATATGTTTTTTTACATTTTTAAATTTTTATCCTTTTTTTTTTTCCTTTTTTTTAAGATTAATATACCACAGGGACACTTTTTTCTTTAGGGATCGAACAAGGAATTTTTTTGGACATACACAGGTGAACCTATTTTTAAATGTGCCAAAACTATTGGGACATACTTTATAATCTGCACTGGTAGATGTAATTCAACCTGTAACATATGCATTTATATTACTTGCCTTAAGAGCTAAATGTAGTCTTGCAAAAATTAAATAAAATCTGATGAAATGAATTACAATGAAATGAAATATTTAATTTGTAAAAATCGGTTTATCCCCCCTTGTTGCACGATTCTACACAATTATTATTCATGTCACATATTTCAACGGACCAATCCTTAAATCATGCTTGATCTTTATTAATCCAATTGTAGAAGGACTAACTGTCCCAACCCACATTTTCGATATATAGGTTAATCTCGGGTCCGTCCCTGTTGAATTATATTTAACAATTATGAAGACGCGCCTTTCATGCAGCGTGTTCCGACCTTTTGCACAATATCTGACAAAAAAATTATTCTAAAAACAAAGATGGATGCTGAGGGGGCTGGCAATTACATTAGAATTTTCCGAGATGCTCCTTCCTATATAAACTAGATCTGGTGTGGAATTCGAATGCAGTTCAGTGTTGGTCAGTATAACAAAATTGTAAAATAAAATGAAATCTGTGGTGAGTTTAATTGGTTCGAGTGATATTTAAATAGTGAAATGTTTGCATGAATGCTATTACGTATTTGGGACTTTATCTCTTTTAGTTAACAAAAATGGCTAAAAGAAGTGAAGAAAGTGTTAAAATGTATGGTATAATCAAAAAGTAATAAATACATTGGTTAAAACTTAAGCAATTATTTCAATATAGTGGTTAAATATAAAAAAAAAAAAATAGAAGGTAAAATATACTTAGTAATTATAATAAATAAAAATTTGTAGGTATAGCAAACCTTTATGAAAGCTGCTCATATTTATATATAGAATTTTAAAATGGAATAAAACACAGTGTTTTGCAAGAAAAAAATGTAAATTTGCCGTGAAAGATCCTCCCTATATACCTAACGATTAATTATAATTATTTTTAGCCAATTTTATACCAAAATACTCACCATTTGAAGCTGCTCATTCCTCCTGAAACAACATATAACAAATATAAATAGAAATAAAAATGAATCATAAAATATTAAGATAGGTGGTATTCTTACTTCAAAAAAGACACAACTTTTTGGGTTAATACCATGAATCTGATTAGTAAACAACAACCCTACACCAACCATCAAAATTGTTTTAACGTAGCTTAGAAATGATTGGTCTAAATGTTTACTAATCACATTTATGGTATTAAATCAGTTAATTTTGAGTTTTCAAAATAGTTGTCCATTTGATCCTAGAGGGTATATTTCAAGACAAAATATTGAAAATCAAAGTTATACATTAACATCAAAGGACATAACATCTGTATTGTCAGAAGTAAAATTAATATGAGCTCAGACCATAGATATCGAGCTACCGATTAATTTTCAGCAATTAAAATTTTGTTTTTACGAAAATTCGCTGAAAATACAAATAACAATCAATTGAATTTTTTTTAATTATCAAAAGGGGATATAATTTATTGAAGTAACCTAAAACTCTTTTGCAATTGAGGATCTTAAAACATCGAGTGACAAATCGTCAGTTTGGACAAAGCTATTGATTTCGACAATAAGAAATAGTTGTATTAAATTATTTTATAAAGGTTCTTTATAAACTTAAAAACCCTTTCTATGAACGCATAAAACAAACTACATCAGTTATACAATTGTTTTACTAGTATATTATAGGGACACTGTTCTATTATGTTATAAATATCGTATAGAAAAAAATGAGACCCGAGGAATTATCGTATATTTCTTTATAAACTTCCGAGAATAAAACAAAGCGGGTTATTTCAACATAGCATAAAAATGTTGTATAAAAGAGGGCCCTTTTTGGTTGCATAGACATTGTACAAACATATTTAACCACGTTAAAAGATTTCGAAAGTTGTATAGCAGTTCTCATAACCTTTATAAAATTATTTTCGCTACTTAATAGAGTCTAATGGTTTTTCTTTTTATACATTTTCATTTCCAGTTCTTCTTTTTAATTATGTAGCGCCCCAGTTGTGCCAATCGTACCTGCTGGTTCTTACTTAGCTTTTATAAAATGCTGAGGTCGCTATCCTCATGTATTGATTGGTGAGGTGCGTCCCCACCGTTCAACAAAGGCATTCCATTTTGACCAAAAATTCTACAGATTCATCGTAGAAAAAATCTTTTCGTGTTTTCCAATAGTTTTCATATAGATCATATCAATTTTTCTTTTTACTGTCATATTTTCTTCTTTCTTTCAAACAAATTCAGTGGCGTAGCCATACATTTTTCATAGGGGTTTCTTAAAACTCGGAGGGGAAGGGGAGGTTAACAGTCAATCGCGATCAGCCCCAATAAAATAGAAAAAACGGTGACGCAAAGGCCCTACATGGAGGGGTTCTGCCCCCAAAACCACTCCGTGGCTACGCCACTGAACAAATTACAATGATAACCGTTAAATAATTGTTTGTAGATACTGTTATTAGCGTTAGCTACTGGCTTATCTTCTGCACAATATTATCGACCAGTTGGTAGCGGTGTCAATTCTAGGATAATCAGTCAAACGCAGGAAGGTCCTAACACTGATGGATCCTATAGATGGAGGTAAGTAAATACCTAAATTTTTATCATGCAATTTAAATCTTGGTTCTATTACATTTTTTTTTTAATAATAACACAATTTTTCATATGGTGACAACTTAGGTACAGTCTGTTTGTTATACTTACGCGGGTTTCGGATTAAAAATTTTATGAGTATTTAAGGTCACATGTTCCTTGTTGGCCCTCATTCGATAAATGGTATCACGAATTTCAAATTTCTTTCCATCTGCAATATCTTTCGTTTTCAATGATGGGAAAGTTTTGCGGTGATCTTCTTTCGGCAGTTCACTATTGTGATTTTGTAATACTCCTCTTAATTTGGTTTCACTAATTCCTAGAGCATCGCATACGCGTTGTTGTTCAGACATTACCGATTTTAAAGGACCGCCATTTTCTTTTTTATCCGTAAAATACTTATGTACACTACAAATTAGACTATCTACATCTAACACACGTCTAGGCATTTTTAAAATGTCCACTAAATTTACAATATACATACAATGTCAGCACTTGCAAAGAATCAATTCAACTGCAATATTTGTAACAAATTTAGTACCTACCCTAATGTTATTTTAATTTAAATCTGACCATTGGGGCAATTTTACCTAATTGCTTGGGAAGAGGCTTATTGGAACTGGTTGTCAATGACTAATTTGCATAATTTTGTTAATCCGAAACCCGCGTAAGTATAGCGAACAGAGTGTAGTCACAATTATCTCTGCTTAAAATACCTCTGGCTACTAGCTAGTTATTTGTTAATAAATAATACAGGGTGTCACATTGAAAAGGGGGCTGAGGCCTTCTCGAGTAGAAAAAAAATACATTTTTATAAAATCACTCGGAAAAGTCTGTACCCTTTGGACTTCTTTGTTGATCCATGTAAAATCTAAATTTTATGTTACAAAATGTGCCACTATGGAAGGGTTACGTCAGAGAATTATTGATGAATGTAGCAGAATAACTCCTGAAATTCTCAAGAATGTGAGGCAAAAATTTGAACAGTTTCTACCATTGTATGGAAGCTGGTGAGGCTTAAATAGAACATTTGTTAGAACAAAGTATTCAGTAAAGTTTTCCCATTTTTTTCTCATTTTGCCTTATGCAAAATAAGGTATAGTATATTTTGAAAGGTAAATAATAAAAAAACCTATCTAATGATGTGTCGTACTGCACAAAGGGGGAAATGATGTGATGATGGTTTTTATGTCAAAAGATGTCCCTTGAAACTAAAAATACCAATCTGTTCGAACGATTTTATAAAAATATAATTTTTCTACCGAAAAAGGCATTTGTTCCCTTTTCAATATGACACCCTGTATCGAAAAGTATATATTTTTATAGTAGTTTTATGAAAAAAATTACTGCTCTTCAACTAGCATACATGTAGCCATCTAGTAAGCAGATTATAAAATAACTGTGAAGGTTACATGACATTCTGCTATTAGAATTTGATTTTCTCTGATTAAATTACAGATGGCTCTCTAATGGTACTTATTCGATTATATTATTAGAGATTGTAATTAGATATTTTCAATAAATGTAGTCAACATTTTTATAAGATTATGTCATTATTTAACAACTTTAAGCTCTGTTGTTGATAATTATATTAATTTATCCTATAATTTTAATTAAATTTGCCATTTACTTATGAAAGATCCTCCTTGAATATTTCAGCATGTATCTTCCTATTTGTATATCTAGTTAATCAATAGAACAGCTCCTAGAACCACTAGATAACAAAAGAAAAAAATTTACAGTTGTACATGTTGCTTCTTTAAGGGAAGAGACCCCCAGGTGCGCCTCACGGTTTGGCAACATTGATCATAAATAATATATGCTTTTTTGACTACCTTTTTTAGTTAAGTTACTGTCAAAGTTGAGACCTTAGTACTTCACCTCTGTTTTAAAATTTAATTTTGGGTTTAGGAGCTGTAGGGGTTTTAAATCCATTCCATTCCATTTTCTTGTGAATAGGGCTATTTTTGTCTTCTTGAGATTAGTGGACAATGACATTTTGACAACTACTTGCATTCTTTCGCAGAGTATATTACTATAAGCATATCATATGTCCAATATAGTCCTTCCAAGACATCTTCAAAAGTAATTTGCATACTTTACACAATTATTTTATATTTTTTGATCTATTTATGATTATTGTCGTTGTTTAAGTTTGGAGTTATTAAAAAAGAAAGAACAATGTTTCAGTTATCAAACGGACAATGGTATAAATGCTGAAGAAGAAGGTCGACTAAAGGGTATCGGCTCTACAAATGAGGCTATGGACGTCAGGGGAGGTTTCAGCTACACAGCCCCCGACAATACTCCCATCTCCCTGACTTACACTGCCGACGAAAACGGTTTCAGGGCTTTCGGACCTCATCTACCAACCCCACCTCCCATTCCAATTGGTATTCAGAGGGCTTTGGAATGGATTAGGACTCATCCCGATCCTAAATATCAATCATACTAGTATTTTGAAATCTAGTAAAAAAAGTATGAAATATAGAAATTAAAATTTTGAAATCAATGAAAATTTCAGAAGAATTTTTTTCGGAATACTCTCAATTTTATTTGGTTCAATTAGAACTAAAACATTGTTAAAAGATACGATTTTATTTTTTTTCTGTACTTTATACTTTAATAGATGTTTTAGAAAAATAACCTTTATTTTTAAGGTTAACGGATGTATGATTTGTTTTATGTATTTATGGATATGTACAATGTTTGCCATGTTTATCAGAATAAATAAATATACTGAGCAATATAAATTGCATGTCTTTGCATAACTTTCATTTGAGCCAACTTCAATTAGGTCTATATAGTTCTATTAAGGTTTAGATATCGGATATTCTAAAATTAGTATCCAAAACAAAATACAGTGGCTTGCAGATTTTATGGGAAACAAAAATATATTTTTTGCACATTTTGAAAATATACTATATTTGTATCCGTATCTTAATACTGTTTTCAATATACGTCAAATATCTTAGTTTAGGTAAATATTTGGGTTTTTCTTCCTCACTGTAAACTGAATTAAAATATAGAATGTTTAATTAAAAAACATTTTTTTCTAAGGATTCTTACTAATCTCGGATACATGATACTTTCAGCGATAACTTGATTTTCATCACTAGTGAAAGAAAATCCTATAAAGTTAACTTTCGTCTCTAGTGACGAAAGCAAATTGTTTTATATTTTCACATATTATCCGCCTATTATATAATATATAATATAATATAAATGCGTTCACTTTTACTGATTTAAAAACAAAATTAACTAATAAAAATTAGGCAATCAAACCATAGCTCGTATAACTAGGGGAGTTGCGACATAGCCTTCCATCTTGGACGCTATTTTTATTAGAAATAATAGTCGCCAAGCCTGTCAATTAATAAAAAATGTATAAGAGGTTTTTTTTTAAATAATATTTACATTGTGTTCGACATAAAATATTTAAATTTAACCTATTATTCATGATTTCACGTATTGTAGATAGAAAACATCGTATGTCGCAACCCTTTAGACATACCAACCCTTTCCACAGACATTTCGATTGTTTGGAATGCTTAATAGTGTAAAATTTAAAATAACCTACAACTAGTTTCCTTAAGTCAGTTGTTTATTTAAAGTTTTAACGTTTATTATTCAGAAAAATGTCAATATCAATTGTAAAAGATAAAGTTAATATTGAATTAGGCATTCCAAACAAATGAATTGCCAGTGGAAAGGTTTAGTATATTTAAGGGTTGCGACATACGATGTATTCTATCAGCAAAATTATGAAAATGGATTACATTTAAATATTTTATGTCAAACACAATAAAAATAATATTTAAAAAACCCGCTTCATAAATTGGCAGGTTTGGCAACTACCATTTCGAATAAAAATAGCGTCCAAGATGCAAGAGTATGTCGCTACCCCCTTAGATATACAAGAACTTCCCACTGGCACCTATTGTTTGACAGGTCGTTGGAATGCCTAATTCCAAAATTCTAGGGTCGGTCTTTTCACCTTCAGATAAAGTGTCAGGTAATTTTTATCCTCCAAGTAACTTAAAAAGTAATCTTTTCACTTCTGGGTAAACTTATCTTCTGAATGATAAATTATCTTATTTATGAAATTTCTGATAAAATACTTCAATGATGGATAAACAGGTAGTTATATGACCACATAAGGTTAAAAACTACTGGATACCTACCACACATATTATTTACTTGTAAAAACAGAAAACTAATTATCTGACAGATAGTAATTCTCAGATAATATATCCGTCAATTAGTTATCTGAAACTTTATCTGTAGGTGAAAAGACCGACCCTTTTTTGGGTATGGTCCGATATTAACCTACTACTAACCGTAACTAATTTTTTGACAGCGGTTCCTGAAAAAAACTAATTTGTTGGTTACATTTATTTGGACAGATTTTATGACAGATTGACATTTGACTTAATGGTAATCTATGAGTCTTCATATGGTAACCGTAAAAATATATCGTTTAGGGAATTGACGTTTGAGTCACCATTTTCAGGTAACCGCGTCCTTATTTAACCTTTTTTTTTTCAGGAATGTCAAGCAGAGCGGTTAATTTTGGACCAAGTAACAGATATTTCGGTTAATAACAACCCATACCCTTAATCTCTTTTTATTTTTTACTGCTTGTCTTATTTATATCAGCCAGAAATATTAAGAGTTTTTATACTTTCGTTTTTTTAATGTTTTTGATTTCATTACCCAATTTGTCTTGTTCATTAATTAATTAATTAATCTTAATATCAGACACTCTTGTTTAAACATCATAATTACATTTTTCGATAGTGCCTATTGCCTGAAGATGGCCTCGTTAGGCCGAAATCTGCATTTAGGATTATTAAATTTAATATGTCATTAAGAAATCTGACCAAATTTTAAATAATTATTTAGCAATAATGCTTTAACAAATTGGTATTGATAATATTGGTTTTTTTTTCACATTTTCTACAAATATCGGATTATTAATAATAATAATACCATTAAAGTGAGTTTTTAGATATAATTTGTACCTAATAAATCCGATCATTTTACCTTGTACACAATTTTAGGGGGAAAACTATCTACGTCTCTAAATTGATAATTATAGCCTTGCTTAATTCGCCATTACATACTTAAATAGTTAAAAAGTTGCCTCCAGTAATATTTTTCCTATTTACAAATACCATTGATGAATAATTAAACAACAGTTCCTGGTATAGTCGCATTATTTGTGACCTTTTCAAAAAAGCACGTAACATTTTCATAATTGCAATTCGTAGTTTAAAAAAATTGCCACTAAAATCCTTGCATGCTGTTGCAGCAACTGAAGATGTGCCGTAATAAAAGTATGTGGCATTTTCATTATATGTATAGTACGGTAAAATTTTAGAAGATTCTCGTTATTATAAAACGATGTTTTTAAATTAAATTACGAGGGTTGTTTGCTAAGTAATTATTGATTTACTATATTTACAAAACCGTTATAAAAGAATAACCTACTACCTACATTAGAAAAAACAAAATTCTACAACGGCACAAACACGTAAATGACATCTTTGCTATTATGATCTGTATTTTGGCTTTTATAAACTTTATTAATGGCCCTCACATTTGAAATGAAAAGCTGAAAGACGTAAAATTTTCAGATTTGTTAAGAAAGGGCGAATTTTATATATTTAGACGAAACATGGATATTTTCTAGGGGTGTAACCAAGAGAATATGGCAAGTTGATAACGTAAAGTCCATAAAACATACCGATGGAGAAGCGACACATAATTTTACATGCAGGAAGGAAATCGGGTTTTATAGAAGGTGCTGATATAATATTTTCATCTAAATCAAAATCTAGTGACTATCACGATAATATGAACACAGAAATGTTTGTAAAATGGTTGCATGAAAAACTTCCTCCAGGTTTAAGTGAGCCCAGCGTAATTATAGACAATTTTAGACAATGCACCTTACCATTCTGAAGTATTAAACAAAAGTCCAACGAATTCTTGGACTGTTGATAAAATTAAAGAATGGTTGACAAAGGAACATATACCATATCCTCAATATATATTAAAATCCGAATTATTACGCTTGGCAAATATACATGCAAAACCAAAAACCTTCGTTGTGGATCAGATTATTGAAAGTTACTGTCATCAAGTTTTACGTCTGCCACTGTATCATTGCCAGTTTAATCCCATCAAATATATATGGGGAATAGCAGAACAATATTATGACAACCATATTGGGCCTAATGGTTATAGTGACGACGCAGTTCGGGAAACTAATAGAAGATTGGTGGACTCGTGAAAATAAAATAAACGAAATAAGTCCAATCATAATAACAATTAATGGTGATAACAGTGATGATGATGACGATTATGATATTTTGGATCATAATGACTGATTTTCATTTTTGTTGGCAAGTTCAATTTTTATATTTTTCAATTGAAATTCTCTACATGGAACAAATTTTTATGTTAGAAAATATTTTATTTGAGCTAAATAACCATAGAAATAATATAGAAGACCAATATAAACATAACATTTAAGCAGAAATTGAAACCTACTGTGCATAAAAACGCGTCTCTGCGCCTGACATCGCAAAATAGTGTGTCTAGAAGCTTGAGCAATATGCATGACTTGTCCCTGTAGTGTTGCCAAATATATTAAACATACCTAACAGAATATAATTTTAAATTAATTAATTTTTAAATTATATGATTTAAACAGTTTATATCTACGAAATATCGCCACAAAATAACTTATACACATTTAAATAATCAACTAATAATATTTATGTGTAATTACATTCCCAAAAATATATACAAATACCGTATTAATGTCATTAATACCGTATTTTTAATGTTCAATAAGCGATTCACCTACAAATTCAATATTGACCTGGCAATAGCATTAAAATCCGGTGTTTCAAGGCTATATGACGCTGCCCTTACAGGACCGTTTGTAGTTTATTATTTATGCCGCGTTTGAGAATCCACATCGGATGCATCTGAGATGTAGTAAGTAGTAAATCTTTGATCACGTGATTCAGTATACGTAAATGTATTGGGACAGATGTGTCCGATGTGGATAAAAAACGCTCGAGATGTAAAAAATGCATCCGATGTGGATTCTCAAACGCGGCATTAATTACACGATGAAAGTGGCATTTTATTTTTAGTTTTGTGTAGTGTTTAGTCAAATCCTAGGTACAATAAAAGACATTTTTACATTGGCTAATGAAAATGTAATCAATGTATTAGGCAGCTGTTATATTTATTACAAGATTTATGTCTGCAAATCTAAACCTACCTAAGAATTAAAATTATGTAAATAGAGAGCTGTATATTTATATACAGGCTGCCCAGCGACGGGGAAACATTATCGATATCGGTTTTAAGGCATTTTAAAACATAAACCCGATCTCAACAATCTTAGGAACTCTTCTGTCACTCGATATTTTA